ATGTACAGTATCGTAAATCGGATAAGGTCGCAAGCTTTGCCTAAGGAAGTGTTTATTTATCTAATTGTGAAAATAAATACTAATTGTGCTATTTTTAATCCAAAATAATTTCTGTAATATACTGTGTATCTTGTATTGTTCTTGACAGAACTGTCATTTGCAACTTAATTTAACATCAAATGTCTCCAGTGGTACTTCCACAGTATATCATGGACAAGTTTTCCTCTGCTGGATAAATATATTCACTCAATCAACTTACAAAATACAGGAAGGCTAGGAGCAAATGCAAGTTTGAAACATGGCAACCGTTCTTTTTACGTAGCAAGAATAAGCTAGAAAGTTGAGGCGTTTACAAGTTTAAAAAGCAATAGGTGTAGGATTACTCACTTGGGGCTTTCTTGCTGTGAATTGAAAGAACCAAACAGCCAGTTTATTCAGGGCCGTTGCGAGCCAAGACACACCCCCCCCCCCCTGGTTGCGACGCCCCTGAGCTTATTGCTATTATTCTCACACGATGGCACGTGCGGGCGATCATGTGGCACTATCTTCGAACAGAAAGATGAACGGTAAGTTTGAAAGTCAATAAATTTGACCTTAAAACGAAGTTTGAAACCCGATGTATTGTAAAATTTGCTGCTGATATATATTTGTAAAACTTCTGACACCATTCGTTGTTTGAGCGATTGACCGAGCGAATAAACGACACGTTTTGACAGACAAAATCAATTCCTTTTATTCCATCCAAAGCTAAGACGTTCTTTTACACAATATCGAAACTTAGGTACTAAACAGCCTTTCACAACCACTGTTACGCCATTAAATTATATATATATATGAAACGAAACCTCAAGTGCTTTCACAGCCCTCTCTTAGCCTTTCAATCCATGACCGTTTTGTGTGTGTGCAAGTGAGTGTCTACATGTTTGACAGCAGTGGCCTTTCGCAAGCACCACGCTTCTCTCTAACTAACTCTGTTTCTCCTTACTCTACTTTATATAACAGCATTACAATATAGCAAACTAACATCAATAATTGCCGGTGTTATTGTTGGTATCTATCGTGCAATACGTAAATGAACTAGTAGGAGGTGTTAGATGTATTAAGATACGCGGGGGAACTTTGTAGGGTAAAAGGGCATGTAAAATATTACGTTATCGGAAACCATGAAAACTAAAGCGCAACAAGCCAATATATCCTAAACAAAGAGAAGCATGAACAAATAAAAGCATAAACGCAAGACTGACCTAAATTGAAATAAGTACCTATATTGCAGTATTTCATATAAGAACACTCGTCTTATATCACTTGCAGATCTTCCAGTCAAGCGAAGAAAAGTTGTGCGGTCAAACCGTAAACGTAGAATCAAAATAAATTAAGAGAACCAACTTGTTTTCTCAAATAAGAGGCAAATAAAAGAAGTGGGACTATCTTAAATCCCTTTTTTCATCTTGATACCTTCATTTTATATACACATATACATTTTTGATCCCTTCTCCCGTGCATTCTGTGTTTCCAGTGCCAACGCCTATCACTCTTTTGAAGTCCAACGAACAAAAAGGGCAAACAGATTCCTTTGGATGAGAGGGATGATCGCCGTTTCTAGAACGAGGAACAAGCCGAAGATATCGTGCATATGGTTGCACAAGCTTTGTGAATTCTTAGACAGGACAGGACTCTTTATTTACAGCTCAGAGCACAATTTTCTCCATCGATTTCAATGCCAAAATTTCTGTTTGGTAGTATCGTGTCTGCAGGGGCGTGAATTTACCGACAAAGTATATGTTTTCGATACACAACAATACACTTTATTAAGTCAAGATACGCATTTACCGACAATCCGTAAAATTTACCGACCAGTGGGGGTGTCCGACCTGGATTATCACCTTTGCAGCTCTTCCCCTGCTTGTCCAACCAGTTTGCGATGAACTTTATAGGTAGATTCTAGGTATGAAGATTCTTGCAGCTCTTCAGATTATTCCTGCTTCTCCTGGATATTGTCAGAAAATGGTATCCTTTTCTGACTGTATGCCAATCCACAAATCCATATAAGTCCTGGCATATTTACAATGCACCATTTAGCAGAATTTATTATTTAACAGCATTTTTAACACTTGTTGTAGAGACAAGATTCTGAGGACGCACAACCCAAAGATTGGGGGATAGGATAAAACAAGATCCTCCTTCCAACATAAGAAACAGAACTGCCTCTCAAACAGAACTGCCCCTCAAAGAGAACAGCCTCTTCGACCTTGTGGGTCTAGAAACACCGTTAAAACAAGTGATTCTGCAATCGATCAACACCCAGATTGTGCAAAACTCTTGTCTGTGCAAAACTCAAAATTCTTCATACAAACGAAAAAACCGCCATTGGCAAATATTGGGCTGTCCTTGGAATTCCACATTTCAGGTACTCCAATAGCACTGAAATTTCTGTTGGAAAAACTAACTCATAATAATGCAAAGCAAGAATCCTTATGTTTATATGAAGAATAGCCTCTCACTAGAATGAGAATCATGATGAAGAATTTCCAGATACAGTGAAGTATCGTGATTCAAATTAGGCAAGTGGTTTTTGATATTGATGAAACCCCTAAAAAGTTTCCAGTTTCCTCAAATTTTCAAAGCAAAATCACGAGGTAACGATACAAATAACGAACACCACCACGCGCAGTTTATGGTTTATGGTATTTAATTTTATTCATTCATTCCATTTCAAATGTTTAAGGAGGGTAACCCTTTAACAATGCTGATTATTTTCAAGGGGCCCTCAATTAAAATACTTACAGAAGCTCTTATGTTTGGTATAACTAAGTTTATTGTAGTGATAGTCAATAAGATTCGCATTTTGGTTGAGCATAGGTTGAAAACAAAATTGAAGGATGGTTTTGTTCTGTAGAGGATGAGAGACAGTAAGTCGGTGAACCCCTACTTGCGAAAAAATATCCTAACTACTAATGGAATATGAAAATAAAATGCAAATTCTTAAAGAAGGATAAAAATTAAAAAGTAAAAAGTCCTTTCAGACTTTGTCCTTACGAAAAATTATTGCTGAGACAATCGTTTTACCATGAACCTCCATGGTTAACATTATAACAGTCTCCAATAGAGTACTAAAGTGATGACGTCACAAAAATCTATTTTTTTGAATTTTCGTATTTTGATCCCATAACATGAAAGAGCATCATGAGACATATTTGGCCAATTTTGCATATTTGGAAGTATTTCATGGTGTCCTTTCAGATTATGGGATCAAAATACAAAAACTCTAAAAATAGATTTTAGAGACGTCATCTATTCTGATTTATAGTCCACAATGGCGTCACAACGTTTGGTCAGAGCGTTTTAAATTTGACGCCAAAATTAAAATCTAATGTTAGACCATCAAAGCCTTCGTTAATCATTACTTGGAAACAAATGAAACTTACGGGTTTGAAGAATAACTCCTGCTTTTAGTTCACTGCTCTGCTTTTCAAGCTCTTTCTTGGTTATATTTTCAAATAAATTGTCAGCCATTTTGGAAACTAACTTTATAGGTTTGAAACCTTGCGAAAAACTGCTAGGAACCTGGTAGCTCACTGGAAAGCATTGGTTTACTCGCGCAAGGGTAAGAGTAAGCCATATTACTTGATTCATCTATGTTGGAATATTTCAATTCAGGTCCAATTATCATATACCTTCAAAATTGTTTGAACTAGCTAATAAATGACATTTAATGTCGTCAAAATTTTTATTAAGATAATTAGGAAAAACTCTCTCAAAACAGGATATAAAAATTCAAAAAGCTCTGAAATCTACTGTCTACCCTATTGATTGCAGTCGTGTCTCACTTCTTTGCGCGCAGTATTTCATGTGTCACGTCCTTCCCACCTTGCTTTGGATCTGTTATTCTTATAATCTTAAGTTCCTTTTTCGATGAAATGTCCCGAACTGGACGTGGACTGCCATATGCACTTGCAGCGCTCTCAGCTCTCATTGGTGGTGGTACATAGATAGATTGTTCCAAATTCTAAGAATAAACATTATGGCATTTATGGGATGTATTTAAACGCACCACGCGTTACTAAGACCTAAAGCAGATAAAAAACGATGGTATTCTATTTATGATGCTTGGAAAAAGCAACTCAAAAGAAGCATTTTTAATGAGGACAGTCTACATTGAAAATAATCCACAACAAAAATTTACGAGGATTTTAGGATGCAAAGGCAGTTTTGTGCTGCATGATTGAGTCAAGCAGTACACAAAACAGAGTGCAAATTTTCATTCCAAAAGGTTGCTGGCAGTTGGCAGAGATCGGCGTTACCGTCGCACAGACGTGTTGTTTCATAGGTGGAATACAAATTGATTATTCCTTTCCTACCGACACTGACTCCTACCTTGAGTCTTCTAAGGCCCCATCCTCAATTTAACTTAATATCTGGTCTTGACCATTTCTTAATTAGCTTAGGCAGTCTTATCCTCGTATTCACCCTTCCCCCATCCATAACGAACTCACTGTCTTTAGATTAGCTATCATAAAATTTTTTAAAGTTGTCTTTTCAAAAGATGAGAATAACGTTCATACGCACTTGTTGACATACCCAATTTGCTTGCATGCTATTTGGTCTTGGACCGGATGGGTTGAAAGCTGCTGGGTTGCCACTTATACCAGATTCTGCACTTGTAGAATGACCTTTTGTTTTAAAAAACCGAGGATTTGATATGGATAAATTTTGAAAACTTGCTGCTGTTGATGGTATTGGTCCTGCTCCATGTGATGTCGATGACTGAAGAAAAACACAAAATGTATAATGGGTCATTCCATGTCAGTTCACCAGATAAAAGTTGGAATTGACAGCCATCATCTTAGATTTTCTTCATTTTCATTTTGCAAATAAATCTTCTTTAGAAATAAAGTTTCCCAGAATTTCACGTCAATATCTTTTATATTGGCTGAAATATCGCAATTTCAAATTTAATAATTTTTTAGGTAAAACCACTGATTGGCGGCCATTTTGAATTTTGTAAAGAATCAAACAATATTTTATCTTTCTAATTTTTTTGGTATTTTTTGCAATATCATTCTGAAAATGTACATCCCACCATTTTCATATCTGCAGAATACAAAAATAATGCTAAAATCTTTGCAGAACTATTTCTTTCACAGTTATTGCATTTTTAAAATAAGAAAACCTGTTATTGCCAGTTGCGGCGAAATGCCATACAACCGCTATATAACTGAAGAAATCCTAATGTGAGACAAGTCTGATCTTGATGAAATTTTGCAGGCTTGATGCCTGTACATTAAGATTTACCAGGGTGAAATATGAAGTTTGAGAATCATTGGGAGGCATAGTTACAGACTGATAACAACAAGGGTAGAAACCGGAGAGAATATCACTGTGGTACTCGAATTCATGGATGGATGATGTTTCAACAAAACAAGATACCAACTAACTTGGACAAGAAGTCAATTTTTTACCAAATATGCAAGTCTTGATAGGTTTGCCTTAACATTTACAGAGTTAAGTTACACACTAAACCCTTCTTTTTAAGTTGATTGGCAATTAGCTGGTTGTCTTTCTTTTCAATTATGTATTGGCGACCTGTACTTGTTGATGGAGTATCCACATTACATACGATGTTAGCATATGGAACAAAGCATGTCTTTCCTAGCTGGCCAGAAGAATGATCTTGCTGGGAAACTAGGATGCATAAAGTTAACTTTAAGATCTTGATGCTCTCTGTTTGTTTCAAATACCAGTCCAATCCAACATTTTCCATCATATAGGCAGGCAACGAAATCTGAGAGTTTGACTTCAGTTATTGCAATGCTTTTATTTCCTAGGACAAGATCAAATTTCAAATCCAACTCTGTGTCCTCTGAAACTCTCTTTGCTGCTATTACTGTTGATGACACTGGGGCAAAATGATGAAATCCTCTGGCTCCAGACAAAGTAGTGGCACTTTCTGATCGTTTTCTCAGCTTTAAACGGACTTCACTCATTTCTTGTGTTGTTACAATGAGAACATTAATTCCTTTAACCTCTTGATCACAAAACTCATACAAATGTTGTGCTGTCAGAATCTGGTTAGAAAAAGGCCTTTGGAGACTGGCCCTTGTTGCTAATCTTTTCATTGTCCCACCGATACCGTCACAAGGGGACTTCCCATGGCTTGTGGCATTCACAATCCACTGAAAAGTCTTCTTGATGCATGCAAATATTTGAAAAGTTTTTGCAATTTTTATATTGTCCTGCACACCCATCGCTAAAATAATAAACTTTTTTAAGGTTGCAAGATATATTTTTTTTATATCAATAAGTAAATTTGTGAGGGATGTGGTTAGATTTGAAGTGTCTGGGCAATTAGGACATCTGTGAATCAGGCATTCCTTTGAGTTTGTATCACAAACAAGCAAGCTCGCCAGTTTATGATATTCCTTTTCCAAGTTAACTCCATTCAGCATCAATGAAACATTTTGATGTATTGCACAGACACAAACAGAGTGGGTTCCTGAGCGCCCAACTAAGATGCACCATTTTGGTCGCAGACTGCAAAATTTTGAAAAGTTCATTTTTATTTCTTGATGCTGTTTCTTGAAGGCAGAATAGAGCTCACTTAAATTACACAGCAGCAGCCTTTTTTGCTGAAGGATGTTTTTCCCAATGCTTACGCAGTCTTTCTTGCCAGACATTTGTCTGCTGAACTCATCATCCTGATAAAAATTCAACACAGTTTCTTTAACGTAATCACTTATTGGTTTGCCAAGATTGGGAAAAGGCACTTCTAGTATACCTTTTTCGTGGGCAAGCTTTCTAGCCTGCCTTACAATGTATTCTGAAACCTGGAATTCATCTTTTGTTTTCTGGATAGACCAAGAGCGGGGTACCATAGTCAGTATCTGGATTTTTCTTCGCCTGTCTGAGACTTTCATTTTCTCTTTCATCAGCTGGACAAGAACATCAAGATAATCAGCCTTCTGTTTCAGCTCTTCCAAATTGTGATGTTCCTTGACCTTCTTTGCTCTTAAATCTTCCAGTGTTACATTGACCACTTCTGCGATTCCTTTTTGCAAACAAGATTCCTTCTCCTTCATTTTTTCATTCACTTGTCTCAGCTTTCTCTTTCCATATGCAACCTTTGAGTGTGAAGCTACAGCATGCAGTTTCATGGGACTCACATCCATATCAATCAAGCTTGAATCTAAGCTTTCTCTTGTTCTGTCTTTGGAAAAATCAAACTCTACATCACCATCATCATTTTCTTCTATATCTGGCATCTGAGCAGTTTGTTCACAACAATCTTTAGTTTGCTTTGTGAGCTCTGTATGACATGTTGGGCAAAGCTTCTGTCCAGGGACTAAACTGATTCCAAGGAGTTGAGCATCAGTTGAAGCATCTAGAGTTATTTCCCTCAACCCAGACTTCAAAGGTTTCTTATGTCTGGCAAATGGATCACAGCATTTCTTCTGAAAATGACTATACCTGGCTAAATATGTTTGTTTGTGATGAAAACATGTGGTCTTGTCTGTCAATTCAACAATCCCAGATCTCAGGGACAATAACTTTTTCTCGCCGACTTCAAGTGAATCAACCATTTTAAATCCAACTTTCCTTGTATACATCGGCAAATTACATCTTTCTGAAAGGTGACTTCCAAAAGAGCAGTTTTCTAAACTCTCACACATTGCCATTCTTTCAGCTCTCCTGCAACAAACCTAAACTCAAAGCCCCTATGACCTGGATTTATATTTTCAAAGATCCATAAATCAATTTCAAAGTTGTCAACATAGCTATAGGAGGAAAAATTAAGGCTATATGGTCAATATTGCAACATATAATGAGTTGTCAAAACTTCCCAAATGGGTGTTAAGTGATGTCTACCTAATTATAAATTTAATGTGTTTACATTTCTGCTCAAAAGACCACCTATGTCCTAATGCTTTCCTCTTAAATTAACAAATGACCTGTCTGCATAATCATTGTATATAATGTGGATCCTCCATCAACAAGTGTAGGTCCCCAATACGTAATTGAAAAGAAAGACACCTAAATAATTGCCAATGAACTTTAAAAGAAGGGTTTAGTGTGTAACTTAACTCTGTAAATGTTAAGGCAAACCTATCAAGACTTGCATATTTGGTAAAAAATTGACTTCTTGTCCAAGTTAGTTGGTATCTTGTTTTGTTGAAACATCATCCATCCATGAATTCGAGTACCACAGTGATATTCTCTCCGGTTTCTACCCTTGTTGTTATCAGTCTGTAACTATGCCTCCCAATGATTCTCAAACTTCATATTTCACCCTGGTAAATCTTAATGTACAGGCATCAAGCCTGCAAAATTTCATCAAGATCAGACTTGTCTCACATTAGGATTTCTTCAGTTATATAGCGGTTGTATGGCATTTCGCCGCAACTGGCAATAACAGGTTTTCTTATTTTAAAAATGCAATAACTGTGAAAGAAATAGCTCTGCAAAGATTTTAGCATTATTTTTGTATTCTGCAGATATGAAAATGGTGGGATGTACATTTTCAGAATGATATTGCAAAAAATACCAAAAAAATTAGAAAGATAAAATATTGTTTGATTCTTTACAAAATTCAAAATGGCCGCCAATCAGTGGTTTTACCTAAAAAATTATTAAATTTGAAATTGCGATATTTCAGCCAATATAAAAGATATTGACGTGAAATTTCGGGAAACTTTATTTCTAAAGAAGATTTATTTGCAAAATGAAAATGAAGAAAATCTAAGAGGGTGGGTGTCAATGCCTTGTTGAATTGACATGGAAATGCAAAGGCAGTTTTGTGCTGCATGATTGAGTCAAGCAGTACACAAAACACAGGGCAAATTTTCATTCCAAAAGGTTGCTGGCAGTTGGCAGAGATCGGCGTTACCGTCGCACAGACGTGTTGTTTCATAGGTGGAATACAAATTGATTATTCCTTTCTTACCGACACTGACTCCTACCTTGAGTCTTCTAAGGCCCCATCCTCAATTTAACTTAATATCTGGTCTTGACCATTTCTTAATTAGCTTAGGCAGTCTTATCCTCGTATTCACCCTTCCCCCATCCATAACGAACTCACTGTCTTTAGATTAGCTATCATAAAATTTTTTAAAGTTGTCTTTTCAAAAGATGAGAATAACGTTCATACGCACTTGTCGACATACCCAATTTGCTTGCATGCTATTTGGTCTTGGACCGGATGGGTTGAAAGCTGCTGGGTTGCCACTTATACCAGATTCTGTACTTGTAGAATGACCTTTTGTTTTAAAAAACCGAGGATTTGATATGGATAAATTTTGAAAACTTGCTGCTGTTGATGGTATTGGTCCTGCCCATGTGATGTCGATGACTGAAGAAAAACACAAAATGTATAATATTAATGATTCTTTATGAGAACAGTCTACATTGAAAATAACAAACAACAAGAGTTTTTAAATCTTCGTCGTTTCAACATACAAAACGTACATAGCTAATTAATATACACATCACGGGCATATCATGCATTACACTCTTCTTTATAAGAAAAAACATGGAATAAAGTTTATGAAAATATTCAGGCTCAGAATCATCCAAATTTTAAGAATGTTATAATAATATTGCTCAGCCTTCACTGGCCTATTTCTGTCTCATTTCTACGACGTTGCTAAAACGAGGAACAAGCAGAAATACCCAGTAACAAGCGGAAATGTGAATTAATTGTTTAGTAAATACCACATGGGGGCGTTTATAATCCAACTCTCTGAAGTTTGTGTGGGCTAGAACTATCAAGAGGCCGTCAATCATGTCTTCATCAGTTTCGGAGGCTTTGTGATTTTGCCAACGGACAGAGAGAATCTATCGACCCCGGATCGGGACGAAAAATAAATAGTAAAGCATGCCTAAAGGGGTATGGGGAATGCTCCCCCAGAAATTTTTTGAAAATGGTGGCTGCTCTGGTGGCTATTTTGGTTGCTAAAATAGCTATGCTGGGTAAACTGCTCTGGCGGCAGTGGCTAAGATAGAGGGAATCAGAGGGGGGCAACAAAACCCTGTAGAGCGAGACCGAGGGGCAATTCACTCTTGAAAATTGCGTACAAGATTTTACCAAAACAAAAGGATTTCTAGGGATTTTCAGATAAATGTTGTTTAGAACCCGGTTTTAAAGTGCATATGACACGAAAATTTTTATTCGCCCCCATCACGTAATCGAGTATGCTGATCACGAAAATCACCATAAAATTTTCGAAAAACAAACACTTTCGTAATTACAGCTGTTTCAAGGTCGATTTTTGCTTCAAATTCTGTCATAAGGGATTGGGTCGAGTTTGACAGGAAGTGACGTAAAGTGGTTGTGTTAGCGAAAATTTAGATTGCTAACTAACAAGAAGTTATACGGCGGAGTTTTACTTGAGAGTATATGAACATGTCTCACGGCAAATATTCAAGCTCAAGGGCGTCAGCTTTTGACGAAAGTGAAGGGGAATAGCTTTTGATGCTGATGGGCTATTTTTGCCTTGCAAGAACGAACCAGTCTTTTTTCTGCGGATAATTCAGACGCGGAACCAGGCATAGCTGGCATGGCTCGAAGCTTTCATGACCGGGCAGAGGACGAAGATGGAATACAAAAATCCCAACAGCGTGATCGATGGCGAGGAATTATTACTTTGAGTCAATGGTGAGTGAAATAAGTTGTCATTGGGTTTTTTAGTGTTATAAATTCAGTATTCCCTGTACATCTCTGCTGTTTTTAGGCCACCATTCCCTGATCATAGCGACCTGGCCTATTGCGTTGTATGGGCGAATGAAGAATAAGTTATACAAATACTGTCTAGGCACCTTCAATTCTTAGAATTAGTAAATTTAATATTTTATTTTCATTAAATCTGGCAGAAAAGAGTATACCATATACATATAATATATATATGTAATGTTATGATCCTGCCGATTCTAAAGAATGTAAGAGAAACTCAAATCAACCATTATATTAAGTCATACAATGTTTTTGTTCAATATGTATCTCTGTGCAGTGGCATACAGTCTTGGTGTCTGTCAGAGACAAACGTAGATACTTCAATTCCAGAACTTCTGAGAGATTCAAAACCTTGTTGATGCCAAAGCAACTCCATCTGTGCAGAGCTTCCGTTAACGCTGCTTGCCTGTGAAGAACAAGGAACACAAATTTCAATGTTTACATTTAACAACAAACATGATCCAACATTAATTTTTTGGTCTTTGACCAAGGCTGACCAGGTCAAAGACCACCATTTCTGTTATACAGAAACGACTGAGTCCGTGATTTAATTGAAAGTTTTTATATCATGTTTTGTTACTTGGTTACTTATGTTTATTGTTAATCGATTCTCACTTGCATTTTGAATCTTTATCCCATAGAATATCATTTCCCTGCTTCTTAAATACTTCTTGAGTAAAAAAACAATAGGAAACTTATTACTCACCATGCTTTTTCCATTCTTGCTTCGTTCTTTGTCTTGTTTTGGTTTGCGGACTGAGGGTAGAGCATCACGTCGAAAAAATGTTTTGGTATTTTCGGTGTAAAAAAGGTGATCTTGAAAAAGATGATGGCTCGATATCTTTACGCTGCACTTTTAATAAGCAATGCCAAGCGGCGAACTTCTGTTGGGGCAGGTTTTCCAGGATGATAGTCAAGCACAACGGTATTTTCCTCAAGGGGGTATTCGTTCCATAAAGTCATGCACAACACTTTATTTCAATTTTTATCAATTTTATAATGAACCAAAAAAATTTTCTAAATTACTTTCCGACCTTTGATGGCATTGCTTGAGTTATCGAAATAAAACTTATTACAATTATGGAGGAAAAAAATCTTTAGGGCGACAACAGTAGTGCCCGCACATGGTGAAACCATACAGAAGCCTTGTTCTATTCAACGGATACACAACCACTTTACGTCACAGGGGTCACGTGACCACAGGTTCGACCGCGTTTTTCTTGTGACACATTTTAGCTCGAGTGGGTGTCGGAAAACCCCCTTTTTTGGAGAAAGTAAGTCGCAAATGAAAAAACTAAGTTCACCATCGTTACCAGCGATGTTTCTTTGATGATTTAAGCGAATAAAAATTTTCGTGTCATATGCACTTTAAACAGAGTTAATCACCCCTTTGATGCTATCATTTAACCTCGCTTCCACTTTCTGTCACGTGCAGGCTATCCTAGGACATCCGGGACATTTGTAGGTTTATAAGGGATGCACGAGTGCTACGCCCCCTCTGCAAGTTTTATGCATGCTGCAAACGGTTGTTTGCCGCTGCAGCAATGTTCAATTTTTGAGTCTTCGCTATGCTGTAGTACCTTGGACAATTGCAGATCAGGATTTGTTTACCAGAGATGATGGCTCTGTTTTTCCTGTACTGGCATGGGATTCTTGTACTGGCTTGACGTTCTTTGTGGAACAACATCTTTTGTTGCTGCTACTGCCATCCCCGGGTATCAATCAACGCACCTCTCCATTTTTCTATGTAAGGTTTTTAAACAATTTTTTTTTTCACTTCTACGACCTCGTGGTTTGTATATGTTTTTTTCCCCTTGCCTGTAGACGTTAAGCACATCGCATAGCGAGTTGTGTTGCCATTTTTCCAACGAATTAGCCTACGATATGTTTTTCTTAAATGAGTACTGTTATACATCTGATAAGAAAGTTCTCGCCCGTTATTTTTCCAATTTATCGACTGATCGGAATAATTTACTGTGTGGCAAAAAACCTTTGCAAACTAGGCACAGATTCAAAACAGCGGGACTCTCCGAAGCCATGCCGGACAAACACAGTAGAGCAGAGGAATGCAAGTGGGCGTAACTTGTTCCGCCCCCCTTTGCTTTACGTGCTCACTGTCACGATTCATAAAGGTTTTGATTGTTGTTTGCCAGTAAAGGCTGACAAAAGCAGAATAGGTTTTCTTATGCTCTTACAGTTGGATTTAACGTTGCCGTAGCTAAGCCTTGATTTGGTCTCCTGTGCCTATGTAACAAATTGATCTAACTCTCTGTAGCTCTCTTCGGGCATTTGAGGTCAGCCCTGGGGGGAGCAAGAGCTATGGTTGCCCTCAAAATTCCAGGCCTGTTTAAGCTGGGGTTAAAAAATTACGTATTTGGCCATGTTCAAGCTTTGTTCAAGCCGTTCTATGTAGCGTATTTCAGTCCAATACCTTTTGTTTTGGGTGCTAGCAGCCGATTCCTTGCTTGTCACTGGTGCTAGCTGCTTACCTTGTTTTCTTTTGCGTTGTCATTGGTCATGATAGGTCGTTTGTTACCAAGATCTAGCAGATATTTAAATTGCTATATCACGCAAACCGCTCACCCATTGTTATGTGCTCCAATCCCATGAAATATAGTTATTTAAATTCACGATATAGCTTTTTGTTTTTTCTGGTCGTGGGTACTAGCTACTCGCCTACAGTTTATATGATGCAATTCCTTTGTTTAAAGTTTTTGTTATATATGGCTCTCTGGCAGATCTTGAATCTGGCTGTTTAGCAAAGCTCCGTCGTATTGGGTTTCTGCTTATCACAATATAGGTTGGTATTACATAGCCTTCCTGAGGTCATCTGCCTTGTTTGGTGTTATCAGATAGCTCACTGCTTAAGATGTGAGGCTGACCTTCCATTGCAGTTTAGATGTTGGGTTATTCTAGGGCAGCAGATGGGTTATTCTAAAACTCTGCACGTTTATTTTAAAATAAAGTTACATGGAAGATACACACGAATACCCTACCATACCATAAGGGTTAAACTCGCAAAAAATGCAAATTGTTTAACACAAGACCAGGGGAGAATATCTACTGTGTATCTGTCATAATTTAAGAAGAATTACTGCTAAATAGTTAGTCACTGCTCCAAAGTTGAGAATAATATATGATTGCCTTGTAGTTCCTGTATTGTTTTTCTCCAAATCAAGCCGATCTTGCATTATCATTGGGTGTTACCAATTAATTTAGTACCTTATGTCTTTTGCTAATCAACATCTGGCTGATCTGGTATTATAGTTGTTGGGTGCTAATGTGCACTCCCAGTATATGGCTTTACAAGTTTCACTGTGGCTCATTACAACTCAAAGTTATGCTGATCTTGCAGTATTGTTTGGCTGCTCCCTGTATCGCCAAGTATTCTATTGAAAGCCACGTTGTGGCTTCTACTTATCAAGATCCGGTTGATCTTGCATTATTGTTGGAGTGCTAACTGTGCTATCCAAAAATAAAAAAAAAAAAAAAAAAAAAAAAAAAATAAAAAAAAAATAATAAAAAAATGTCGGACATGTCATAGTTTTTTCCCATAGCAAATTCTGCTGATCTTGCAGTATTGTTTGTGGGCACACTGCGTCACAAATGTTACTATTGCAAACCAAAGTGTAGATCTACTTTCAAAATCTGGTGGATAATAATAAAGATATAAATGGGTAATCTGCTTTACAATATTTAGAAGTCAATCAGTTTGGGGCTTAGCCATGGTTTGTTTTGACCACAGAAGATATTGTAGGTGCAGCAGATAGAAATGTTTAATGGTAGTAATAATAAAAATAACGATAATAATAATAATAATAATGATAATACCAATATTTAGATTGGAGTGAAACTCTTCAGCTAATTATCATTGTTATCAACGTGTGTCCTGTTTGGGATAATGTAAGTCTAACGAAGCTCATAGGGTTTCCCTGTACAGCTTTTCAGTGGGATGGGAGGTTGAACATACTTGCAATGGTCCTGCAATTTTGTTTGTTTGTTCTGTCTTAAAGCGCTACTTGTGTGACTTAGTTTTTGATAATTACAGGCAAGCATATGTTTGTTGCTAATGATGTGTCCTTTTGCTTATCGAGATTGGGTTGGTATTGCTCTTGTCATTTGGGTGCTAGCAGGGCCCCCAGTGTGTTATTATTGCAAGCTTAAATGTTGCTTAACTTATCAGGATCTGGTTGAGTTTTGTTTGGGTGCTAGCTGTTTCACCCAATATTTTATCATTACAAGCCATGTGGTGGAATTATCTTCCCTTATCAACCATTGGTTAATCGTTAATTATATCTGGGGTGTCTTCTAGTATTATATTTTTACAAGCCATTGTATCGCTTATTGCTTAGTAAGGTCTGGTTGATCTTGTATTGTTTTCTTGTGTCCCAGCTGTGCCGCCCATTATGATGTCACTACAAGCCAGTGTTTAGTCCTTGTTATTTTTGGGTGTCAACTGTGTCATCCAGTAGTTGTTCATCAGCAACCCTGCCATTAAATGACTGCTTGCTTTCAAGTTAAAGTTTATCTGCATTAGGTAGGTCCGAGCTGAATACCAAGTGTTTATTACTTGCAAGCCATCTAATGGCTTGTTGCTCAGCAAGGTCTGTGATCTTGCTAAATTAATTGTTTGTGATTTTTGGGTGCAAACTGTATCGTCTAGCATTTTTATTGTCAGAAGTTGAATGTCTGCTTGCTCAGCAGGCCCCAAGATCTTGCAATGTTATTATTATTTGTGATTTTGTGTGCTAACTGTGTCATTAAAACATGTTATTGCAAGCCATCAAATGGCTTATTGCTCAGCAAGATCTGTGATCTTGCACTATTACATTTTGTTAATTTTGTGTGTTAACTGTGCCCTTTCAACCTTTAATCCGTGATCTTGCTTTATGCGGGTGCTAGCCGAGTACCCAGTGTTTTAGCTTGCAAGCTTTCAGATTGCTCATTGCTCAGCAAGATTGCCAACTTTTATTGCCAGCCATCGAGTGGCTGATTGCTTAGCAAAGTCCATGAACTTGCATTATGCGGGTGCTAGCCGAATACCCAGTGTTATTGCTTGCAAGCCATCCAATGGGTTATTGCTCAGCAAGGTCCGCGATCTTGCGCTATTATATTTGTTATTTTTTGGGTGCTAACTGTGTCATCCAACCTTTTTATTGCCAGCCATCGAGTGGCTGATTGCTTAGCAAGGTCCATGAACTTGCATTATGCGGGTGCTAGCCGAGTACCCAGTGTTATTGCTTCAAGCCATCCAATGGCTTATTGCTCAGCAAGGTCCGCGATCTTGCGCTATTATATTTGTTATTTTTTGGGTGCTAACTGTGTCATCCAACCTTTTTATTGCCAGCCATCGAGTGGCTGATTGCTTAGCAAGGTCCATGAACTTGCATTATGCGGGTGCTAGCCGAGTACCCAGTGTTATTGGTTGCAAGCCATCCAATGGCTTATTGCTCAGCAAGATCCGTGATCTTGCGCTATTATATTTGTTATTTTTTGGGTGCTAACTGTGTCATCCAACCTTTTTATTGCCAGCCATCGAGTGGCTGATTGCTTAGCAAGGTCCATGAACTTGCATTATGCGGGTGCTAGCCGAGTACCCAGTGTTATTGGTTGCAAGCCATCCAATGGCTTATTGCTCAGCAAGATCCGTGATCTTGCGCTATTATATTTGTTATTTTTATGGGTGCTAACTGTGTCATCCAATCTTTTTTATTGCCAGCCTTCAAGTGGCTGATTGCTCAGCAAGGTCCGCGATCTTGCGCTATTGTATTTGTTATTTTTTTGGGTGCTAACTGTGTCATCCAACCTTTTTATTGCCAGCCTTCGAGTGGCTGATTGCTTAGCAAGGTCCATGAACTTGCATTATGCGGGTGCTAGCCGAGTACCCAGTGTTATTGGTTGCAAGCCATCCAATGGCTTATTGCTCAGCAAGATCCGTGATCTTGCGCTATTAGATTTGTTATTTTTTTGGGTGCTAACTGTGTCATCCAACCTTTTTATTGCCAGCCTTCAAGTGGCTGATTGCTCAGCAAGGTCCGCGATCTTGCGCTATTGTATTTGTTATTTTTTTGGGTGCTAACTGTGTCATCCAACCTTTTTATTGCCAGCCATCGAGTGGCTGATTGCTTAGCAAGGTCCATGAACTTGCATTATGCGGGTGCTAGCCGAGTACCCAGTGTTATTGCTTGCAAGCCATCCAATGGCTTATTGCTCAGCAAGATCCGTGATCTTGCGCTATTATATTTGTTATTTTTTGGGTGCTAACTGTGTCATCCAACCTTTTTTATTGCCAGCCTTCAAGTGGCTGATTGCTCAGCAAGGTCCGCGATCTTGCGCTTTTATATTTGTTATTTTTTTTGGGTGCTAACTGTGTCATCCAACCTTTTTATTGCCAGCCTTCAAGTGGCTGATTGCTCAGCAAGGTCCGCGATCTTGCGCTATTATATTTGTTATTTTTGGGTGCTAACTGTGTCATCCAACCTTTTTATTGCCAGCCATCGAGTGGCTGATTGCTTAGCAAGGTCCATGAACTTGCATTATGCGGGTGCTAGCCGAGTACCCAGTGTTATTGCTTGCAAGCCATCCAATGGCTTATTGCTCAGCAAGATCCGCGATCTTGCGCTATTATATTTGTTATTTTTTGGGTGCTAACTGTGTCATCCAACCTTTTTGTTACCAGCCTTCAAGTGGCTGATTGCTCAGCAAGATCCGCGATCTTGCGCTATTATATTTGTTATTTTTTGGGTGCTAACTGTGTCATCCAACCTTTTTGTTACCAGCCTTCAAGTGGCTGATTGCTTAGCAAGGTCCATGAACTTGCATTATGCGGGTGCTAGCCGAGTACCCAGTGTTATTGGTTGCAAGCCATCCAATGGCTTATTGCTCAGCAAGATCCGCGATCTTGCGCTATTATATTTGTTATTTTTTGGGTGCTAACTGTGTCATCCAACCTTTTTGTTACCAGCCTCCAAGTGGCTGATTGCTCAGCAAGGTCCGCGATCTTGCGCTATTATATTTGTTATTTTTTTGGGTGCTAACTATGTCATCCAGCCTTTTTTATTGCCAGCCTTCAAGTGGATGATTGCTCTTCAAGGTCCGCGATCTTGCTGCCTGTCCTGTAAGTCTCCTATTCTTTGTTCTGCTCTGCATTCTGATCCACTTCTTCTTCTCGCTTCCTTCACTCTGCGCTTTGCTTGTTTCAGCTGGTGGGTGATAGATTTCAAGTTCTAAGTAGGTCAGAAGGAAGGTAGTAGAGATCGGTGTCTGGTGGGAACACATCAAATGTGTTCTGTGGGCGGGAAAATGTTCCCAGTGGTGACACCGACCTTAAAAATCGGTATTCTCCAGGCAGTACAAGGGCTGGTGCACCTAGCAAGCCCACTTCCTGGAATAAGGTTTTTCTACATAGTTAGCCACTATCAGGCACTAAGTAATATTTCATTTCTTGGCAACCGTCTTTGGGGCAAATTGTTAATAATTTGAGATTGTAATTTAACTACATTACTATTCAAAAGGGTAGGGATTAAAGCAATAGGATTTTTATAAAAGGTGTACAAGATTTTCTTGGAGTGATTTGCCCCTCGAGCTAGACTCCTATTTTGTCGGAAAACCTCTGGTCTTCTGGAAATGTTTATCTACTTGCCATGTTTTATAGGAAAGAATTTAAAGCTAAATGAAAATAAGAATATCTGAATATGTCAAAATATTTATTTAATATTTCTGATGTCGTTATATTTTGTGTACTTAGATATGATTGTATTTAGAGTGTATTATGGCTCTTCAACTATATTTATTTAGATAAATAAATTTTTTTATGATGATGATGATGGAAACGCCAAACATCGGTTGCGTGTTTGTCACCCTACCATCAAAATTTCACGATATTGCGCCATTCAATCGCCTGGGGAGAAAAATGACATTGATATGCCTACAAGAAAAATCATGCCCTGTCGTGGGATAAAAGTCGGAAAATCCAGGAACCAGGAAACTGATGGTTTGCCTAGAATCATTTTGATTGAGGCGGAAAGTTAACCTCTTCTTTAATCCAAATTATAAGTTGTAAGAGGCTGCCCATTATATTCCTTCCCATGCAGTACATTGTTATAAAGGAAACATACTACAGTAAGACAATTATTGGTGGGGCTTCAGAAACCCCCCCCCCAGCCCCCCGGCTCCGACGGGCCTGAAAAATGTGATTGCAACAGGGCTACATGTACAGATTTACACTATGGCATGCACATCTATTTACAACAGTGTGTCTGTTGTGATCGAATGTATACGCATGCTTTACTATTTATTTTTCGTCCCGATCCGGGGTCGATAGATTCTCTCTGTCCGTTGGCAAAATCACAAAGCCTCCGAAACAGACGAAGACATGATTGACGGCCTCTTGATAGTTCTAGCCCACACGAACTTCAGAGAGTTGGATTATAAACGCCCCCATGTGGTATTTACTAAACAATAATTCACATTTCCGCTTGTTTCTGGGTTGTTCTGCTTGTTCCTTGGTTGTTCCGCTTGTTACTGGGTTGTTACTGGGTTGTTCCTCTTGTTCCGCTTGTTCCTCGTTTTAGCAACGTCGCTCATTTCTAGCAGTTGCTTGTTTTGCGATGTTCATATACTCTTTGTTGTTTCTAATTGCACTGCACATTAACTCATATCCATGGAAACAGTATAGTTTATGTAAGTTTATGTTATGGTGTGCGATAGTTCAGTTAGTAAGGATCGAGGAATGAAATTGAGATGGAGAAATGAAAGATTTGTTTATTTATTTGAATTCTCAAGCAGTGAGTTCGTTCCATTTATTTTAAGTATAGAGATCTCTTAAAAAACCTCTATAGGGTAACTACCCCCTCCCACTTTTGCCAAAACATGGACAACATATTTTTTCTAGAAATTGATTAAAAAGCATTAGGTGGGGGTAGATCAGATTTTCATCTAGGAAAAATTCACCTGCTGCAATGCACTGAAACAAGGCAAAAAGGGCATGGTCTTACTCTCACCCATTACCCTCCTACTCTGCCATTACTCTCCTACTCTGCAGAAGCTGGTGCTGCCACTGCTGTCAAGCAGATCTAAAGTTTACTTACACCAGGAGTTTGATACAAGGTAGTGCCATTTGTAGATATATGCCGCATATCAGAAGCACTTTTATACTGTCTTGTAAGTCCAACAGGATCTGCTCTGGGCGGACTTTCCCAATTAACTGCACATGCTCCTTCTTGCCTCTCATTATCAGGGACCTGTTAAAAGCAATGTTCACCGTCAAGTGCGAAAAAGCGAGAAAGAGCATGAACCCATTCATATTTTGTAAAGTGTTCCTTTAGACTGATTCAGTTACTACCTGAAATCTTTGATAAAACCTGCAGCAGTGGCAGACACCTGGGGGCGAGGGGGGCAGTCATCCCCCAAATACTTGGGAAGACAATGGTATTTTGCTCTATCACAATGGGAAAATGTGGCATCATCTTATCAAAGTAATAGGCTTGCCCCCCCCCCTTCCTATATTTGACCGGGTGTCTGCCACTGCCTTGCAATGTAGCAAACCTCCTTGACACTAGGCAAAATAATCTACATTAAAAATTGTGCAAAAAAATTCAAATGTTCTCTGGCTTGGTTTATTTTTTCTTTCATGCACTTTTTACATCATAGCATAGATCTATTGTCCGTTTCATACTGACCAAAACATGGAAAGCGGGGCCATCAGAACCAAAGGGTATGTGGGGCTGGACCCCCCTAAAAATCGTTGCACCATACTTTATTTCCTTTATAACAGTGTAATGAATGGGAGCAATATAATGGGCAGCACCCCCCCCCCCAATATGAATTTCGTTCTGACACCACTGGAAAGACACAGCTGCTCGACTTAAACATAAAAGCAAACAGAAATTAAAAAAGGCGAACAGAAATTTAAGACAGTAAATCATTCTTTGACATACCTTGATCTCATTACGTTCTTCTTGTACCTTATTCAGTGGCATTTCTTTAGAACTATCCAAATTACTAACATGAAGGGTAGAACAACTTCTAGTAGTGATTGATTGGTTACTGAAAAACTCTTTCAGCACATGACTTTCATGCAATTTCTTCTTATAAACATCATTTGAGAAGTCATTTTTCTCTTTGACAGAACACAAGAACTCACCTATTTCCTTACAGATACCTTCAAAATCATGTGAAATTTCTTTTCTTAATTGTCCAACTTGACATTCCAAATTAAATATTATTTTCTGTTGTTCATTGCAGCAGCTTGAAACAGTAGAAACTCGTTCCCCATGCCTGATTACTGATAAAGGTTTTTCTTTAAGTACTGAATATAAATCATCAAGTTTGTCTCTAATTTTCATGTTGTCTTCTACTTTAATTTTAGACAATAAAATATCTGCTTCTGATTTTAAAGATAAGACCTGATCAAGAATATCTGTTTGCTTATCTTTAAATAAATCTGTAACAATTCCATGAACAGCAAGCTCTTGTTGCTTCAGTCTTTCCATGGTATCTTTAGCAACTCCATCTATTCTTTCTTTATAGTCCTGCAATTTCTTCTGCAAACCTTCCAAGTCAGATATGTTTCCATCTGAAATTGATTTGCATGTATCTAGCTTCTTTTGCATTTGATGTTCTAAATTAAGGAAAGGAATGCATGATATGCTAATTTCCAATTATGCAATGTTTGAAACGGCATCTTCAACATTGGAATGTAATCTTACTCTATGTAGAATCACCTTTCCTCTACGAACTGTTAAAAGTCCTAGAGGTGAGAAAAGCCCAATACTATTGGATTTGAGATGTAAAAATATCCAAGTCAGTAGGAAACAAAAGGGAAGTCCACGTTATGTTTTCATAATTCAATCTGGGTAGTTTTATTTTGCATTCTGATTGAACCTAATGCGATTCTCTGTAACCTTTTTTCTTAACTATTGTCAAATTATCAGTGAAAATTTATGCATGATATAATTTCAATGTAGTGTTCATAAAAGAAGGGAGCTGTGAATGAAAAGAGAATGAATAGATCAGATCATAATGAAATTACCTTCAATTCTCTTTTAAGCCTGCAGGGGGACTTATTGTTTTTAGCATCTTAAGGGGGTTTATAAGAGAGGGGGCATAATAAATATTTTGTAATTAAAAACCATTTATAGAAGTAAACTAAATTTTTCTTAATATTTGCAAAATAAAATGGTTGCATTGACATCAACTATTAATTTTAAAATATCTTCCTGGGCCAAGTCTTCTTCTGAAATTGAGAGTGTGAAAAGGCCAACTTCATTCCTCTGAGTACCAAGGGCCTGTAATTTTGGTAAAAGGCTCTCAAATGGCCCAATGCTTAATGCACATTAAATCTTTTTTCAGATCCATCAAGACTGGAAGAAACATGGTGTGAATTTTTATTTGATGAAAAGTATTGAACAACCAATGAATAAAATGAAATTAAATCTCAGTCTTATGTCAAGTTTACTTACTTTGGCATCAGTGAAAAATTTTTTTTAGAGGAGTGGGGGGGCTAAATTGAGAGGGGCTTGCCTGTTATGCTCATATATTCATGTTATTTTCCCCTAACATGCTTCAATCATAGGGTTGTAACTGGGACACTCAAGTGTAATCACTTAACAAACCTTCATCTCATGGATTTAGCTAAAGTTTATGGAAGAAATTGGTTTGTTCTGTTTGCTTAATTGTGCTACTGAGTATGTTTAACTAGTATACTACTGTGTATTATAACTAGTTGTTTTACTGTGAACGCCTATTAATTTGTTTCTTGTACATTACTGTTGTACGAGTAGCGAAAGTGGTTTTGTATTGTTATTACCACTGCTAGGGAACTGTCTGATATAGTTCGTAGGTGGCGTTAGTGGTAACAAGGGGAGGTCGGAGGTCACCTTAGTTAATTATCTCATTAAATTACGTTTGTAATTTAATCACAAGTATAAAGACAAAGTTACTGCATCAGATGCTAACAAACAGAGAGAGAGGCAAGAAATGAAGAAACAGGCCAGGATCAGACCTGTCAACCCTCCCTGTTCCCCTGAGGAGACTTCCAGTTTTGACTGTTTTATCCCGGTCTTCCGGTTTTTAAAATTTTTCTCACGGTTTTAAAGATGTCTAGCAGAATGTCTAGGAAGATTCTTCACATAATATTTTGAATGAACTGCGCATCTTATGCTTCAAAGACAGGTCCATTGTGTATGTTTTCTTTTTACAGAGGTATAATAAAAATATAATGGTCACATTGACTTTCCACATGACAACAATTTTTTGTTAGTGCTTACTGATTTAGTGCTTACTGATTAACAAAAAAGCACTAGGAGTTATTATGAAGATACTTCTCATGATCACTTTTGTCATAAACTGTTTGCCGAGCACAACATTTTATCAGGTATATTTATTCCCTTAACGAATTACTGTGATCTCCCTGTTTTTGACCAAATTTCTGTTTTTCTTGAGGAAAAATCTAAAATCTCCAGGTTTTGAAAATTTAAGGTTGACAGGTCTGCAGGATCCAAGAGATCGCCCACCAAATGGTAAAGTGCTTGTTATGGGTGATTCGCATGTCAAGCGATTAGACAAAAAGAAAATGAAGAATATACCCCTGTGGGTATGGGGGTCTCAAAAGTGATCAGGTCCTCATAAAACACAAAGAGATTATTGAAGAAAAGATTGATGTTGTTAAAGTCATTATACATGTTGGTTGCAACGATGTCCCAACAAGGTCATCTAAGGGAATAACAAAACAATATTGATGACACGGTCCAAAAAGCTCAAGGAGATGAAGAATAATGTTAGAGTATCTGTATCAGCTATCTCAGAAGAGACCGGACACCAATACAGGCACCGCGCACCATTCGAAAAGTGGGTGGGCTGAAAAGGGTGTAAATTTTTTGGGGTTACGCCCTTTAGAACGCTGGAAAACGCCCCTTTTAGAAAAAACTTGCTTCTTTCCCCTTATTTTTTATAAACAGTCTATTTCAGAGAAGATAACAGTACTATAAAGATAGATTTAACAACATAAAACACCAAGAAAATGAACAAAAATGAGTTCCTAGTCAAGACAAACTGCTACTTCTACTTGGGATTCGATAGAGTAAGCTTTCCAAAGTTGTGTTAGAGTAAACTTTCTAAAAATTTCTAGCCTATTATTGCAAAAAAGTGGGGGGGGGCTATGGCCCCTGCTAGCCCAATGGCTGCGCAGTGCCTGGACCAATATTAACCATAAAATAGTTGAAACAAATGAAGCACTAAAGAAGTACTGAGCCTGTCATGTTATGGAATGGACTTTCTCAGCCATGGGAATATAGCTTTTAAACACCTAGCTTATGATAAACTACATCTTAACCCAAAGGGGCTAGACTGTTTGCTAGAAATTCAATCAGAAATGCTAATTTATGGTAATACAGTGCTAGTGTTGATGCCTGTTTACAAACTAAAACTAAAATTCCAATGAGGAAGCATTCCTTGCTGATGTTTCTGCTAAATGTTGGGAGCAAATGCTCACAGAGACAGATGACATTAATGTTTTGGTCAATTACTGGTCCAGCCTATTTTCCCTGATCATTGAAAACATCTTCCAATATGTTAAATGCGCGTCCCTGAAAAATACTACCCCTGGATTAACCAGAATCTTAAGAACTTAATGCGGTAAAGAGATAAGCTAAAAAAGCAGCAGTTGCAAGTAAGTCACCACTCCTTATGGATTCATACAGGCAAATCCACAATAAGGTCAACACTCTCAATGTCCAGTTAAAAAGGGAATACAACACTAATAAGATCTCTGCATGTGAAGGGAACATGAAGGAATCATGAAAAACCATCAATGAACTTCTTAATAACAGATCCAAGTCCAGTAATATTGACTGCCTGAAGGATTGTGATCAGGGTCGTAACTTGGCCAATAGTTTGGGGGGGGGGTGAAAAGGGTTTCTGCCCTGCAAAACTGAGTGGTGCCCTGCAGACCTAGTAGCAACGGTTTGTCTATAGGTTACTAGTGAAAGCTTTACCAGTGTACACTGGTCTTTACCAAGGACAAACTTCTTAGCAATAAAAACAAACTTGAAACTTCATTGCCTATGAAATTTCTTTTTCTCTACATGAGCGTAAATTGTTTTTTATATTCACTTCATTTAATGTTGGTTTGCAAAATTAAGCTAATAAACAGCTTATTGGGGGGGGGGGTACATGATGTAGACAGCGCAACGAAATTTAGCCCAGTGGGGCTAAGAGTTGAGTTTAGTGAGGTAGGAGGACCCACCATGGTTGGGGCCGACGTGAATAAATTTTTTGAAATTATACCTTGTAAAAGGGCTAAAAAGCATCTTTCAGACAAAAAGTTAGCAAAACACTATTGTGCTAAAAGAACTGATTGTTTATTGAAAATATTATTGTTTATTGGGAAAAATAGGGAGGGGGAGGTCATGCTAAAACTCTAGTGTTAGATGTTGGGGAAGGAAAGAAACGGCAACCTTTCGTTTCAGATTGCACATAGTTGTGAATGACAGAGGAAGATGTTGTTTTGATTGGGAGAATTTTTTTTCCTGAACAGAAATGTGCAGTTTCTTGTATCAAGAAGGCCATGTTTACACATCCAAAATTAAAACATTGCAATGATACAGAAAATGATTTACTGAATTAATGCAAATAAAAGAAAAATAATAAAAATTTACGTGAAAAAGTTAGCAATTAGATGAAACAAAATCGATATCTTAACAATTTATTATGTTTTTTAGTTCATGCACTGTTAAAAAGTAATAGAAAAAATGATAAAAAAATTCCTATCTTGACCAAAGTGAGGGACTTCAGCCCCTTATTCCTCCCCAGTGACGCCGAGCTTGTCATGAAAATAATTTACAACTTAAATTAATTTATATGGACTCAATCTTGCCCTCATAAACATATGCATCAATCATTGCATCCATTGGCTATGACTTTCGGTAAGGAATGCTTTCGCTTTGCTAATAACGGAGCTCTTCCTGACATACCTTTTCCGTTCTCTAAAATGCAATGTCAGGAAGGGAGGTTTATAACAAATATAATATTTCCATTTCAAAATTCGTGAACGGCCCTTTATGAACTTTAGAGGTGGCATTTCTGCGTGGCAACAAAGCTCTTCTTGGCGCCCTGCGAAATCTTTGATTGCCCTGCGAAATCGACTATTTTTTGGATTAGGGGGGTGTCACACCCCCTACACCACCCCCACGCCCCCCGGTAGTTTCTTCCCTGATTGTAATAAAGTGATTGATCACAAAAATGATATATCTAATGCTATTAACAGTTTCTTTTGCTCAGTGGGCAAGGATCTTGCAGAAAATATTGACCAGGTTCCCAACCCCCTTCTGTCAGGTGATTATGAAATCAACAAAAAAGAGCAGAGTTTCACTTAAAAACCTTTGAGGTGCAGCAGAGCAGGGATGCATTTGCAAAAGTAAAAGCAGCAAAGAGCTTTGGGGTTGACAACATTTCTAGCTACTTCCTGAACCAGGCTCTGCCATTTATTGAAAAACCCCTGGCTCTTCTGTTTAACACATCCATTTAAACAAGCCAGTTTCCAGACATATGGAAAGTAGCTAAAGTTACTCCAATCCATAAAGATGGAGATTGGACTGAAAAATCTAGCTATCGCCCAATATCAGTCTTGCCTGTCATCTCAAGGCTCTTTGAAAAACTTGTTTTCAACCAACTATACTAGATGACACCAGCCTGTGTTATCGATCTTCTGATATTACTGAGCTGAATGAGGCTATTAACAATGACCTCAGTAAATTAGACACCTGGCTGCATGGTAACAAACTGACTTTGAATGTTGCCAAAACTCATTCCATGCTTATTGCAACAAAGCAAAGGAAAAAATTCTTAAATGTCAAAATGAGGAGTTGGACCTAAAGATATGCAACAAAGAGCTGACACAGTCCAAACAACCAAATACCTTGGCCTTCTGATTGACAGTTCTCTTGATTGGAAAAAGCAAATCAAAGCAGTTTCTACTAAAGTCTCCAGAGCCAGAACTTATTAACTGTGAAACAAAAACAATGGTTTACAAGTCCTTGCATAAGTTGGCTCCAGAATACCTCTGTAGCCTTTTTACCAGTAACTCACAGTGTGCTTCCCAGAGATCCTGTAATAATAAAACAGACCTGAGACTGCCCAGGAAAAGAGAAACACAGAAAATGGGAAAAAATGTTTTTTTATAGAGGAGCAAAACTGTGGAATAGCCTCTCAGCTGAGTCTAAGCAGGAATCAATACTGAGTCGTTTCAAACATTCTATTTAGTGGACATTTGTTTTTATTTTTATTATAACTCTTGTATATTAATTTATGTAAATAAGTATACTGCTATAAATCGGGTTTTATAATTATGGTTTTCTAAAGTATTTTTAATTGTAATTGTTGTTTTAAGCTAGGGCCCCTTGTTAATCAACTTTGTTGAAGGGCAACCCTAGAAATGAAATATGAAATAAATATGAAATAAGCTATCTATTTCCATGCCAGGGTGTATTCCATGTAGTTTACGCCGGAGATCTCCGGCGTGGACTTAGCTTTTTCCTCGGCGTAGCGGCGTGAAATTTGCTATTTGCGAGCCTTGGCGCATTGGCGTACGTGATAAATTTTCGCGATCGGCGTAGCAAAAACGGTACTTGTACAGAATACGTGGGCAGCCTGATTATATTGATATGGACAGTAAAAGCAATGCAAACTATAGATTAATCGAAAGCTTGTATGTTTTACACTTGGCGTTGCAACTAGAATAGGTTGAAATTTCTCTGGCGTGGGTCTAACATGGAATGCACCCTGGTTTCCATGGCGTCTGCCCCCGATATAAAAGTCCAAAAAAACGTTATGAGATATCAATATGGATGTACATACAATGTTTTAAAACAATTTATAACTAAATTGAAATATTTCTTACCAGCTCTAGAAATCTTGACAACATCATGCTGCCCATGGTTTTCGATGAAACAGTCACAACAAAGCGGACTATTGCAGGCATTGCAATGGTACCTCAGCTCAATACTGTGGTTCAGACACAGTGACAGGTCGTTTTGGCGCTTGAAAACAAAATGGGAACCCTCTTTACATGCTTTGCCTTGGGCAGAGTTAAAGCACTTTTCACAAATCACCTTACCACATTCACAACATTCGTATAAAGACGTTTTCAAATCCTGACAGAAATCACACTTGAGTTGCTTGTTGTCATCCTGCAGTGGAGAGGCTGTGTGTAGTAACTGTGTCACAACTAGGCTCTTTGGCACGGTAGAGTGGAACGGCAGAGAGCACTGAGTTTCGCCGTTGCAAGTTGGACACTTCATAATGAAACCTGTTATTCCCTTGCCGGTGCCGTTCTCCGTTAGAAAATCGGGAAAAACAACCTTCACATCATGTCCATCGGTCTTTTTCTCGATGTATTTAGTTGCAAAAATACTCGCCAGGCAATTGAGACAAAAGGAATGTTGACAAGGTAACATCCGCGGGTTTAGCATCCTTTCGAGACATATACCACATGTAATGATTTCTTCAATATTTGCCATACTCAAGTTGTTACCTTCACCAGAGACCATTGAAAGAAACCCGGCAACCAAACACAGCTTAAGCGCCGATGGCGCTCGGAATAGACTATAGTTGATTGGCAGGTCAGTACTTCCTCGCAAAAAACACTTCTCCGAAACTTCTGATTTCTTTGGTTACCACAATACACCAATTTGACTTACGGCCTCGTTTTGAAAACTTCTTCAACATTTTTTTGTATAAAATTTTTGACCTCAGATTGAGATTGAGAGCAATGATTTTTAGTCTTATTGTAAGTTTTCATTATCATATTGCTCACGATATTGATTTTATGACAACACAAAGATAAAAACTTTATAAGGGATTTGACCGTGATTGGCGACTAGGGGGGTTAAAGTTTCCCCCGGAACGATTTTGGCGGTCAAATCCCTTACAATTTTTCAAACTTCATTTCTCCGTAAAATCTCAAATACAAGCTGAAACAATATGAAAAATGGTATCCCGCCTGAAATTATGGCGATGAAACTAAATCTGCGCTTAAAAAAGTCGTATAATTAAGTTTGGAGAAATTTCCAAAACGAGGTCGTAAGTCGAATTGGTGTATGAGGTGTATAGAATTCTATACACCTCATTGGGTTACCATAAGACCAGTCCGTTGTTGTTGTTATGGTCGCAAACCCAGAGGATTTTCCTGTAACTAAAATTGCAGAGTTTCAGGGGTATAAAACACGAGATATTTCTTACATGTGACGGCAAACACTTGCCAAACTGATCTTTCTAATTCCCAAGTTTCTTGAGCTACATGAATTTTTCCGAGGGGTTTATTACTCTATGCTCTTTCCAAACAGCGTACGAGAATTTATAGAGAACAGTGGGATTTTTAAGGATTTTCCGGGGATTTTTCTCGGAAGAAAACTGATTTTCGTAAAAGTTGTACGATATTTTTGTCGAGCTATTCTCAAATCGGATCTTCGGTTATTTTCAAAAATTGATCGGATTTTTAAGATTTTTCGGGCGTTTGCAAATTACTTCCCAAGCCATTCCTGGTTGAGATACAGCGAAAATCGAGGGTGCATTTCACCATACCGTTGTAACCTGCCTGTATCTAGAGATTAGACTGGAATTACGCCATTTTTGAAAATAACACAACACAATTAATCATCATATAAGATTACAACAACACCGCAATAACTAGGAAGATGGTTTTATCAGGGCCTATTTTAAGAAATTTTCGATACTGCACCTCTATAATTATCTTTTTTATAAAGGAAATTTTTGTTGCAATCATTGCAAACCCCTGTGAACCCTAGGTATCTTAGCCATGCAAGCGTAGCGAGGAAATGCCCCGAGTTTTGAACACGTGTATAGGCCATGATGCAGAAATCACATACAGACAGACGATAGTGTACACAATCAACAATAACACATCAAAACATAAACAAAACAAACAGTAGTTATAAAACTTGAATAGAAACATGGTCATTTATTTCTTGTAAACGGAGTCACTATCTCATGTTTTCAGAGCCTCTTTTAAGCAAAACCAACTACTGGGGAAAATCTTAGTTTGGGGCCCAAGCCAGTACACAGAAAAAATAGCGCCATTGTTATAATAACTTTGAATAAAATGTATATGACATAACAGAAATTTTAACATGCAAAACCATTTTAAGTGTTCAAATTGAGGTCCACACTTTTGAAAAAATTACTAATAGCAATTATAAACAACCATTGTCTTTTTGAAAAAACTTTTTAATAAAACTTCTAGTCTGATATATTTCTTGGTCAGGCTGTCTGTCACGCCTCTCTTTTTGCTTCAAAAATTCAGCAACTGCATTTCTTGGATCATAAAAGGCTGTTCCTTTACCATTTAAGGAGATGTGCATAATGCTGTTTATTGACTGTTGGCTAAGTGAAGCTCTGTTTGAGGTCTTGATATTGTTGTAATGAGAGACTGTTCTTTCAGTCCCCATGCTATGTGGGGTTAAGGTTAAAAACGATGCTAGAAATGTTTTCAAAAGACCACAGCTTGCTTGCACCATTTTTCTTAATTTCAATGCGTAAAATGTGCCATTGTCTTCAATAGCAGGATCTTCAATGGCAACTATCTTCCTCCATGACATACATGTGTCAGAGACAAAATCTTCAATCTTTTCTGGGCCAAATAGTTGACTGGCTAAATCTCTGCTTGCTGTGATGAGCTCTGTAGATGATTTGGCATCTAAAATTTTCATCAAATTTTTTAAAGTTCCATCATTTTTAAGGTTCATTCTCTCATCTAAAAAATTTATTGCTGATTGGACAATCTCTGTTCTCACTGCCATGTCATTCCTGTGTGTTGTTGTCACATATTTGTTCATTATGTTTCCTTTCTGTCTTGAATTAGTTGGAGAAGAAACTTCTTCGAAGTTTCCACGACATTTCTCCTCTCTCCCACCTGGTATTGGTATTTCATTCATCACTTTGAGATTCTCAACTGCAGCATCTCTTGCAGTTATAATATCCAACAAAATTAGGTGTGACTTTTGAAAAATTTTCTGGAGATTCTTAAATATTTTGCACAAATCAAACATCAAAGTTGTTAACCAAAACTGTTGACCATCATGTTTCCATTTATCTAAAAAGCCTTGAGCCATTCTTTTTTCAATTTTTTCAGCGTGAATTTCACCAGAACACATCTTTGTCCACACTTGCTTTGCTGCTTCAAGATTATTTAGCACTGCCTTCAGCACATTCAAAGTGTGCTCAGCAAATCGCACTTCAAAGTGCTTAGGAAATGTCAGACATTTGGGATCTTCTTTGTGAAGGTACTTTACTCTGTGAGGTGATTGTCTGAAAAATTTGGAAACAGCAAGTACATTGGTCATCCACAATGACAATTCAGGAACTTCAGACTGTACAGACTCCAAAGCCAAATCAGAGCGATGGCATATGCACCATGCAGTGAGCAATTCTTTTCCAGTGTAATCCTTTAGAAGTTTCCAGAGTCCACCATTCTTACCAGTGTTGGCATTTTCACCGTCTGTAGTTATTCCAACAAGTTTCTCTGTATCAACTCCCACACTCTTTAAACAAGTGGTAAGTGCATCAAGCAAACCATCTGCACCCCCAAGGTCACTACTTGAAATACCCAGAAATACAGTTTTCACAGAAACTTCATTTTGTGGGAGAAATCTTGCAGTGATGAATTTGGAATCCACTTGTTGTTTGTCTGAACTGCCATCAATTTGTACTGAATAGCAGACACATTCTTTTAACAAATCTGCTACTTTTTTCATTTCATGTTCACTGATAATTTTTCTCATTTCAGCATATGTCATAGGGTCTCTGTAATGGTAGGCAGAGCCTGGTTGATTGTAAGGAACAAAATCAGCATCCCATCCATTATCTCTAAATATGTGCAACAAATTGTTGCTATGATCACCAGACAAAGATCTTGATGCCCAGCTCCATGCACTGACAGTTTCTACTCTGCAGTCATTGTATACATCAACTGCAAGTTTTAGAAGCAATTGTAAGGTCTCAGCTTTACATTTCTTCACTATTCGTACCCAGGGATGGGCATCTGACATATCCTTCCAAGCATCATCAAGCTTTTTGAGTCGTAATGCCTCTTCATGGGCAGCAGAACATAAATGGTCAACTATCAAACGAAGCCTGTCCTTACCATCAACACGAATTCCTTGAGCCACAGGTATTCGACCATTGACGGTGAACCTTTTAACATGCATTTCAAGCTGGTTACAAACAAGGCATTTCATGATAGGCCTTTGCCTTTTGTCTTTTCTTTCATATCTAACTTCAAGACAGCTCTCAGACATAATAAGCCAGTTTAAGTCTAATTTCTTTCCTTTGTACCAGTGAGTTCCAAATTCATCTTGTTGTTTTGCATTTTCAGTTGTAACATTTGTAGTGTCACTCTTTGCCACTTTGCTGGGGGGTGGCGAGGATTCATCATGTAGTAGGCCTTCCTCTAGTACTTCTGCTGTATTTTCAACCTCAACAGTGTCGCTATCCTTCTTTCCAAACATTGAGAAAATCGACTTCTGACCCACAGCTGAGGCACATTCCTTCAAAGCTCTTTTCTTGCTTTCGAGTCGCTTTTGGTGTCCACTCTTCTCTTTTTTCTTCATTTTGAAATTACGAGATTAGATATAGGTCATTTGAGATAGGTAGATCGAAAATAAAAATATTAAAAGCACGTGCTTGAGTGGCATGTGTACCAGGCTCGCAGATTGAATTGAATTGACCAATTCCTGGTAATCGAGATCAAAAGGCGAAACTGAGGCTCTTGAGGGCAGTCAAAGCTTCGAGAGAAGAGACGGGAGAAACTTGTCCCAGTCGCAGACCCTTGCACAAAGTTGAAAGAACAATGGAAATGAAAACAACAAAACAAATCATGGTACATAATGTGAAAAGGGCCCCTAACTACTGGGGCAAAATTAGATTTTTTTGCTTCACTACTGGGCCAGATGAAGGGCCTACTGGGGCAGAAACCCCACTAGTTGCAATGTTAAAAGAGGCCCTGCATGTTTTGTCTGGAAAGTACAACGAAAAAGTTTTATTAGGCTCTTTTTGTTAAGTTAAGTGAGCTTCTGCTAGATGCCCAGAGCATGATAGGACAACTGATAAATTGTTAGTGAATGTTTTGTCTTCAACAGGATCAAATTACGAAATTTACAGCAATGCTGACATTTACAGGAGATGTTTTGTTTTTGGTTCTGGGCATTTCGTTTTGTTTAAAGTTTTGAAAGAGAGTCTTCCCGATGGTCATACGAGAATTACAATACATGAACTCTATATCGAACTGACGAGGAAAATTACATTCTGTGAACAAAGCAGGAATCTGGGATAGCCGCAAATAGACATTTTCACAAATCCCAAAATTGAATACTGCACAATTTCGAAATCAATACTGCACGTCTTTAAATTAATACTGCACAAAGTGTGAAATACTACACACTAAAATATGTGAAATACTACACACTAAAATAGGCCCTGGTTTTATCGGTGACTAACAAAAATACTGCACATACAACCAGGATGAAGAATCGGGTTTCTTTACTTTGTACAAATATACTAATGCTGAATTATTTGGGGGCGCAGAGCGCAGACCCCTTTGAATGCCGGATACCCTGGGTACCAGAGCCTCAATGAAAGAGATGATCGAACCAGTGCCAAAGAGAGGGGGATCAGAGGGGTCACTGACCCGGGCGCCCTTGGCTAAAGGGGCCCATAAATAATATCTCAATAAAAAAACTATAAGTGATAATCGTGTCATTATAACAAACTGTCAATAATAGAAACAATAACGACAAAAGTCTATGAAGGAAGAAAGGTAAAAGCAGTACGAGTGTCAGAGCAATGACTGCTTGAGTGTCAAAGATACTGTACTTTTGTTAAGAATTTCTCATCTTTGTAGGCGTGGCCTGAAGGAGTTGAAAATCTTCTGAATATGTATCAAATAACAGGGCCGGTGAAACCAGGGGGCCGGGGGCATGGCCCCCCACTTTTGTGCAGAGCTAAAGAAAAATTTTGACAAAAGTGAAAATAAATGTAGTATATGATTCTGTAAGTAACTTTGCCAAGTATTCTCTTGAATGTGTCCTTAGCTTTACCTTGATTGCTATGTCTTTACCATAGAAGACATACATAAAATTGAAAATGGGAATTAGATCGAGAAAATCGGTCATTGTCTAAGTTTTAAAACGAGTGACAGCTTGGCTTAGCAAATGGATCGAGAAATCTAGTCCAGAATAACTTGGTGCCAGCACAAATTGACGGAGTTTCGTTTTTTCCATTGCCTAAACTTGGCACACAGGGTCTATTTGTTAACGAAAACTTTCTCAGAAACATTACAAGAAGAGAAAAATCAGCTGTTGAAGGAAACATCTGGACAGAACTTTTTTGAGGATATGAGAAATAAAGTATGGGCAGATTTGTTCTTAAAAAGTGTCATCAAGAAAACTTCAGAGTTTGATCGTTTGTATAATCCATTCCTACTAAGAAAGAGAAAATATCGACGCAATTATAAATTCTATTTAAACTCATTTTGGCAAGCCCAGTTTAAAGGTTTTTCAAATTTTTGTTAAAGCATTTAATTTCCGAAAGAGTATAGATCAGATGTTACAAAGTTATGTCTTAACTGTACAAAATTGCTTAAATTCTTATTTTTAGTAGATAGTTCTTCTGTTGATATTTCAGCGTTAATATTTTTTATTAACCCGTGTTTCATTTATTTTTCTCCCCCATCTTATTTCGGCTACTTTTAAAATCTAAGAAAATGTTTCATTACGAGCTATATGATAGTGGTTATTCTAAAACTTTGCAAACTTTTTAATATTTCAAGTCAACATCACAATTAATGTGACTATGCGACACCTTCAGTCAAAATTCATTTTAGATACAGTTTCTGGCCACCCTTAAGACACTATTATTCTAAAATTTGTCTTGCCGCCAACCATGGTGGCGGCCCTTCTAAAGCCCTTTCAAGACTTTAATATTTTGGCCCCTCCACTTTCAAATACGTTTCGCCGGCCCTGAATAATGTGATTACAACAGGGGAACAGACAGCAATATGTACAATCATTGTCAAGTACTTTGAACTCTCAGGAATTTCCATTGCTTTTTATATTTTTCAATTCGTCCCGATTACTCCTATTTCCTCACTCCCTTCCCCCTAAGCAATTTTGTTAATTTAGAAAAATAACATAAAATTTGCAGAAAAAAAGCGTACTTTCTAATCCCCCGCGTCTTTTTGTAGTAAACCAACATTAATTAAGGGGGAATGGGAATGATACATACCATTAATTAACTCCAATTTGAGACAGAATTCATTACTTCATGAGGCCACTCAGACTTCGAAGCGATGGGGAAATTTGCCCCCTTGTCCCCTTTTTGCGGCCCTGCTTTCAAGCCCCCTAAAAGCCAGATACTGTTATAGCGCTTCTCTCGATAAAATTGTAGTACTGCACCACTAACTATCAACAAAAAAATCAAAGAAATGTCTTTACAAATTAATTTCAACAATTCAATATTGCCAACATATCTAAACAACATTAAACTAAATTTATTTAACCTAGTTCAATAAAGGAAGAGTACGGAGAAAATTTTTGTTTTAAACTATTATTTCCTATTTCACAGCTATTATGCAACTAGTTAACGCTAACATGAAGCCTCTAAGAGACTGCACTACAGGCATACTATTCTCATGAGCAGGAGGCAAATAATCGAAAAAATGCAAATTTGATAAAAAGTCTATGACCTGGTGTGGTATCCTCCAGGGATCTGTCTTTAGTCCTTTTTTGTTTATTATAGGTATCAATGACCTCTTTTTGTTTAGGGGAATGAAAATGCGTTTTTATTTGATGCACGGGAACATTTTATGCACGTGCAACGATGGTCAGTAAATAGGTCAGTAAAGTGAAATGGAAAAACCCCTTTGAGTATCACTGGCTAGTTTTAAACAGGTTTAATGCTTTGACGAAGGTGGCCTTATTCATTATCGTGTGTCGTGCACAATGCAAATAGGCCAAATACTTTCACTTGGATTTGTAGAGCATGCCAGTAACATTAATCTTGTGCCAGTGATTTAAAGTTTTATCCATTTAAACGGCCGTCGCTACCAATTCTGCTCAAGGGGGGTTTCCAGCTCACATTTGCCTCAAAGTTGGTCAAAATTTAAGAACAAGCTTAGGCTGAGGTGTTGTAAAATGAACTTTTGAAGAGGCGAAGCCCTTTAAAAATACCGTCTCAAAGCGAGGAATTTTTTGTCATCTGGGGGTGCTTTATCGATGAATTGCCACACCTTTCGGCAAAAGAGGATTGTTAGCAAATGGGGCCTGAAGGCTTCATGCCTCAAAGTTGTGGAAAAATTTAGAAGAGCCAGCCCATCGATTTACTGGTTCTTAGAAAAGAGCCATTTTTATTGATATGCTTGAAAGTTTTCCCAGATCGAGTGGTTTCTCTTTTCAAGAGCAAAACATTAGATGCTTGATCGTTGGCTATGCAGCAACTAGTCCCTGTAACAGCCATATGCTAGACCTCCGTGTTATTGACAATACTGAAAGAATATGTTCTCTAATGTTTTTTCTTTGTGCTTCTGAATAGTAGCTTTATAGCATTTGATATTTAACAGACCTTTAAATTTTTATTTTTATTTCTTAAGTCAACAAAATATTAGGAGAGTAAATAGAAACTTCAAGCTTTGTTTCTTATAAAACAATTCGAGAGGCATGTCACATCACAAAAATCGAAGGGCAAATTACTCGAAAAATCCGCGTACATTTATTAACAAAATCCGAAAAGTCCATTTAGATCCGCAAAAGAAAAACGAAAATCTTGTCGAATCTAAAAAAATCATTAACATTTGGAAAATATTTATCAATTTTCTGGTTTATCAAATGATTTACGTGTGTTTGTTGTTGTTTATTCTCAGCGTTTTGTGGTGTTCCTTATTAGCGTGTACAGCTCTGCCTATACAATATTTAGAGCACTTTATGACAGACCGGTAAACATTAATTTTCAGTTACAAAAGCTAAAAGATCTTATAAAAAATAAAAAGTTTGAAATAAATAGAAATTCAGAAATCCTATGCTGATTAGTACTAGGCAATTGTTGCTATTTAAATACAACTTAAGCTTTGCTTTGAAAGTTTTGAGAGCAGATCTGTTTTCTTAAAAACTACCTTCATCATCTTAGGCCTCCAAAAATGAGCATGATTTTTTACCATCTAGCGACCGAGGGCTACCATACACTGATATGGGGCTGTAAAAAACCCTAGCACTCCCTTAGCGCAACCCCTGCTTAAAGAATTTTGGACCTTGCAATATTTAAGACCTTATAATATTTTACACTTTGCAACATTTAGCATTGACAATATTTCGCATTTTGCAGACTGAAAAATGCTGTAAGCGGAGTTTCTTTTCGAGGTTCCTTGTGCCTCATTGGACAGAAATGATGCGGAGAGCTGTTCATCATTTTTTAAAAATATGAATTACTTTTAATTATTATCTTTCTGCTCTAAATTCAAAAAAATACTTTCGCATTTTGAAAGTGGCATTGTACCATACGGTTTCCTTGGTTACGTAATGATATTCTTCATATTGACAGCTGGTGAGGTAAAACTTTGCTTGTAGCTACGTTGCAGAGAGGACATACGAAACTTGGATCTTCCATACAAGATACCTGCAATTGAAAATAATAAAAATGCGAATTGAGACAAGGGACAACCAGATAAGGAAACTCAAGAATCGCAATTTATGATACAGATATTAGAACTTTCAACGTCTATGTCATGTTAATTATTTTATAAGCTATTTTCCTATTTTCGATCATCACAAGTTCTTGTATTGAATCTGCTCTCCTAGAGTCATAAATTGATTTACGTTCTGGAAGAAGTTATCATACCTTCGAATACCCTATCAGAGCAAAGGCTTTGTCCTGATGTTTTTGTGGATTGCTTATCTAAAGGCCGTGTTGAAAGTCGTGCCGTACCGTGCCGAATCAGAATATAAAGAGGTTCTGCGTTGGTACGACGAGTGGCACGTTATGTTATTATACTGCCATACCGTTCAATGCCGAATCTTTACTAGCACATGTGCATCTTTTAAATAAGTTATATGTCCATAAAAATTTCAAATAAGCTACTACCAGTACTGTTTTTGCACGAATTCATGGAAGAACAGTACTGGTTTTTATACCGTAAATCATCGAATTCCTCTCAAAAAGCCCCTCTCCCTCGAATAAGGTAGGTGATGATCGAATTCTAAAACCGAAGCTCACATTCGCTCATTGTAAAGCCAAATCTCCAATTAGAAAAAAATCAGCGAAATGCGAAAAAGTTTTGCCTAGATTCCTCGCAAAGTACATCTCTGCGAAAAAAAGGTTAAATGAGTTGAACTTTATTCGCTTTTCGATCGAGGAATCCTTCCGCAGCCAATCATGATCCGTATTGCTTCGTCATGCTTCAAAACTTTCCATTCCAACGATACGAGGTCAAAAAAAACATTCACAGGAATTTTTCACGTGAAATATTTCCAACACTGGAGATTTGGCTTAAGAGAATGAAATTATTTTGTGAAGGACCAAGGGCTGAGCCAAGAATAATTTTTCATCTATTCCAAGGCCTATTAATTTTTCTTCAAAATTCTGATAAATGTTTTCCCCCAATCACGATTGGTATTCCCCCCCTCCATTCCCCCACAAATTCCACCTCTGCCCATTGTCTCTGCCATGACCCTTTAGCTTTTCAAACATCTGGCATTGCTCCTTTAAGGACCATGAGTTGGTGGAAATTTTTTATGCGCTTATATTCAGTCGAAGATTTAGTATATTTGTACAAGTTTGTTTAATTGCCTGCAAACTGACATTTATAAACTATACAAACAAGTCCATATTAAAAACTTTCAAAACAGCCATGCTTAAAGTTTATATTAGGGAAAGAAGCCACTTACTTTGATGCAGTAGTAGCAGAAGTGATGTCCACAGTTGGCAACATAGGGTTGAGTTGGGAGTTGATTGCACACCGGGCAATATTTGGATAGGCTTGAGGTTTGGTTAGCGCCTTCCAAAGATGGCACATTTGAGCTGTGACCAAAGAATCTACGGACCAGGTTTTTTAATCCATACATTTTTATGAGTGGGAGTACAAAGAAGATAAATTCCTAAAAAGAATGAGACATCATTACTAGAGGAGAAACAGAAAAACGAACGAAGGAGAGACAGTTCTAGCCTATATCTATCAGGTTTACCTTCATTCTGATTTTGCATATCAAAGCCACTTTCTTATTTGCTTCCTTTGGTCCAAGTTTTGGTGTGAGCTTCTCCTTGTTGGTCATCGTCATAAGATTGACTTTATAATACTTGCACGACTTGAGATGGGGCTTTTTAAACCATGACGGCTTTCTCGGACAATTGCGAAGCTTTATTGGACCCCGCATTGAAAATCTCTTAGGGCCTGTTTATATGAGCAAATTTATCCCACCTCTCAGCCAATAATCTGACAGGTGGGATGAAATCATCTAATGTTTACATGCAAATTGAATCCCACCTTCCAGCTGTATATGGAGAAAATCATCCCAACTTCCAGCCTGTGTGTTGACAAGTGGGATGAAATTTGATCCCATTATATGAACATTTCATCCCATCTTCCAGCTTCATCCCACCTTCCAGCGTTTATATGGGAAAAATGGAAAAAAATTCATCCAACCTTAGTGAGATCTGACCTCTCCTGCAGTGGGATCTCATTTAACCGGGCTGGCTTGTTTTCCATATAAACGCAAAATGAAAAACACAAAGGATTCTAAAGAAGAGTGGGATCTCACCTCTCAGCTTACAGTCAGTGGCGGACACTTGGAGGGGGGCGAGGGGGGCGACCGCCCCCAATACTTTAGAGGACAATGGTCTTTTGTTCTAAAACAATAGCAAATGTGACGTCATCTTATTTAAACAATAGGCTTGCCCCCCCCCCAATATTTGATCAAATGTCCGCCCCTGCTTACAGGCTTGAAGATAGGATGTTTTTTCCATATAAACAGGCCCTTAGTAACAACTTCTAAAGGATTGAAAACTAGAAAATGCTTTAGAAGCATCCCTGCATAAAGTCATTGAATATAATTTTGAAACCTTAGACATACTTGCGAAAGAGTGCTTCTCTTTATTCTTCGGGCAACCAGAAGAAATATAAGTTTCACATGATATCTTAATTTGAGAGACTTCAAATAAATGTTTAAGACAGAAGAGACTAATCAAGATTTTCCTTGCTGCAAGTTTTCATCCTTTGACGTTGGTACTTCTGTTACCAATAACTTCTTTAAGTAACTGATCCAATCAAGTTAAGTTCCTTGACCAATCAGTAATCCTTACCTAATAGGATGGCATTGCTAATATCTCCTTGATGCTTACCTTGTTGCGAACCTTACCAGGAGAACTAAGGGCAGGACGCCTCGTTCGTGTTTATTGGATCTGATGGCCTGGAGCAAGGAACCGTTGAAAAAAAATCTATATGCTCCTATAATCACATGACAGGTTTTCAAAGCCCAGAAAAGTGTCAATCTTTCCTCTGGACAATACCCGCGAGATGTGCAAAAACAAAGCCTGTCTTGGCTGTGGCTCTCGACCGTTGACCACGTGATCAACATATTTTCTGAGTTCTGTTCTCATCCCTGAAGAACTCATTGTGAAATCAAGTTTAAGGCTTGTTTTTATAATATATACTAAACTTTAAAAATAGCCCATGGTTTAAAAATAGCCCACAGATTATATAAAGGACTCACTGCATAACCATGCCATAAAATTTCTCTGTTCATGAATGTGAAGCTTGCCTGTTGGGAAAAGAGTAAGTTATGACAAAAGCTTTAAGATGAGGGAGCAATTGATAGATAATAACAAGAACGTAGCGAAATCGCGAAAAGAGTAGGACTGTTGATAGGACAAGTTGGTAACAGTTCCTGAATTATCAAAAGGACATTTTTACATATTATTGATCACCAGTGGCGAATTTTTCCCAAACTGGGTCTGGTGCTGCAGCAGAAAGGAACCTATTATTGGGCCTATTCACCTCTGTTTTCTTCTCTGTTTTCATTTAGATCTAATTCAGAAATTGGCCTAATGCTGCAGCACCAGTAGCACCCACCTTAATCCGGTCCAAGCTGATCACTATCTCAATTACTGATCTTGCATGGAGGCAGCGGCTTTCCGAATTTCATCCCAGCAAAGATTGATAACATTTCATTTCAACAATGTAGTGCATACGCTTTTAATAAAACCATGAATGAATTTTACAATTTTCATCTTTTCATATGCTATGAATATGAGTTTTACAATACTCATCGTAAAAATCTTTCATATGCTATCAGTGTCCAAGTATTTCATCCTCCATGAAGTAGGATAAATAACACTTAAATTGTAGGCTAGAAACAACATTCCTGATAAAAAATGGCATTTTCTATTCGATACATTGTAGAAGTCCCATTAGTTCGTGAGGTAAACAAAGTTTCTGAAATTTCTAAACTTCCGACTCATACCCAAATCGCAAGATTTTTGAACAACAACAGACAAATTTTATGAAACGTAGGATTATTCCAATCGGATATTACATCGATTTAGATACATTCTAGCCTGCTTAATTTATCAAATTCTTTTATAAAACTTTAAAAATAAAAAAACTAAGCAAAATGTTACGAAAAAAGAATCATGACAAAGTTACACTAAATTTAAATCGAAGCAGGTTCAAAAATTAATCCCACTTCTCTGATAATCCCACCTCTGTAATAATTCCACAACGAGGTTTAATCAATTATCCCGCAGCAGGAACACGAAATAATTCGGTGTAAATTAACAGGCTCTTACCTTTTGTATCGACTGGGGCTTGTTGTATACGTGTTGCAAACCAAGCAGACGCTCCACCAGCGATGGATATCTTGGGACGTTGATGAAAAATTATAACATAATTTCAGAAAAATAAGCAAAGAACTAAAAGGTGAAGAAGGCTTATCATGCTAATTGACGAGATTATTTAATTCAAAGGAAAAATAAATGCAAGATACAATATCTCTCCTTTACTCCCCACAATTTTATCAGAATTCGAAAATATTCAGAGAGTTCCTTTACTTCTGCTCTTTTCATTTGCATAATGAACAATCGATGATCAAAAATCAGTGGACAGCAATCACACAATAATTGATCAATCAATGATCATTTACTTGCTATGAGACAAACACGTGAATCATCGATCGGTCATTGATTGATCCTAGAGCAATCATGTGAACCATCGATTGGTTATTCATTGGCCCTACAGCAATTACGTGAACCATCAATTGGCCATTGATTGGCCCTACCACAATCAAGTGAATTGTCGATTGGTAATTGATTGGTCTTAGAGCAATCACGTGAAACATCAACTGCTTAAAAAACCAGCGTTCAAAGGATACGTTCCATTTTGTAGAAATACCATCAAGTTTACGATTGACGCTAATCGCCAAACTTTCTCGATCCACTTGGCACAAGAACGTACCTTAGGAAAAACAAATGAATAAGTAGATACTGCCATCAAATTGAATGCTTGATAGATACTGTTTGATAGCCTGTTTTACTGTTTAGAAAACTCTACTTGTTAGTTGTGATAATCGACTTAAAGAGCCAGATTCACATTCCACAATATAATTTAAACAACTTGGGTAGCTTGAGACTATAATCTGTTTAATATCCAAGATTTTGCAATTTTGTCTTTTGAAATCTCAGACTTTACAATATGTTTGCAACCACAGTGCACACAATCTATCTTGGATCTCAGATACTACAATCTGTTTGCAATTCCAGGTCATTTCAGAAATTGTAAGGATTTCTAGCAGATTATTCCCCAGTTTAGGACCATACGGTAACCTCATATTCAGCTTGCCTAATAAACTAAGTAATTTTTCGTTGGCATGTACTGAATCATGCATGATTTTATTTCTATTAACATAATTTCAAAATTCTTCAGGTAACCCATGTTAATTAAGACGGCTAGTAACAAATAATTTTCAATTCAAATGAGCACACAGTTAAAGATGTTTGTCTTCATATGTAACTTTGAAAACTATGATTTCTAGAATATGATTTTTCATAAATTGTTTATTTTCAAAATCTTACTTGGTTGCTAATCTATAAACTTCAGTGCAGTAGCTTATTTTAGAGAAAGCTCAAGGAAAACCAAGCAATTAATTTTAGAGCTTGATAAAGGGAAAAGCTTGCTCTGTGTTCTGATGTTATCTCTACACCATACAAAATTTGTTAACTAGTAAAATACCAATGTATAGTTACATTTTATGATATATAAACATATGCAGTTTAGTTGCCTTATCTGAGATTGATTGCTGGTCTCCAATTAAAGAGAGGATATCATAGAGCCTTTCTTGGAGCCAGGGTGATGCCACATAAATCAATGCAAGCACTGTCCTTGCTTTCAGATTAATATGACTGAGCCCCCCTGAAAAGAAAGAATGCAATAAACATCACATTGTTGGTCACAGCACTGAAGGATTTGTGTGTATGTGGCCAGGGGAGAGGGTTGGTTAATAACTACCTCTTGTCACTTCATTTCAAACCTACCTGAATGACATTTTCTTAACTTGAAAAAATACTTTGCAATATGGTATCAGGTCTGTGTTTCTCTGGTGCTAAATCTTGGAACAGCATTCCAGTTGACATAAAAAGATCATCATCTGCTTTCAGTTTTCGTCAAAAGCTTCAAGCCTTTTTATTTATGAAATATAATCAGAGTTAATCCTAAAGTGATGAATATTGTTCCGTCACTCAGTCAATGGATAAATAAGATTCAGAACCATCTTTAAAAAGGGGGTGCTCTCTCCCCGATTAGATTATCTTTTGAGAGGGCTCCTCCTAGAGAAATCCCCTTGAATGCAACATCTTATGTAAATTGTTATTTTTTGTGTGTTACTATTAGTATGTTTATGTAATTTGTAGTCATTGTATGTAATTAGTGTTTCTATTAGGATATTGTATGTAGAGGAATTTTAAAATATATGAACTGAACTGAACTTGAACCCATCTTTATAATGAATACATGAGCAAAATGTTACTGAAATTTGAAAATTATAAGAAGCATTAAAAGCCGAAGTTTTAACAGCATGAAATAAAAACATAAGAAGTGTAGCTTATCCAACTAACAACTTTTGAAGCCTCAAAATCTGCAAGTTTATTCAACATTGAAAGTGGGGCCTAAGCTGTGATCAGAATGACATACCAGTTGCATTCCTTAATACCAGCCATATTTGCTGGAAGAATCAAAACACCTTTAAAAACTTACCGTCTCCTGCATTTGCTGCATATCGCACATCAAAAAGACTTTGTCCTAGTGTTGCTGTGTTTTTGCCAAGTGTGAACTGAAAATATCACCAAGTATATTGGAATCAGTATACAAAATAATAGTACACCTATATGATAAAAATTTAAAAATTTTAATTTAAAAATTTAAAAAGTTTAAAAATTATGGCCTGAGGCTTCTAATAAAATCTAATTGCTTAACCATTTCCCAATGACTCAGGTCCCATTACCATCCAATTGTAAACTGAAAACTTTTTGTTTTGAAAGTGAACTCAAATGAATGAGAAGACTAAAAATGACATATCTCACAAACAGTTGAAAACATGGGTACAATGAAAATTATGAAAAACAAAGCTGCAACAAAGAGGAAACCCAAAAATGAATCGCCAACAACCAGCATTGTTAGCAAAAACAGATAGGGCGCCCCTGAAGGACAGTCATGAGATCCCTGAAGCACACACAGGATACACAGGAAGGAAAGACAGACTTTGAGGATCCCTGAAGGGCTAAGGGAGATCCCTGAATATTGGCAGAAAAAATGACAGAAATAAAAACTGTGTGCTTTATACAGGGCCTTCGTAACAAGTTGAAAGGGTTCCTTGGAGATAGATAGCAAAAAATGCTGTATTTTTCAAACAAATGTAAGACCATACACCAAATACTTTATTCAATCAAGCCATCAATCATTGCAATTTTTGTGAATGAAACTGACAATCATTCTGCTGGTGTTAGAAGTGGAAAATTGTCTATCAATAGTCTTTGCTTTACTGATGATATTGATCTACTTGCAAATAGCTATGACGAAAACAAGATGAAGGGATAGGCAGAATACAAAAAGACCCCAAAAGATATATGATTGGCAACAGTTTGGAGAGCAAATTGATTGTTCAACAACTGTGTCAGATCAGATAATAATGCTGGAAATTCAGTTAAAGACAAGGAGATCTAGCTTCTTAGAGAAATTAAGGACTTAAGCTAAGGGCACACAAGAGATTTTAGCTAAGCTAAATGGGCAGTTTTTTATCTGAATTTTGCCTCATGAGCTAAAATTTAGAAAATAAACTAATTTGATACTTTTTATCACTGGTGGCAGTTTGCTCACTGTGATCACACCATTACTATACATGCACTTTTGAAGGAAAACTGTGTAGTGAAATGCCACATCATGAGGCAAATAGCTTATTAACTAAATATCACATGTGCCATTTAGTTCAGCTAAAATCTCTCTTGTGCACCTAGCATTATGGGATATAGTGCCAGAAAAAATTGACAAAATTAAATTAAACAGAACCTTTGGGAAAAAACAAGTGCTTTGCAAGCTGGATAGGGTAGAAGGAACAAGGTATTCAAAAGATCTCTGACCTTTTAACTGTTTCAGAGAGTTTAACATTTACTGGACAGGAATTGATTAATTTGAGATTACATGTTATCTTATACCTCTAGGTATTTCATGTATGTACTGAAAACAAACAAAATTTCCTTGTGGGAATTTCCTTTATATATGATGGTGTAAGACCAGAGAGAGACTTTTTCAAACAGCTATGAGGAGAAAAATTAACTTTATCTGACCACCCCGTAAGATGCGATGTATTGATGAAAATTCTCATGCAAGTTGCTTGTGAAGGGAGTGAGCATCAAGAAAGAGCAATGTAAGTGTGTCATAACAACATTAAAGAATAGAGTAGCTTAGGCAAGTTGAAATAATACCATCAAGCCCTGGACAGAACACATCCCCATGAAATGCTAGTGAATAGGTGCACCAATGTATTTAGCAACTTAGGGAAGAAGGAAGATTATGACAAATGGCAGGAAAAATGTCAGATGATATGAAAATACCTATTTCCATAAACTGCTAAAAACACTTCAATGCAAGGATCACAGAATAATAGCTTAATGAGACATGTAACAATGTTGCAAATTCAAAATGAAAAGAAAAACCGTTTAATGAGTGTTTGCATTAGAAAAAGGCACCTTAGAAGGAATACTAAGCTTGAAAATGGTTATCAAACCGTACAGAGAATAAACAAATGCCTATTCTGTATGTGTGTGTTTTATAGACCATGACAGGGCCTTTGAAAGATCTTATGATGAGCAGCTGATTTATTGTGGTCCAAATGAAATGACATTAATAGAAAGGATACAAACTAATTGCTAGCTTGCACTTAGAATAGAAAAGAGTGATAATAACAGAAACAATAGAAACCCTGGAACAGCCTATAGCACCCTCAAGCAAGTAAAACTAGCTTTATTTTCCAAGAAAAATTCATTCAAGGAAGAGATGAGATGGACAAGTGTCCTGTGTATCTTTCCTCTTGTCTGAAGCAGAAAAACTAATATTTATCTTAGTAAAAGAAAATGGATGCATTGGAAAAGTACCTATCGAGAAGAAAAATGCACATACCTGAGTGTACATAAAAACTACAAAGAAATACTGTGAGCAGCAGGCACAAAAAGAGGAGTACTAAAGATCATTAAGCAAATAAAGCTTAATCTTTTTGGCAATCTTATGATATTAAAGTTAGAAAATAAATTGAGTACCAGAATGAAAATAAAAAAGTTTGATTGTTAAAAACCATTATATTCTTGTACTCAATTTATTTGCTACTTATATTATTGTTTTATTGGATGAAGTACCACACGCAACATACATATTTTATGATATCTCTCAAATAATGAAAATTGGAGACAAAGTTTAGTGCAAGCTGAAAAAGGAAAAACTGAAAGTGGGGTGGTCAAAAAAGATCAAAAACTGGAGTGGTATCACAAGATATGATATGAAATATAGAAAATAACTCACAACAGACAAAGATGGACGTCCAGGGTCACTAACCTCATTGTTGGAGATGGAACAGAAAGATTGATCTATACAAAAGCAGTGTGGCATGTTGGAGTTCTTCTCATTGAGATTTTGTCTAAAAACCTTTGAGCAAGAAAACACAGACCAGGCCATTTGTGAGGAAGGCCATAGCTCTATTGCTCCCCACCATGTTCCCCTCAAATTCCTAAGACGAGTAGTACATTGCCCTCATAAATTGTCCAAAAAATAAAATTGCCCTCCTTACAAACAACTTTAACTTTGTTTCTATTTCTACTTATTCATGAATAGCTTCCTTCGTAGTTTCTAGGAGAACCAATTACTTCTCAACTGCTAAAAGTCTTATTGTAAGGCCTGAAAAATACTGATAAATATCTTGTAACTAATATTGATGCATACCTTCCAAATAATTGCTCTTAGTACCAAATTGATTTCTGGTTGCCATCTGAATGTTTCTGCCTAGATATCAAAAAATAAGAAATCTTTATAGCAAATCATATTCCTTCTAGCTTTACCCACTCTAAGAAGAATCCAAAATTTTGAAATGCTATAAATAATTTCACTGGGTTTCTAAAAAACTCTGAAGGATAGTTAAAGTGCTTCTAAGGTCCAAAAATCACAACATATTTCTTTGTTTGAAACCAATGTGAAATTTTTGCTGATTTTGATGAATTAAACTATTGCCAAAGATAGAATGTGAATATGCTGTTAAAAGGCTAAGAAAGTGCCAAAACACAGAATAGAGGCAAAACAAAGCATGCCTCCAGTGGCATCCGCAGGTGGTGCTGATGTTGCTCAGGGAGCATAAAAATACAATAGGCCTAATGTAACCATCACAATAACAGCCCCCCCCCCTCCCCCTCCTCTCTAGCTAGTGATGGAATGGAGCAGAAGCAAGTTTGTATTAGGTTAAAGCAAAGTTCATGACAAGGAATATTAGACCTAATACAACCAGGATATAATAGAGTTTATTTCAACATGTTTTGAACCAGATTTAGAATGCTGCCGCCATAACAAACTGTCTGTTCCAGTGATTTGATTTTGCCTAGCCACACAGGATTGATTATGATCATGCTTAGAGTTCACAGAGGATGAAAAGATAACTGGCCTTTATGAGTGAACTTTTTCTATATATATTTAATCTAGCTTCATTATTTACTTGATATTGTTACTAAACAAGAACTCAATTTGTTGAAATTGATGTCAACTCCACATCTACGGCCGTTTATGTGGATCAAACCATGTGACTCTAGGCCCCCAATTACGCCACAGATTCTTTGTTTCGTTCACAGCTGAGGCCAAACTTTTAAATTGAAGTTATTTGTTTACCTTTGAAGCACTTTAAGATACTTTAAACCAGTCTGTTGCACAGTGCTTAATACCATATATTCTTCTTTATAGGAATACAATAAATTTTGTCCAGCATCAATATTCTTAAGATAGCATCATTTTGAGCTTGAAAAGTATATCTTAAGTATTTTTCCTTTTTCCAATCTAATTTTATTTCAGAGGAACACTCCTCGCACTTGAATATAAACCACATTTTATGAAAAGATGAGATATGTCAGTCATGTGATTCTCTGTTATGAGCATGGCAAATGAGAACATAGAAGGATTATGTTTTAATTTCTATAAGGTATTGGGCTTTGCTTTTATTTCTATCACCATAAAAACTTCAAAGCTTGAAAATATTTACCTGTAAGTACTTGAATACTGCTTTGAGTTGTGACTCTAGCAGATGCAAAATTTCTTGATCAAGAACAGCGGCATCAAGCTGAAAAATATCAATTTATTACTTGGCGCTACAGAAAAGCAAAACACTCTTCTCACTGCCTTTGGTAGGCTCTGCTGCAGCGTATGGCAATTCTCATTAAAATCTCTCCCATGCACAGTCATTTCAAGCATATTTTCTACATGCAAACTCTCTTTATTATTTCCTTATACTCAATAATATCTTACACTGAGACCTTTAATTATTTATCTGGCCTGCAAAAAGAAGGTTTTGATAACAGCGCTGTAGAAAAATTTTGCATGCAATTTCAAATTTTGCCAGGGTGCATTCCATGTACTTAAGCCAGAAGATCTTCGGTGTACACTCAGGTTTTTTTTCGGCGTTCGGTGTGTAAACCAATAAAAAAATTTTTGGCGCACTTAAAATTTTGGTTAGTTGGCATGCTGAACATGAAGCCATGTACATAGTTAATGTAAAATAAAGACTCAAACACTACATTTTTCTCTAATAATCAGTTTTCTTTGTCTGGCGCAAAAATGTTTATTGTTTTACTAACCGCTTTTATGTTTTTGGCATACCTGAACAAATGCCCCAGTGGACCTTCGGCGTACAGTTGACATAGAATCCACCCTGGAAAATTTGGTGTACAGCACTACACTATCATTTTACCGTCAAAAATGTAATCATTCTTTCTGGAAATTTCATCATGGCACAAGTGAGCATTAGGCCAATAATTTGTTCAAAAGTTTGAATATCTTTTGGAGGGAAATTTGTTTTCTGCAGTTTCAATTCAAGCTTGTAACTATATAAAGGTTGCCTACACTAGGTGAGCAGAAGTATTGCACCACTTCGACCAATGAATAATGGCGTCAGCGTTGTGAGTAACATGCCCTTTGAAATTCAAACCACTTTTGTGAAACCATTAGGTGTCCTTCTATGATTAAAACTCAATCAAACGAAACTTCAAACCTTTGGCAATACTTTTCATTTTAATTTTGAAAAATATATTTCTAAAATTTAAGAAAAGTAAATTTTCATTGGAGAGTCTCGAACCTTTGAAACCCTTTAAGACTTGCTAAATTCAGTCAAGAACTTTTGCAGCAGGTTACTTGTAATCGCCAAAGGATTATTTAAAAAAAACATTCGCAAGATCACATTTAGGTGTCTAAGAACCAAGATCATCATTAATGGCCTTGAGTTTTGCAGAAAGCGACACTAATACGGCCGTGTTTCAATAAGGGTTTTTGGGCACTTGCAGGTCACTATTTACGACTGTTTATCGCAGAAATTTTGGTATTTTCATTCAACGAGGAGATGAAATGCTGTTTTGCTATTGCTGTAACATTTTTTCCATTAAAAATATTCTGTTGCAACATGTTACGAAATGATATCCGAAATTAGGCCTTTCGCAGTACGAAAAACGTGCGACCAAAACTTCTGGGAAATACTTTAATAACAGTCAATACTTTTGCTCACCTCTAGCGTATAAGCTGATTATTGAATAAGTGCCTTGCATGCACAAATTGGGTACCTGGACAATTCTCAGAACTGTTAGTTTGCTACTTCTGTCATCTTCACTCCAGCTCATACCTCGTCTTATTCAGCAAAGCTACGATTTTTTGTGTGTTATCATCTCTCACTCTTCAGAAAAACAAACCGAAGTAAAATTTTAAAATGGCGACAATCATAAACCTCGGTTTCATGTGGTCCTCGAATTCATTTCCAATTCTGTGGCAAGGACGTCACAAAAACACAAAAATATGCTTTAATTCAGGGGCGGATCTAAAGAAAAATTTGACTGCCGCAAAAGGGTGTGGTCCAAAAGTAAATGGCAAAAAGGGGCGTGGTCAAAACCCATTTGCGCATGCGCAATGTAAAGTGGTTAAATAGTGGCGTTGCTTGCATGTAAATATTTTATGTTATTCAAGGAAACTATAAAACAACATTATCTTAAGTAATTCTTCACTGCCAATTATGAATCTTCACTGCCTACTTCTTTTACAGTTACAAAGGTTAGCATGGTTAATAATAGGGTATGGTTGATATCAAATCTGCATTGATTCTATATCTTGCTACTGCACAGGAAACGTCTGTCAAAAAAATTCACCAGCTTGTCTCTGGATGAATTTACACCCCAATTCTTAGATAAAAAATGTCCAAAGGCAGGCAAATTGCATAATATTAAGCTTTAGAATATTGAAACCATGGGTAACTTTTAAGCCAAGAGAATGAAAAACTTTCTTTTTTCCTAAATTTGGAAGGAACTCTAAAATTTGCATCTGGTTCCCAGGCATTGTTCAAGAGATCCTACTACTGAGCTGCTCCAACAAGTTCAACTTGTCCAAAAAGCCACTATCAGAATAATTTGAAACAGCAATTTCAATTCATTTTCTGTTTTGAGATTTTATGGTTCAGTTTATGAAAGGAAACAGAACTTTCTTTAGGAGTATGAAGGTCTAAGTGAGTAGGCTTGAATTTGGCTTCTTCTCCTCCTAAAGCTACAACAGTTAGACTTTGCATTTGCACTTGAATCTTAAAAACTAGTCTTTACACTACTGGAACTTATTGAACATTGTCACCATCAAAAACTGAACAAAGATGTCAGAAGTCTATATAAAATTCTATCAAAATAGAATTTTATATAGACTTCTGAAATCTTTTTTCAGTCATGCCAATAACCTCTAGATACATGGTGTTTTGATCAAGCTTTGCAGACAGGGTGTAAGTTATTTGATGTTGCTGTGTTAAGCACTCAAATGTTTGACAGTTTAAAAGCATATCAATAAGCCTATGGGTCTGGTCTGTTGCCAGCAAAGAAACAAAATTGTGAAAGAATGCACTGACGGTTACATACAGATAAAGCTCTGCTATAAAATGCCGTAAGTAATTGATATTTTTTCGTACTAAGTTACTTTCATAGATAAAGATTATACAGACAGTTAACATTACAGATTATACCAACAGATGACATTGCAGATTGACAGATAATAGATACAGACATCAAAGAATAAAGTATTTTTCGAAGATTTATTTGGGAGTCATTCAGATACACAAATTCTATTTCCCTTAAGTTTACTTGTCTTTTTAAAGACATTTTCTCCAAAATATCTCAAAAAGCAACCAAGGGCATCCTGAGAGGACAAGATAAGCTAATTTCATAACCATAAATAGCAATTCAATAATCCTTACTAAAATAACACAGATTTGCCAATCAGGTGATAGCTATGTCAAGTTATCAGAAATATAAGCACTGGTTAAAATTTACTTCTGAACACATAAACATTCATCAGACTGTAATGTTATGTTTTTAGTTTTTAAGTCTAATAGCAACAGCTTTCCCAAATTGAAAGATCTCTGATACATTTGTGTCTGATGTGTCATAACATAACATAACATAACATACCATAACATAACAAAAGATAACATAACATAACATAACATAACATAACATAACATAACATAACATAACATAACATAACATAACATAACATAACATAACATAACATAACATAATTTGAAATATAGCACACAAAATTAGAAAAAGAAACCTAGCATGCTCTGATGCTATGTTTGAAACAAATCGAAATTGAAGTTAAAAAAATTTATAGAGAGAAAGTGAGGCTAGCTATTTTCCCTGGAACCTCCACAGAATTTTTGAAACCAGATTTTCTATGTGTATTAAATTCTTGTGTCTGTAAACTTATAAAATACTTATTAAATACTCTGTCTATTATTTTTAAATTTACATCGTCATGATTCGAGTCAATTTGTTCAAACAAATAATATTTTTTCTATACTTTATGTTGTATTGGGAAAGAATTGACAATGCTAACTGACTCTGATAATATACACATTTTATGCGATAAAAAAAAAAGTTTTTTGGCAATCATATTGTTATTAAATAACAAAGAACATTATTCAAATACGTCTAAATTAAAAGAAACCGAACGTTAACAAGAATGAAGCATAAATAACAATGTTTCAAAAACGTTTGCTTCAATAATAATTCACCTCCAAAGAAAAAAGTTTGTTCTCGGCTCAACATAGAACTTTTAACCAAGTAGGCCTTGCTCCGATACTTTAGCTGCAGAGATAGAAGCAGAATTTCCAAGTCTTTTAAGCTTAATATTGCTAAGGTCATGCATGAAGCTTCCAATATTCACGTCTCTGACAGAACTTAACCTTTTTCAGGATATCCTTTCCCCTTCTCAGCTTTATTTTCCTGTCTGTCAAAATCACGGTACAGGAGTGAAATGAGGCTGCTAATCGTCTTCATGATCACCGCACCGATCTAGTGGATCACCTACGTATGACAAGTATCACCCTGATATCAAATGCGGCATTCTGCGGCACCTCAAGATTCCAAATAACCATACGCTGAGCCCACTCCACATATTTTGCATATACAAAAAATTTCTCATACATCTCATCGATGCCGCAAGGAGAACAATAAAAATGACGTAGGGTCTCAAAAACGATTGTTTAAAACTGCGCGGGCATCTAAAATTAATATGCGAAATGCCGCAAAATATAATTTATGTCAAATCATCTGAGGCAGGGAAGAAGATCACATAATCGCAGGGAAAGAATCACTTATTCGCTCAATATGAGGCGAAGCAAAGATGCAAAGTAGGGTCTCACAACGACTGCACGCAATCAATTAATGGAGATACTTGGGGGAGAAGAGGGGGGAGGTGGGAGGGCATGAGTCATTAACAAAAAAATCAAAGGATGTATGTAGTGGAATTTCAAATAAATGAAACTGAAACTGAAGATGTGTTTGGCGAAATTTAAATGTTTCAGTCTTTGTCAGCGGTAGTTGACTGCCTTGCGTAAGGCAGTTGCGGCACCCTAGATCCGCCCCTGATTAATTGAGAGTTTTTGAATTTGAATTATAGGCCTACAGCTGAAACGCCAAAAACCGCAAAATCCGATGTATCACCCTGATCATACCCCGATTGAGGGTACCCGGAAGCGAGCCGATTTTTTTCTATTTTGCATGGAACAGAAGTTGGAAAGAAAGAGATCTTTTAGCCGTTTGAGTGACGTCATACCCATAACTTTCCGGCCATACCGTTAGTCCTCGGAAAAGCCCCAGGGGACTTGTTTCGCTATAAAATTGGGGCTAATTGGGGGCGCTTATTTCAGCAGCAGCCAAAAAAATTACCAGGGCAAATTTTATTCCTCTATTTTAGGCTGGTAAGTATACTTAAAAATGCAGTTGCATTGGGATAAACTTATTGCTGTGGAGACAATGCCTCAGCGAATGGGGGCTTGTTCAAGGGTGGGGGCTTATTTCACAAAAATTACTTTAGGATGAGGGTTATTTCAGGGGGGAGGGGGCTTGTTCAAAGGCTAGTTGGTGAGGATTTACGGTACACTAACTACATACCAAGAGTAGAAGCGAGGATAAAAGTGGCGGCCATGGCATACAAATGTGATGATGAAAAACACTATAAACCTAAAATAACCTATAACCTAAAAACAAACCTAAAATAACCTATAAACTACAGTGTGATTTACACATCATTGAATTACTTTCAGCGATATAAAATCTCGTATCAATTATTATGAACTTTACGTCAATATTGAACTACGGCTTGCTTAGTTTATATTAATTGTGCAAGACATTTGAGACGCTGTGACAGCTTTGAATAAAGTTGCATTGTCAACTGTACCACAGAACTGTACTTATGCAATTGCAGGGACATAGAGTTTCATTCATCTGTATTTCATACACTCTTGGGCATAGCTGTTGCGATGAACGTCCAATTAAGAGTAGCTAACATGCATATACTGTCGCACATCTAACCCCCTTCACAAATTCCATTCAAATGACAGATAATGTCCTGTCAACATTTAGATGGGGGCAGGGGATGCAGAATCTTAGTATGGTCTGTCCAGGAAAGAAGCATGAGCAGAGGCTGCAAACGAGAGAAGAAAAAGGGGACAGGGGGGTAGAAGTGCATAAAAAGTTTAGATCTTGTTAATTTGGGTCTTTTAAATGAAAACAAAAGCAAATCACAAACTAATCGATTTTTAAATCATTAAAATGATCCCAGTTTTCAAGCAAGCTAAAGATACTAAATTATTTGACAGAAAGTAACGAATCTTTACAGTTACATAGATGCTTCTAAAGAGAGAAATTTTGCTACATATGAGAAGATGTCCGAAATGTTCCACATGGTCTAAACGGTCCTAAGGCTACTACCATCTCTTGGCCCTACAACGTAGCTATACTGTAACACAGTAATAATCAAAGTTCGGTTGATGGCTCTGGCGTGAGGTCTGACGTCATTCGTTGAACTCTTTTACCGTTGCATAACTGGCACAGAAGGTGACCATCTAAAGGGTAACAGCCTTGACCTGTTTCACTTGATAACAGAATTCCACAGTCCTAATGCCAAAGAGAGAAGCGGTAAGATAATATGATTCTGAAACAAAGATTCTACACTGAAGATGCTACACTCGAACAAAGATTCTAGCAGCAAAATAGAAAACAGAAATCGTTTGGATTGGCCTTGAAAGTTTTATTCAGTTTGGATAATAAGGGTTTTAATCACTGTTTTGTGAATCCAAACAATCTTCTGGTGGTACAAAACTTGAAAATGACTTTGAAAAAACCAAACATTTAAGTAACCTAAAACTTTTCGTCTAACACTTTTCAGAGTTTAAAACGTCACAACATAGATCGAAAACTCTACGCTAGGAAATCATCATATGAATTTACGTGCCAGTGTGATTCTGGCTACGTAGGATGCACTACCCAAAAATTGGAGGATAGAATAAAACAGCATGTTCCGTCTGGTATTAGAAACAAAACTCATCCCCAAAGAGAACTGCCACCTCAGTCTTGCAGATCTAAAAGTACAACTAAAACCTGCGATTCTGTCATCGGAAAACCCAGATTGTGCAAAAAGCTATAATGGCGACATGTATTGGATTATTGGTAAAGCCCTATCGTCGTTCCATCTAGCAGTTTTAGAATCTATCTACATAAGCACGGAAAAACCGCTATTGTGTAGACATAAGGAGTTCGTTTTCACCTTAGGACTCCATTGATAACATTCTCTATAGACAAGCGGCACTGAGTGGGCAACCTTTACAGTCATGTGCTCGCATTTCTGATTGGCCTATTTCGATCCACAACTGGGTATATATATATATTTCCTACCGTAGTGTTTTGATCTATGTTCTGACGTTTTAAACTCTGAAGAGTGTCAGAAGAAAAGCTTTAGCTTACTCAAATGTTTGCGTTTTCAAAGCCATTCTCAAGTTTTATGCATTTTATAATCAGGTGAATTCAGCCTTCTGGAGTGGGAGAACTATAATTCTTATGACTTTAGAAGATTTTACAGCGAAGGTATTTTGAAATTCAGCATTGTTGAAGGGCAGCGACCCCTAAAAATTTTGAATGAAATTAATTGTCACTTCTATTAAATTTTTAGGTTTGTTTTTAAATAAACTAAAGACTACCGTGTGTGTTATGGCCATGTTATGGCAATTGGGTATGTTATGGCCAATGAAAGATATGGCCAAAATTGGATTACTTTTATTCTGGCCTGGTTAATGAGGCTACGAACCAAGAGCAACTGTCAGTGCTTTGATGGGGAAAGAGCTTGTGCTAATATGGCCAACCCCCCAGATAATTGGGTATTTTCTTAAGTTTCTGTCGTTTGATTGTATTGCCGTTTTCTTTTGTCGGGGGTTTCACCGTACGAATTTGTACTTGCTATTGTAGTTTTGCGTACGATAGCTTCATCTTTGGGTAAGATCTTATACCCGTACCCTTGAATTTAGCCCTCAGTAAAATGCCTTTGGAGCCAGGAAAACCCCACAAAAATAACACGAACTATATTTATATAAAGTACAATATTGTAATCGTCTTTGTATTTGTACCGTAATTGGATGACACTCACCTCGCATTTATAGCAGGCAACATGAAAATTCTTTTGCATAGAAACAATGTGAACTGTTTCACCCTTTTCCTGGAAAGATCAAATTGATAGCTTGGTAAGACCGTTGGGTTAAGGTCGCTGACTACAGACCCAAGAGTCCGTGGTTCGAGTCCCCCAGAGTTAGGAGAGTCGCTAGCTCTCTGTAATTCAAGGAGTATAAATCAAGTAGTGTGGTCACATCGAGAGAAAGGACCAGGACACTGCTCGATAAACTTTTCATCGTCCTAAAACTACGTTCAGAAGCTAGGTAGCAAACAATACAATATAATATAATTCAATACAATTGTATCGTTTTTTTATAATTATAATAAAATGTATGTTTGGTATCCTTATATATATATATAGATATTCAGAAAAAACACTATCGCTTAAATGTTTCTACCGAAGTCTTCATCAGTAATCAGTGTATATATAGTACTGACGAAGACTTCGGTCGAAACGTTTACATGAGAGTGTTTTTCTTGAAGATCTATATATATATATGTATGTATGTATAGAAATTTTTCTGTTGATAGTTCCGTAGCACAGTGCTCAATACATTTGCACGTAGAGCGTAATATAGCATAGAGTTGCAGAAAATAAAACTACATGTTTTATCTTTACAAGCCTGTTTCGTGAATAGCTCACTCTTCACTCTTCTTTAAGCTATCTTATTTCATCTTATATATATAAGATGAAATAACAATAAAAACTCTGAACACAAAGTTAAATAATAAATACATTGGTGAAATTCTTTTATACTCAGATTTAAATCATCAGGAAATATGGATAGTTCGCAGTTCTAGCAATTTGGAGTCCAGATTCTTAAAAAGTTGGTGCTTTAAGGTTGTCTGGCATTTTGTTGTTTAAAATCTCCAATCTCCAATGTTTGCTGATCAAACAAAGTTTTGTGTTGAAGGAATTACACTACTGGCATCTACACTTACTGAAATTATTCTTCATCATCTCAACAGGAACTTTTTTCTTAAATTGCAGTAAACAAGGTGCTTGTTTAAACTGTCAACGGATTCTTGTAAAGATTAGTTCTTATATCCAGGTTTTCAATACAATACAAGTTCAGGTCCCAAAATGTAAGAAAAGAACATAACCACAGACAGTTAATCAAAAAATTTTCATATGCGCTACTTACATTTTCAGGTAGGATCAATTTTTGGCAAGCAGCACAGCGAGGAGAAAACTTTCTATGACAGAAATAAAATCTTCTTTTAGAAAAGATATAACAGTTTATTGCAAGAATTATAAAAACCATATGAATAATGAAAGGTGATAACAAGAAACATCAAAAAGAGAACTTACAACTGGTAGCATTCCACACAATGCACTTGGTTTGTAGCATCCACAGTGAAAGGCACATTATCAAGATTGGATGAGCAAACTGAACAAGTGAAGCATTCTGGGTGATATGAAAAACCTTGGGCTCGAAGAATCTGCATTATCAAAAAATTATATTAATGCTTCATGTCCAGTTGAAATTGAAACTTTTACTAATAAATGTAATATTTTATAAGCGACCCACTTCAACTAGGACAAAACCTTAGATAAGACATAACAATAAGGAGGAGCTTTTTCTAGCCCAGAATTTAAACTGAAAAAACCAACGTGTAGAAAAATTTGTCTTTGTAAAATGTACATGATGAACATTCAGTGGTGAAGCAAAGAGGCAGGGGCTGAGCCTGAACAACAATTTTCAGTGACATGTTTTTTCATGTTAAAAAAACTCAAAGAAAGAAAAAGATACTCTTTTGCATCCCTCTCTAGCATCTTCAGATACCTGTTGTTCTGTGGTGGAGCACTTACATTTACGGAGCAGTGGTTCACTTCTGATTATAATTATGACCAAAGTCAGGCTCTCAGAAATTCACCTGACCAACAGCATAATTTTCATTCAATGGAGCTGGGTGATTGGCCAGAAGTTTCAAGTGAGCATATTGTTTGTGACATTTTGCTCAAGCTTTTTTGGAATAGCCTGACCAATTGTTAAGGAAATAACAAGTTTGAGGGTTATCATTTTGTCACTATCTTGTAAACAATTTAGCAACTTATTTCATTGGCTAAAGGATACAATCATGTGTGTTTGGCAGAAATTATAGCTAGTCAAGAATATAAATTTGGCCAGGCTTATTCAAATTGGCCTGACCTTGTTTTGGAATTCACTTCAATGCATATTTAGTCAAAAGGTTGTTATGGCTTGCAAACCTGAGGTGAAGTGTGAGTTAACCGTGGTTCAATTTTGTGATACTTTTACTGAAATTCTTAAATAGGAAAGTCAAGGCATGCAAGCACTTCCAGTGCAAGTTCTTTTCAGTCATTCGTCTGTGAATTTTTCTGGCATTAGGCTATCAATCTAGCAGAAAAATATGCAATGGGACAGGAGGATAGGCCCTTGTCACTGTGTGGAAGTTATGCTTAGAAGAGACAGAGGGAGATACTGTAAGATGGCTGGTACGATAAAGACTTTCACACATTAATAAAATTATGTCATGTTATCAATGTTATGTCAAGCATTAATGAACATCAATGTGACAATATCAAGCATTAATGAACATCAAAGGTGACTACATTTGGGTACGTCATATACGTTTGGAATACATTTGGGTACATACATTACTGTTGCAAAGACAGAAATTCAATTCCCTATGGTTAATTCACCATGAATAGGTTTTCAGAAATCAGAAGTAGGTGTTTTATTACTGGATGTGGTAAACAGGACATGGCATATGACCATCCCTCCAAACTTTCCCTCCAAACTGACCCTCCAAACCTGGCTTCGCCACTGTGGGCATTGCAAGTAATAAACCAAAATAAGATAATTATAATTGCAATTCACAAACAATTATTTATGAGCTTTAGGCCTTAAACAGAAAAATCTAAGTTATATATGGTTAGTAAAAAAGTAATGGGACATTCCAAAGAGTTTATGGGACATTCCTACTTGATAGTGTACCTTTGGTAAATAAATAAACCTCACAAAATGTTAAATAGCACTTACCCTTTCTGTAATCTTCTTTGCACAAGTAACACACTCTTCCAAACTATCCTATAAAGATTTGTAGTACTTTACCATATATATCGTTGCAAATATTTATTTTGAGAAATTGAAATTTATGGCCCCATGAGGTTTTAGCCCCATGGAACCTAGAGAGGCCTTGTCTGAGTTCTCTTATGCTTAGTGAGTTTAATGGACAACTTTAACAAGCCAATTTTAGAACAAAACTTTCTTATTTCAATAACAACTTTGCAATACTTCTTTTTTGTTTTTTCAGAAAGTGATAACAACACTTGAACAAGCTCTGGATTATACTTTGTTTTCCAAGTGGCATGTGCAGTCAAACTTCTTTTTCAACTTAGCAACAACTCACATATTGTCAGTTACATTCACAAATTTAAACCGAGTGAAAAATTGACTTTATCTTGTTTTTTTTGCTTAATTCAAGAGTGGGAAATGGTAAAACAAACATCTGAATCCATATTAATCATCATTATCTTGCAAAAAAATATCAAACTGGAAACCTGCCTTCTCTTTCTGCAACTAAATGTTTCAATAACAATCTAAAATTAATGTGCTTAAGAGAAATACTCACAAAATAGCAGGTTTCACAATATGGTTCATCTTCAACACAGTAGAATTCTTTGCCAGTCAACTTTGTCTCTGTGAAAATGCACAAGTTGGGAGTAAAAAAAATTTCATCAAAGACAGAAACATCAATGTTTAAAATCAAGAGTGACTGCAAGGTCTATGATTTATTAAATTTTTCAAATTAGCAGTATTGCAAAATTATTCTTTACTTCTCTATCAACACAAAAATTTTGGTACACTGGGTGAACAGGTCTCCTGAACAGGTCATACATATATGAAGATTGTGCATTACTACATTATCACATTGTATCAGGCCTTGCCCGGAAAGGCGCTCGATCGAGCGCGCGCGCCTAGAGCGCACCCAAAAAAAGCCTTGGAGAGCGATTTATAGAGCCCCTCAAAACGTAAAAACAATATTAACGCGGAGCAAAATAAATTTTTGGAATTTATTAAATCAACTTGATCAAACATAAACAATCTTCCCAACAGACCGCAATATTATGATTTGCGTAAGATTACCCCTTGAGAAAAAATTCAGCAAATTCAACGTTGGGTTTTCGATATCATTTTTAATCTGAAAACCCTCTAATAACCATCAAGGATACAGGCCATCAAGCAAGCGTATTCTCCGGCAGATTTATTTGATTTTCGAGCAAGCGTTAATCTTCTATTGAAGTATATATTATTTTCTGTTTTTTTAATAACTTAAAATCGCCTGTGCAAATCAGCGATCACGTTTCCGTCCAAATTATCGCATTGCTTTTCATTTTTAATTTGCTTTTGCGAGTAGTAGATATTCTAGCGTTTCTTATAGAATGGATAACATGAAAAAAGGAAACAAAGTTAAATATTCGATTTAAAGCCATGCGTTTTGATGAAACAATATGTGAAGCTAAACATAACTGTTAAAAGCTCATCGAATGATGGCAACTTACATATCTAAAAAAATCTGAACAATTTTGCGACTTTGTTTTATTATTTATTATATTTCTATATTTATATTAAGATAGTGTTTGTTCATATTTTGTTATTTCATATTATGGTGCTTTGTGGTATCACCGTTGAATTTCAAATTTAACATTCTTCCGAAGCTTTCAATTTGAATCTCTCGATCTCCTAAAGCTCTCGAAGGATGCTCTCAAGGACATTTACTTAGAGGTGCGAAATAGAGCGCCTAGAGTTTCTAAGGGGCTCTTTTTATGGAGCACCTTCATTTTACTTAGAGCAAGGCCTGATTGTATCATGAAAACCCCTGTAGACATAAAAAATTGAACCCAAAATTATATATTTTGGGAAAAGAAATGGAAGAACAGTTTGCCCTGTATTTGTTTACATGCATTTTATGTCTATGCCTTAAACCTTAAGTCTGTCAAGCATTTGAATTACAAATTTCATCCATCTCCTTGCAAATTTCATGCAGAAATTTTAAGACTCCACTTCATAGCAACCAGAGAAATAAATCTATTCTTTGGCACAAGGGAGTTTTATAGTTATTATCATGAAAATTTTTATTGAAAGCTTAACTATAATTTTATCAAATTTCAACTTAATAACAAACACTTTTGACAAAAGCATTCCTAAATTGAAATTATATATGAAAAATGAACCTGAATATACTAACTATTGGCAGTCCAAAATAACTTGCATAAAGCTTGCATAAAGCTTGCATAAAATAGTGGTCATTTCATATATATATATATATATACTTTGAAAAAAGATAAAAAAAATAAACTCACGACAAGTCTTGCATAAAAAGCAGTCAGTGTGATAAATATTGCTCATTGCAGTACATCCATTGCCTTCACCAGAGACATTCTTGCGACATTTGTAGCAGATGCCTGTAATGATTGAAAAAATCATTAAACAAGAAACTTCACAGCTACTAACAGTAACTTTGTTTTGACCCAACTTTAGACTGAAAAAAGGGATTCAAAATTTGTGTGTTAAGTGACAAAAAAGCCAGCAGCAAAATGAACAGAATTCATGCTATTCAAAAGAAAATTGTTTTATAAAAAGGAAACATTTGAGTAAACTAATGCATTTGTCTTGCAGATCTAAAAGTACAAATAAAACATGTGATTCTGTTATTGGGCAGTATTTACTGAAAAACCCAGATTGTGCAAAAAGCTATTATGGCAACATGTTTCATATTATTGGTAAAGCCTGATCGTCATTCCATCTAGCAGTTTTGGAATGTATCTACATTAGCACAAAAAACTGCTATTTTGTAGACAAACGGAGTTTGTTTTCACCTTAGGACTCAATTGGTAACATTCTCTATAGACAAGTGGCACTGATTGGTCAACCTCAACAGTCATGTGCTCACGTTTCTGATTGGTATATTTCGATCCACAGCTGGGTATATATTTTTCCTAGCATAGAGTTTTCGCTCTACTCTATGTTTTAAAGTAAGTTTTGAACTCTGAAGAATGTCAGACGAAAAGCTTCAGTTTACTCAAATGTTTGCTTTTTTTCAAAGCCGTTTTCAAGTTTTGTACCACCAAAAGATTATTCAAAAGAACTACCATTTTTGTAGCAAATTTCTAAAAAACTTGATCTGTCGGCAAACCTCCCATCATTAGCACAAAAATGGCAAACCTCCCATCAAACTTGGCCTAATGATGACACAAGTGTATCTGAGATCAAAGATATTGGTCATAGAATAAAAATAATGACTTCCTTCACTAATCTTTTCATTCAGGAAATATAGAAGGGGAAGCATGAACACTTTTTCCAAAATAAGAAAACACAAGTGGAAGCAAGTTAATGCCCAACCCCTCCCCCTCCCCCACAATGCCTAAAATGTGATTAAACCCTTAAAATGAATCATCTCGCTCTTTGACTTTTGCATGGCAACCCTCTTTCACTTAAGTCCATCCAAATCCATGATATAATTTGTGGTCCCTGTCTATAGGCCACTGAATATCAATGACATCCAACCTAATATACATTTTTAATAAGAGGTGTTTTTTTCACTTGACAGGCAACCCAGATCTGCTGGCATATTGGTAACTCAGGACCAAATATTCCTTTCCAGTTTCACTTGGTCAAACAAAGAATTTTCACACCCATGAAAGGAATCTGGGACATGGTATATCGTATCATGGTCATTTTTGAGGATTGGGTTACACACCACACTAAAAATGAGAATGAATCTCAATGAACTTTGACAAATGAAGTTTTCATCATCAACTTTCACAAGAAGTCAACTTTTACAGGAAGCTCAGTCATTAAACCCAGAGTTGCTCTCCCTCAGAAGAGGTTTCCTTGAACGGTGGAGTCAATGAACTGCAGGATAATAGTTTATCCTTATTAAAACACACCCACATAAACCCATTTTGCAAATCCTCTTTACCAAAGCAAAGTCACCAATTGAAATCAAATTTAAAAGTTCAGCATTATTTATTTGTTAACTTAAGCCAACTAATAGTATTAAGGTGGCTCCGTGTCCAATCAGTTGAGCTATATTTAACAGTTAAAGAAATCGAAGTAAATTACACAAAATACCAATCATATTGTCATGACAGTTACTGGTCACCTCTTTCTCAAACTCACTGCACCTGTACTCTGATTCCATGTCACTGCATTCGATATTTTCACAGTAAGCTGTTTTCTCTAGTATAGTTTTTTTTGTTTTCATGACAAAAAGTGCTGATTTTTAATTTTCTTAACAAATTGAAAATCTTAGAAAAATAAAAACGAAAATTCAATCTGCCCAACCACAATTATGAAAACAATGTTGACAAGCTTCTTGGTATTCTAATAACATTGATGTTAAAACATCCTAATCGGCAGCCAGGACAAGTTTGAGAAAATAAACATGACATCGAATCCTTATGAATGTTTATACTCCAAAAGTAGTTTCTTATTTTTCCAAAACGTCAAGAAGGATCCTGGAAAAATAAGCTGGAAACCAATAAAAAATTTTAAACTTCTGCTAACCGAAACAAACTTAGTAAAAAATGTTTGCATTGAACTGCCAACATACTACCGTGCCTCTCCGATGCTGAAACTGATCCGAACACATTGTAAGGTTTCTATCTATTCAAACGATTGTTATTCTGTGTCTTACCGTAAAAATCAGGATCTGATGTGTTGTCCAAATTTTTCACAAGTAGATCCGTGAGGTCAGCTAATTCATCCTCCATACTTTTTGTCCCCAGCTTTGCCTGGCTGTTTCCGGCGCCAACGGATGCAGAAGATGGTTTTGCCTTCTCTGGAACTTTCTGTTGCTGGATAGATGCCTTGTAAAATATAGGTTTAGCAGCTACAGGCGGTGGTATCTTTTTAGAGCCGTCGTGTGCAATGACCCGGACTTTGTGGATGGTAGGCCCCTCTTTCACCGTGCTGGTGTACACCTTCGGTTTGTTTGGATTCTCCATCCCTAGCTTCTCATACAATCGCTTCTCTGCGGAGTGTATGCTAGATGCCATTATCAATGGTATGACTGTCTTTCAATTTTTTCAAACAACATACAATAAAAGTTTATTCGACAAAAGATATCGATAAATGAACTTACTCGCTTGATCAACTTCACCCAAGTGTTATTGACAAAAGTTGGGTGGGTGTTGTCGTATCATTATGCTCCTGTGCAGTGAATGGGAGGGAACACCCATGAGTACCTCCTGCACAGAGTGCTCAAAAGACTATCTTGAAAATAAGCAAAAGTTAACTTCTTGCTCGGAGAAAAAACATCAACAAATGCATTCCATCAATTAAAATAAAAGCTCCCCAAGAAGACGGTGCCACATCCCTCATCAATCAGGTCTTGAGGCTACATTCCCTCATCACAGGAAGCAACGTTGGGGCGCTGGTGCATCGGCACAAGTTACTTCACCTAACCCATACAAAACCCTAACCTTTAATCTAGCTTAATAGACTCAAGTACAAGCAGCTTAAAGCTCTGGGCAGGGAATGGAAAAGAAAAGTTCACTTTTCTCCACCATACAGCCGATGTACCAGTCCTTCCTTAGATACCTAAGATATGAGAGGGGAAGAGAGAACATGATTGAATTAAGAGCCTAGTCTTTCCTAAACGAAAAATAACAAGAACTTTGAAATGAATCCCATGATGTAAACAGGCCCTAGCCTAATACAATAGAATGAATAAGAATCTGAAGAAAAACAATACGTTTAATATCAAAAGGAGAGGGAAGGACGGGAAAAGAAGAGAACAGCGTGGAAACACCATACGAAGTAAGCACGATACGATAATCCACCCATCCAAAGCAATTAAATACACCCATCTGTGTCAAGGGAAGGGACCAACACTTTCGTGAAGAAAGCCAAACTACAGAACTCCTTCTTCTCTATTATTCCCAATGGCATCAAAGGAGCACATAAGGACTAGAATAATACAAATAAGCTAAAATAAGGACCCCTAGCGAAATCAAATTCTGCAACATCCCCCGTGAAATTAACTCTGATAAATCTGCGGTGAACGGTTTTTGGTGAATTCAATGCCCAGTGTGCGGTAATGGCCAGTACTGAATTAAACTTTTAAGCAGTTTAGTTAGAAAGGTGAAATGCTAGTGGTAGAATCTTGTTTTATCCGTGTCAAAACCTTCGTGACTTTCTGCCGATAAATCCAATTTCTCTTCTTTAAACGGCGTTGCCCCAGGTTCAAAAGTTTTGAAGTTGCAACTGCAAATTTCCATGATTTATTTTCATATTATTTTTGATTACTTTTTTCTCTTATTTTTCCCCAGAATCTTTAAAGACTTATATATAAGCAGATCGCTGGAGCCAGCTATAGAGGCCCATTTCTCGTTTTGCCCATATGTCATATACAACAAGTCATATACAACAGTAAACTCGACTTCAGGTGGGGACACATAGGAGAGGTCCCATATTTTTGTCAATGGCATTTTCATTTGAAGCATCTGCTATGTTAGAATAGGTCATATTTTCTTTCATTTTTGCTTTCCAAAACAGTACAAAACTATCGAAATACATCCGTGTTTAGCTTTTGTAGTACATATAGGTTGTGGTGTCTTCCTGATATATGAAGGAATGCTCAACGTAGAACTTTGTTTTATAGGATTTGCTCGGAACTGAGCCCAACCATTTTTCCTTTACTCTAGTGCTGCTGCTAACTGCTTCTGTTTTATATAAAGTCACCAGCATAGCAGAACAGCACTTTTTTATTTCCAACTATTGGGTTTTAAAAGCTCTCCAGCTGCCTAAAGAAGGAACTATAAAATCTATTTCCAGTTTAAAAGTGGAAATAAATTTGAGCTGTTTCAGGTCCTTCTTTAGGCCCTGGAGTCCAAAGTTTGCTTCATTAAACAGTGTTACGTCACGAACGGCAGAATTACATTTTGGTGTCCCACAGGGCTCTTGTCTTGGACCTCCTCTATTAATAGTTTGAATCAACGAGTTTCCATTTGGTCTAAAAAGCTGCCAGAAAAACAGGATCTCTTTTTCTACAAAGTGTATGAACGACTTGAACAGGACGCTAAGAATGCGCTTTTTTAGAAAAATTTTCAAACTCTCTTCTGTCTCTTCTGTCCAGTCTTAACAAAATCCACCTCCGCATATGTTTTGGCCTATCCATATGGTCTTTTATATTTAGCTAGATCGCATTGGCTCTATTAACGTACAATTTCTTCAAATCACAGTTGAAGATAAAAGTATTTTCGATTGTAGGCATAAATCTAGATCAACATTTAAGGGCTCTATTGCCATTAATTTTTGCAATTATTTTGGATTGAACTTATCTTTCAGAATTCTAGAGCAATACATCACGTAACTGGTTGAATATTCTATGTGTGTTGGTTTTCAGAATGGGTTTTGGTTACCACTTATTCACCCCAAAGTTGATTCATCAGTAATACTGAATCTTCACTAAACATTTTTGCCGTTTACATTGTTGTTGAAATGTTGTTGAAACTTTAACTGATATAAGATGATATTAAATATAATTATTACTGTATTGATATATTTCTATTTTTATATATCATTTGAAAACCTTTGAAAATATCAAGCTGTAATAACAATGAGTTTATTATTAGACATTAAAATGGAATTGATATTACATACATCAGATAGGTGTTCTTGGATTAAAAATTATTCTTGAATGGGGGAAGGAGGCAAAAAATAGCTTTTTTGTACGGCGTTCTTTAAGTTTTTGTGCAAAGATAAGATGGGAGATCTGAAAATTATGTGCCGTCTAGGATTACATTAATTGTTGAGGGATTATCTAATTTTTTGTTAGCTCGTTGATTAGCCTCCCATACACGGCCCCCCTCCAGCACTATACCCCTGGGATTCATAGACAAAATGTAAGTCCACATCTAGTAAGAAAATATGCAATTATAAATAAATGTAGTGAAATTGCATACACAAAACTGCTTCACAACCGAGAGAACTACTTCCTAGCTTCAAAACACTAAGGAAAAAAAGACTAGTTGTATGCATCAAGAAAACTCTGAAAAAGTTAAATGTCAGAGTGGAAAATCAGCTAAATATGATGAAATTTTTCATAGAATTTATGCTAAAAAGATTGACGAAAAAGGGTCCTCATATTTTGTGGCTGGATGAGTTTTGGATATATCATAAACTTTCCGCTGATATATGGGCATATATTACATGCCTGAAACTTGGCGATTTCCCCTGAAAATACTCGAAATTTAAATAAAGTTAATTAAAATTCAAATTGCAACTTATTCGGCAATTTTCATTTTGAACACTCGGTATTCATTAGATTCAGTTTTTAATTAAGTTTTAAATATGTTGCTTCTTGAATGTTATTAACATAGAGGAAAACAACATAGTTTTTACCTTTATAGAGGGTAAAAAGGATTGGTCCTAGAACAGATTGTTGAGGCACTCCAGTTATAATGTGCTTACCAAGGATATTTTGTTACTTACTACTGTGTACTGAGTTCTGTTTTTTAGAGATTTGACTAACCAATTGTGGATATTGCCCCGGCGGCAATACTGGTAGAGTTTCTTGAGTAGAATGTCTTTATTTAAGAGAAAAATTCTGATAGTGGTGTGCTAAAAACAATTCTCCCATACAGTACCGATTTAGTAAAGGGAAGAACAGATTATGGGTAGATTTCATTGTGTGTGCCAATCAAGTATTTTTGTTATTAGGATAAAAGAACATTAAACATATTTTATTGCCGCAGAATTGACTTCTGAGTAGGCGCTGAGACAAAACTGAGTAATATGTTCACGGAAACAGCTATGTTACCTTATGATTCTTAAATATAAGAATATAAAAAGGGTCTCCAAAAACGGGGGGACCCCACTTCTTTGCAACGCAAAAGAACTAACTTGCAAATATTCTGTTAAGAGTTCTTAATTGCCCTTACTCTTTTTCGAAATTCGGTTGGAGCATCTATCAAGTGAATTTTAACAAGCATTCAAAGATTTTTCTTAAACATTGGAAAGTGGCTTTTTAATTGATTTCTAACTACACCAAACGGCAACAGTCCTGGCTTGTTGCCAAGGTTACAAAAGAAATCAACGTGACCTTTCAGCGGAATGAAACTTTGCTTGGCTGGTTGGCACAAAAGTAGAATATGTCAGGCTCGTCGGAACTTGGGGGGCTGGGGGGACTGGAGCCCCCCAATAATTGTCAAACTGTAGTATATTTCCTTTATAACTCAGTGTACTGAATGAGAAGGAATACAATGGGCAGCGCCCCGATATAAACTTCCTACCGACGGCACTGTATGTCATAATCTTCTTTACATAGTATTAGTCGATTAAGCATCATTTAACTTACAAAAACCATTTTGATATCAAATCGTCTTTTCATATTCGAAAAAACATATATGCTGTTTATAACTAAGGATAATCATTCTCGTCGCCGTTTGGAGGTGAATCTTATTATGAATCTAGAATCTAGTTTGTCAAAGACCGCTAAGCCGCTGTACAAGAGGCTTAAAAATTTTACTGCGCTTGCTCCACCATGACTCCCTGGGAGAGCAGTAAACAGGCCCTACCTAACGGCTCTCTAGCGATTAGTTGTGTTTAAGTTGTAAATTTGTTCAATCAAATAGCTCTTTGATATGATGAAATCGCCAATGCTTGTATAACGGTATTGTAACATATGTTTTTCTCCTCGTATAACAGACCATCGTTTCTAAAAGACTGAACACTCCAAGAACAAGCCACAAAATCCCCATTAAGCAGCTGAACACCCTTCAAAACATATCAAAATCGGCACATAATGCGAAAAATAAATTGGTCATTCAATCAAAATCCATTTTGGGGCGGGAAAGGGCCTGATGTTGATGTAATTTTCAAAATAATGGGAAATTGCTTGAATGCACAAAGGGATCGCCAGGAAGTCAAAATCGAATTTGCTCCGCATTATTTTTCGAACTATATGCCGATTTTGAAAAGTTTCAAAGGGTGTCCAGCCACTTGATGGCAGATGGCTTGTCCTTAGGGTGTTCTTGGGGTGTTGTTTGCGACTATCGTTGCGATGTACAAAGTATTTTGCAACTTTTTTCAATATTTAGCAGCATTTTGCTGATAAGAACAAAGCATCGTCAAGTGGTTGTATCTCCATTCTGTCACACTACTTCGCAGGCGACTTTTTACTATCCGCAGAGCTGAGAATGACCTTTCGAAACGAAAGAAACGAAATTCAAATTCGAGGGGGGGGGGGCGGCCTATTGTATTGCTCCCTATTCAGTACACTATTATAAAGGAAGTATAAAACAGTTTGACAACTATTGGGTGGGTTGGAGGGCTCAACTGAGTGTTGACAGACATAAACAAAAAACATTTTTTGATTATGCCTGTGCTACTCACCAATGTTTATCAAACCTTGAGTGAAGGTCATCGATCGCTATGACATTCACAGCATCGGATAATAAAACCTAAGTACCAACCAGATGGCTTCGGATAACGCATTATGTTCGATTAAGAAGAAAATATCTATACTGTTGTAAACAGAATAACTTTCTTAAAATCCCACTAAGCTTATCTTATTTAGCAAATTTTCGTGACACCTAGAATTCGGCATACAATGCCTGCCAAAAGTCTTGGAACACTGACATCAATTTCCAAGGTCAAAACCAATCATCCCCCTCTCCCCCACGGAACAATGTTGGTTTACTATCAAACGGACTAGGATTTTAGGAAGCACTTTCTTTTGCGCTTCTTTTATGATATTTCTCTAAATCATCAACATTGTTTGAGGGGGAAGGGGGCGGAAGTAGCAAATTTTTTTCATGAAAGGAATGAAAGATATCAAATGCAGCGTAAATTGGTGGGTGTTCCAAGTACTTTTGGCAGGCATTGTAGAAAGAGTAGTCGCGAAAAGAGCGTATCTGAACATTAATTTTGTTATTTAACATTCTACATGCCAATAATACAATGGTGTACACCAATCAAAAGTTAAAATAATAGAATATATCTGAATAATTCCAAAACATAAATATCTAATTGTAGCTAAATTCATAATGTATATATAAGGATTGAACAGCTTCATGTGCATGATCAGGGCCTGCGCAACAGGGGGTAGGGAGATAGAGGGCACAGCCTCTCCTATTTTTCGCTTAATAACAGATTAAGATCAGACCAAATTAATTATATAGATAAACCTGTATATTACAACAACAAAATTGAATCAAATTCTACAAGTAAAACAATGTAGGCAACATGTTTGCCAAGATTGGGGAAGGGGGAGGGGGAAGAAAAAACTTTTTTAACACCACTGGCCACTCAAGTTAAGGATCAGTGGTGCTGGCCCTTATGATAATGGATAAAAGAATATAGCATAAATTGCAAATGTAATTAATACACTTTTAAAAAACAAAATTGTCGGAAAACTTTCACTGAATGTTCTTGTGACAGATTAAAGTTGTTTATCATCCTCCCTTAAAATGTTACTTCATACAAATTTTAAGTCATTGACAATCTAACTAAGACTTGATGCACAAATACCTCTTATGAAGGAATCGATATTTAATGGGGAAGGAGAAGATAATTTAGGAACAGTGTTGATAACTTGGAAAAGTAGTTATACCCTGGGATTGTCAATTTTTGAGCTTGAACTATTCATTGCACTCAACTATTATTTTGGCAAACAATTGTAGCATCATAAAACGAGTCTACAACCACCAGCAATAAGAAAGGAGTGTAGCTGAGGTAAAAACTAGATGACCTTGTACTATAAGGGGCCTGTAAAAAGTTCAATATAATTATTACGATAATTCATAACTGTTATCCATCTCAAATGTACACTGTAACTTGAGCTACCTCTAAGCGGCCTTTCTACTACCAATTGCAAAAAGAGAAACATTGCAGTCTTAGATTGCAAGAGCAACAAGATAAACCCATTTTGACACGATTTGATTGCTTTATATTCTGAAAAAAGTACTTTTCATCTAAGGATATAAGTGAATTTTGGTTGTAGACACAAACTTAGACTAACAAAAGAATGAATGTTTATGAAATGGGCTGTAACAAATGAAAATGATATGCACTGTGTAAAAAACAAATTATTTTAAATAACTAATGAAACCAATTACAGAATAATATTTAGTTTAAATGAAATACCAACAAGCAACCTCTATGTGATTTAATGCAGACTTGTTCAAGTCTTTGTGGCATTTTTCTAAGGTTAATATCACATTTCTCGTTATGATAAAACCATGATGCATTCAACTGGCTTAAAAGCTCATTACCCCTCTGTCTTTAGAATAGCCAAAGTCATTTGAATTGTGTACCATTGACATCAAACCAACATAAATTTCCAGAGGAATATCCTCACAAGATGCTTCAAATGTTGCACCAGTTCCTTCCATTGCTGATACCAGGGCTTGTTTAAAATCTTGGTAGCCCATGTAATAAGGTATTTCATCAAGAAAGGGAACAGCCTTGTGTTGTGTGAATGTGAAGAATGGCATGTCATTAAAGAGTGGGTTCCATTTTTGCATCAAAGAGAGATGAAGCACCTTGTCAATGTGTATACGTATACCAGTCTGGAATTCCCGATTGCTAAAATAGGGAAGTTTCCAATTATTTCCTTTTACTTGAAGAATTTCAAACAGAGGCATTTGCAATTGGCATAAAATAAATCTTCAAATTATCCTAAAATATTTTAAAAGCCCCAACCATTGAATAAGCCCCCATCTTAACTTAATGAGGTACAGCAGAAAGAAACATCAATTGTAGTTTATGGTTTGGTGCGATATCAAACACATTTAGCAGCAAATGAAAAAACTAGAATAAAGGAGACATTGAAAAAGAGACAGGCAAAGACAATGAAAATGACAAACATTTTGGAGTAAAATATCTTTTTCCCTAATGTAAATAGCTAAAAATGTAATGTAAATACAGTGACATAAGCAGGGTTGAAATATTAGGGCAAAGAGGAGCTGGACACCGAAAACACTTATGCTGACAAAATCATCTTTTAAAAATCTAGCCCCATCAAAGGTAACTCAAAGTCAGAATAGCCATTAAAAACAACCTTAATATATTATTCAGGAAGTATCAAATCTGTCTATAACAACATGAAGGATCCCAATTTGTGTAGACAGAGAGGTTTTGTTTCCCTCTTAGACTTTTCAACTTGATGCAAGGTTAGAAGTTTGCTAATTGGCAAAAACGAGTAACCAACCAACTTAAATTTTATCTGTAACCATGCAATGACCAAAGGCTTTTTAGTTAATCTTGATACAATTAAATTGATAAATTTAACAATCTTTGTGTGGCTCTTTTTATTTGGCCTTGTTTTCACTTTTCTGTGATATCTTCACTTTTGTGGTACCAAAGGTTCATATAACTTAATAATTATTATAAAACATTAAAAACTGATTGTTAACATTCAGTACTTACAGAATTAAATTGTGTTTTGGATATACAAATCTGCCACCTTGAATCTTTTCAATCTTTTGTAGGTCAATTCTTTTCGATTCCTCGATTCTCAAGGCAACAAAGTTGTATTTGATGATGAGCAGTTGTTTTTCTGTGATTATGCAAAGTCTTTCCTTTTCATGATCCCAATGATCAATTCTGCAGAAGAATTCAAAGTCATTAGGTGCGAGGATGGCTCTGTTGTTAGAGGCACTGACTACAGACCCAAGGGTCCGTGGTTTGAGTCTCTGGCATGATTAAACTTTCACCCAGAGTGGGGAGAGTCACCAGCTCTCTGTAATTCCAGGCGTAGGAATTCTGAGGTGTGGTCACATCGAGAGGAAGGACCAGGACAGTGCTCAATAAGCATAGCTTCTCAGTGTCCTAAAAACTACCTTTGGATGCTAGGTAGTGACAAATACAAATACAAATACATTGACTGATTTTGTCTATGTTAAGATCTTCATCCTAACTTTGAAGTAATTTTGAAAATGTTCTTTTAGCAATTCAGAATTTCTTTGTTTTGCAAGTTCTACTAATACGGATTGCAAGATCGAAATGAATGCTCTTGTAAGAAGTAGTAGCATTTTAAATGGGTATTAATTTTATTTTGTATAGGTAAAAGATTTGGATGATTGTCAATTTTTCATTTAGAAGTTTTTAAAAGCTAAGACTTTTATAACTGAAGTCTCTAATCAACTGTAATACTTTTCATGCATTTGTGTCATAAAAAATATCTGATATTATCCTTAAATTGATCCTATGCAAACTTTTTATTAATACTGTAAAACATTTTCAATCAAGGGAAAATTTTGCACAATGACAAATTGCCTTCATTTAGCAGCCGTGGCACTGCAAATACTTAAAAAAAGGCTAAATAGTACTTACTCTGCAAGAAGCCAGGCACTTACAAATGCACCATCAAGTGAAGGATCAATATATCTCTTAACATCCTCAACTGAATGTTCAAAATTACCAGGCTAAAATCCAACAACCACAGAAAACAAAAGATCATTCATAAATCATTCATGCATGAAAATCACAAAATCTTAGATTATTATATGTCATATTGAAATATAAAAACATTAGAAATGAAGGCACAGGTTGTTAAATCAACAAGTATATATAAACTTGAAACTTTTGTACCCAATACATCTTAACATTTGGAATTTTACGTTAGCATTTTTAAATTATGATTAATATAGCTTGTATGCTTTCATATATTATATTTATGCATTAAATTTACTTAATTTACCATGCTATCATATTAATTTCTTTTTTATTTTAGTTTCAGTAATTTAAAGGAAGTGTATAATTAGATGACCTGTGTTGATTAAGAATTGTTAATTAAACTTATGTTTTAAGGAAACATTTGATTGTAGAATCAGTTGATATGATAAGCAAAGATGGCTTTTCAGGAAAATTAAGAAATTTCTGGTTTTTATCACATTTTGTGGCAGAAGGTGAAGTATTAAAAGGACATCCTTTCAATTGCCTTGTGTTGAAAATTTGGTTTTTTATGTCAGGCGTTTCTGTGTTAAAAAGATTAACATAGCTTGTATGCTTGGATATTGTTTTATTCTGAATTAAATGTACCTTATTTTGCATATTATTGTATGTAGTGGAAATTGAAACAAAAAACTGAGCTGAACTGAATATCAAATTGATCAAAATATGGTTGGGTTTAGGGTCTTGGCTGGGGTTAATGCAGTAAATTCATCTTCTTTGATTCTTTCTTAATCTAACATCAAATATTGTTGATATGTATGTTTTTTATATCTTTGTAACTATGCATGTGTGTACATAGACGCAAAACTTACCCTCGTAGAGTAAAACCTTTTCAAAACGTAATCGCGGACTTGTTTATCTGACGGGTTCTTCTGTAGCCCAGCTTCCATTACAACGACTTCAGCGGCGCTAGTTTTTTCAGGCAGTTGTCCGAGATCCTATCAATGTCAAAAATTGTATGGGTCAAAGCTTATACTGCAAAATTAACCTGTAGGTACGCTAACGTTCATGTAGCGATCGGATAAGTTGTTATACACGACGGAATTACGAACACAAAAAGAAAGCTTACCATTGTCGTATCTTGTGGTTTCTCCATCTTCGGTGGCTGAACACTTGCAATGAAAACGTAGCTAGCCTTGCAGATGTTCAGATTGCTTACAATGTTGAAATACGATCAAAATAAATAAGAAATGAGTCAGCTCACTCTACACAAACCTGTTTCGCGCTGAGCGAATGGAGCCTCGTTCTCAAGCGAATTGACAACAGCATTGATGACGTCATGAACGGATAGAAACAAATGATCTAGATTGAAGATTCATTGTTTACAAATACCACTGATTGAGAGAACCTTGGAATTATAACCAGCTTGTTTTCCTCTTGTTGATCTTGGTTTAATTATTCCGGCAGAAATAGTTTATTTGGCAATGTTATCCATCTCTCTCTCTCTCTCTCTCTCTCTCTCTCTCTCTCTCTCTCTCTCTCTCTCTCTCTCTCTCTCTCTCTCTCTCTCTCTCTCTCTCTCTCTCTATTTAGTAACCTGACAAATAAAAAAAGATAAATCTTTTGATGATAAATCTATAACTGAGAAGGTTATTTTAGCAGTGTATTTTAATTTTAGAGTTTCAATGCTGACACAAGGTGACATTTGACGTTAAAGACTTGTTTATCTTAGATTCTGATTTGCTAATTCTAATTTAGATATCTAAGCATATGAAAATAAAAAAATTAAACCGAAACGTTCTGCGTTCATTAATGAAATTAATGAATAGAATAATCTAGTGTCTATGTTATTTAGCAAGCCAACTATTTTGATCACTAAACGGCAGCATTAGAAATTTTTCATCGGATATCATTATTGATAGCCTATCGTCTGATATCTTAGCCAAAATTATTTTCTTGCTAATATATTTAAAGGCAGACCAAATGTACACATATTAAGATTCAAGTTTAATTAGATTAGCTTATGCTTCTTAAGTCTCACCTGTATTTTCAGGCATTTTTAAAGAGTCCTTCCATAATATTTTCCAGAACTTTTCTGAAGCGTTGGTCCAACATTTCCCTGACTTTTTCCCACAACACCGTAAGATAATCTTTTAAATTTGATCGTCTAGTAACCGTTAATGTTTTCTTATACCTTGCCAAAGCCTTTGACACAGTTGATCACTCACTTTTGTTTGTAAACAAAACTCTCAAAATCTTGGCTAAGTGAAGCAGTTTTTGACAAGATGAACTGAAATAAATTGTTGACTGTTGACAGATCTTATTTGTCACAAAGAACTGAAATAACTTTCATCGAAAACTCGCATTCGTCTGCTACATCTTTAACAGTTGGAGTCCCTTAAGGAAGTATCCTTGGGCCCCTACTTTTCTTAATTTTCGTAAACAACATGCCTAACTGTATCAAGTTCTGCAAAATATCTTTATATGCAGATTCAACTGTAGTATATTTCTTTTTGCCAAACATGTCGATACTCAAAGAAACTCTGAATGGCGATCTCAAGCTTCTATGCAAATGTTTCAACAGCAACCTCCTAACGCTTAATACAGAAAATTGCAATTTCATACTTTTTGACAGCTCGCGCAAACTCAGCACTTTTAATAGAATCTCACTGGAACTCAATGGCAAACCCTAGACCGCGAAGAATCTTTTAAACATTTGGGCGTGAAGTTAAACGAAAACATGACCTGGACTGATCACATAAGCATGTTAAGCACAAAGTTTTGCCAGAGACTGCACCGATTGAAGTATCTGCCAGCTCTGGAAGCTCGTTTGACTTCCCACCAATAATTAAAATGCTCCTACTGCGCATGCTCGTAAACCAGACCTCATGAATATTAGACCTTATGAAACATTAGACCTAATAAAACCTAGCCTGTGTTCCAGACCCCTAGGGGTCTGGGGCACAGGCTTATAAAACCCCGGATTCTAATTATTAGTTGATTATATAGATTTTTCGCTGTAAAATAGCTTTTTGATATTGCGTATATTTAGCATTTTTTCGTGCTTTCGTAATTAAAAAATTGTATTATTTAAAATTGAGTTGATATTAACGTTTGACAAGTTGCTGTAGCAGTAATTCTATCAACTTTTATTGTTATTTTTATGTTGTAATTAGGTTAGAGGCCATCTTGGCCTAGATACCTTTTTTAACAAAAAAAAAATAAATCAATTTTCAACAAATTTTGTGTTTATAAGAACGATAATAGACCTCATAAAAACAGTACAGTATAATTTTGTTCTATATGGCGGGGGATAACAATGACTAACCTGTGCTCCAGTCCCCTAACTTTCAAGTTGGGGTCTGGAACACAGGCTACAATGATCGGCAATGATAGATTTTTTTTTTTGAACAAATTAATTCTCATCAATGATTCAACATTTGGCGCTGTTTATATACCGAAAGGCCGCCGGTTCACACATGTTCAGAACAAAACTTGAAAAACTTGAATCTTTTTATTTTTCCCAACAATTTTAACTAATCAATCCGGGATATTGTTTGTACAATTTCTATGTTGGCTGTGTCCACTTGAACTTTTGTTTGCCTATTTCTGGAACCGCGTATGCACAGTATGGCACTTCGAAGTAGTGCAAATGACAGCTTGGTACGAATCCAATTGGTAACCAGTGAAATTGAGAGATCACGTTTCTCTGATATCTTCGTTGATAAAACCGATATAAACTTTTCAGTTTCTCTACTTGAACCACCACTGTGAGCGAAAATCAATGGCGTAAAAGAACCATGCTCAACTTGTAAAACTCTTTGACTGTACGCGCGTTTCTTCTCTCTTTCATTCCCTGCAAAAGTGTTGTTTAGTTTCTGGTTTCTGTATGACGGTGCGAATGGGTTGAATACCCTTACATCAAAAAATGCACTTTGTTCCTTCTGCCAGAAGCCACGTATGCTGATGTCAAGCCTTGCCTCTTCTGATATGTTGGAATTTCTTGGGAGATTTTCACCACTGAGATGTTGTAGAGGTGGCTCAATTCTAACATCATTTGAAATTTCTGTTGCTAACTTGCCGAGTAGATCACGTACTTCATTGTGTCGATGATGAATGTATCCACCTTTTTGACAAGACATCGCATGGTCAACGGAAAAGTGTTTTCCGCATACACAAATAGTTGGCATGAACTTTAGATGCCATCTATATCTTAATCGGATTGCGTCGTGGAATTCACGCTTGTTGAGAACAAAATTTTCAGCCTTCAAAGGAAGAGAAGTGAGCCATGAAGACGCACCTTTCATACAAGACAGCTCGTTTGCTTTGCGTTGATCGAGTGCCATAGATTCTCTTAGCAGTGCAAGTTTCTCCTCATGCGATTTTGTTCTTTCATGGGCAATTTCAATCTTCGTTTTCTTCATTTCATTGTTGTTAAGCCTTAATTCAGTTGCTTGTTGCTTGATATTTATTGATAACTGACTGGTCACTCTCTTTGAAAAAGCATATTCTTGATGAGCTATCTCAGAAAATATCGGTATGCCAAGTCCTCCAAGACGTACCGGAAGACTGATTAGTTTTCGCTCAATTTCGGAGCAGTGATAGCCTTCAGTTAGCACCGGTAAAAACTGTTCATTTATGTAAGCATCGAGCAGTTTAAGTGCTTTGCAAAAATCAGGGATGACTATAGTTAAATAAGTTATTCTATGACGAAATCCACTAACAAAACAAGTGTATGCTGCATGCGGCTCTGAGCGTGCTATTCTACATAGTACTTTTAACTCTTCAATCCAGCCATTCACTACTTTGTTTGCATATTCTGATTTATCATTGGCCGTCCCTATATATGAACCCAAGTATTTTCGTCCTGATGTTGTGATATTGATCTGAGTGTTGCCAAAGATCTTGCAAGCTTGCTCATAGTTCTCTTCTTTCACTACCAACCATGATTTTGATGCATTGGGATGATAACCAATCAAAGGACCATAGTGCAGAACATTTTCCCACCACGATTTTAAGTGAAGTAACGTCCCTGCACCACCAAGATCATCTGCATAAGCTGCATGCTTTACCTTGCTTTCAGCTGATTTTATCAATGATAGAAGTGGCATAACTCCAATTGCATAAACAGGCATAGCAAATGGATCGCCTTGGGTCGTTCCTTCGGCAGATGGTATTTCTTTACCTCCTGTGATAAAGAGACGAGATGGTTTTCCATAGCAGTTATTTACATATTGAGCCATTGGAGGACATATATATTTTATGTTATGCAATAGTGCCTCTCTATTTAAGCTATTAAAGGCATTTGATGCATCCACTAGAAGCAGGCCATCAGTTTCTTCCTCTTCAAATATATCTTTCATTGCATGTACAGCAGCCTCGCAGCCTGAAGGTAATCCAGTGCATAACTGTAGAGATCCTCCACTCTCGAGTATATCAGGCTTAATGACACGGATAATTGATTTTCCAATGATCCTTCTCAATACTTCTCCAATACCGATTGGTCGAACTCCAGGATTCTTGTCAAGAGGGACCAAGCGACAGGAAACAAATGCTTCAATCGAGCCTTTGTTGATATCTCTTGTGCACAGTATGCGTGTGAATTTTGCTAAAGCTGTTTTCAGTTCCTCACCCGTCTTTCCAAAATTTTTGGATACTAGAATTCTCCGCCATCCAACAGCATTCATTCCAGAGGGACCAGCTGCACCTTTTGTATGTAACGCAGCTTTAGTAATAATTGTTTAATCAATCAAACATTAAAGGGTCAATGAAAGGAATCTCTCCAGCCATGAGAGTCGAAGGATCCGCTGGTGCTGAAGGGGGATGTTTCATCTTCAATTCGTCAATAACCTTGTCAGATATACTCAATAAACCGCTGGCATTATTTGCATCTAATAATCTCATCGCTGCGTTGATTTTCCCTTCAAGTACCAGATTTGCAAATTTCTTTGCGAGATCTCCCGAAGAGCAGTTGTTGCTATAGCTCGGGAGTTTGGACTGGATTGTTCTACATTCTCTAACTAGTGCATCAAAATTTCCTTCTAACCACAAATCCATTCTCCGTCGTAAACACTCGCCATGTTGTTTTGACTTTGATCTGAAAGATGGCTTCTGCAGTAGGAGAGCTGGCATGATCATCACTGTTTTGATAGCGATATCCTTTAAGGACTCCACTTCTTCATTCCAGGCATTGATAAGACGAGTCATCTCTGCAATATATCTCTTTCCTGCTGAACCTGTAGGAAGCATAAATATGTTTCTCCTCCAATACACAACTTCTTCGTAAATGGCAGAAATGACCATTTGAACGTCCTTTTTGGAGTGTATTCCCCACACTTTTGGACCATTGTCTAACAACATTGATGTGTGAGCACTATCACCAGGCTCTCCAATTTCCGAGACAGGCATAGGATGGAAAAGAGGCAGGGTTCGTTGATTGTAAGTCAATTCAGGTTGAATCGAAGAAGAACTCTGCGTTCGAGTTGCAAGCGCATCATTAGAACGTTTGGTGCTCGGTTGAACATTCGCAAAGTCATTCGAATTAACGGTTAAATCTTGAACGAAATCTGAACAGGAGCTTGTTACTAAACTCCCTTGAAAATTTGCGTTATTATTTGAATTCAAATTAGATATGTTACCTTGTTTATCTTTTCGGCAACAGCGTAAATGTTGGCACAAACCTCGTTGGTTCTTAAACGATCGAGAGCAAAACTGGCAACCAAATGATTCCGTAAAAAGCTGCGAGTTAGTGCCGGGAGGCACGTATTCAGATCTTTCCATCGAAACGCCGCCTTATTTTGACAGAAAAGCATCCATAACAGCAATAAATAACTTGATTTATCTTTATGTCACCGTAAATTATGTTTCAGTAACTTCACAAAAGTTTTCAGCAACAAAATCAAGAAATTTTTCCCCGCCATTAAAAACACGTCTGCTCTCGCACACGGCACGAATCGAAAAAAAAAGATCATTGCCATGACAACACCTAAAGGCGATTTGATGCGAGGTTTTCCCGCACGATAAACGCGCTGAGCGTATACGAGAGCACAGAGATGCAATGGAGTCAAACCGCATTCTCTTTCACTCCGCCATTACCAAAATGGACACGTGTAATTGCATGAAGACAGCAATTCTCATTTCTGCATTCTTCTTCGTTGCTTCAAGTGAAGTTAATAATGCTGGCAAAACACTGGTTCTTCTAGAAAATGCTCATGTTAGGGAAACTCACTCGATATTTTTCAAGTTTTTGCAAGGTAAGATTACCCCATTGTCTGTGTTTTCGAATCGAGGACAAAGAACACGTAAGGTTTAGGCCCCTCTGGAAACCTTACTAGGAAATTAAAATATTTGACGAGAAATGGCAGGGGATTAATACGTTGGTATATTGTGTTCTTGACTGCTGTCATGATCAGTTATATACAGAATTATTTACAGTCACATCAAAGCGTTACATTAGGTGAAAAAGTAGCTTTGATGTGGCCCTTTCACAAAGAATGGTACTTCGTTTGTCATCAAAGAACTAACGTGGCACTTTCACAATATGTGGTCTTTCGTTTTTTTAAAGAATTTATGACTCTTTTAAGGATAGCAAGTTCTGTTGTTCAATAATTGCCTTGCCTGTCAAGCTAATTAAAACACAAACCTTTTTACAATTACCATACCATACAACCTATTCTTTTTTGCAGACAAGGGCTTCGAATTAACTTACAAATTAGCAGATGATCCAGACCTTGCTTTGCAAAAATATGGAGAATACTTATTCAACAACCTCATTGTTTTTGCACCAAGTGTTGAAGGTATATTTTCCAGACGTTTTATCATTTCATAACATTACTTTTGTTTAATGTGTCAAGAACTTTTCAAATCACTGTTTGTTACAGTTTCTTGCAAACATTTTTTGCATACATTTGTTGCAAAAATCACACTCCAGAATAAAAGTTTCAATATGTTGCTTGTATGAATGTTGATTGATTGCCAAAGGACTCTGTCAAAGTGAGGTATGGGTGTAGCAAAGGACATTGTCAAATGTTGATAAATAGTTGGTCATTACAGCATGTGCACCAGGGTGCATTCCATGTCAACTGTACGCTAAAGGTCCACAGGGGCATTTGTTTAGGTACGCCAAAAGCAGTAAAAGCAGTAGAGTTAGTAAAACAGTAAACATTGTTGTGCCAGACAAAGAAAACTGAATATATGAGAAAAATGTGGTGTTTGAGTCTTCATTTACGTTTACTATGTACATGGTTTCATGTTTCGCATGCCAACTAACGAAAATTTTAAGTATGCCAAAAAAAATTTTATCGGTTTACATGAAGAACATGGAAAAAAACCTGGGTGTACGCCGAAGATCTTTGGGCCTAAGTACATGTGCATTTCTGTGCACTTTGGCATGTGCATTTGAAATTGAAACCAAATTGCATACTAAAGTAATGTTACAATATCATTGCAACCTTCATTTTGCACAATAATGCCAAGCCAAGTACTTGATATAGATTTAAATTACAACAGCTGTTTTTATATGAAGATGAGCAAGAATGTAATGTGGCAAGCACGATAATGAAAAACCTTATGCTTACTTTTTAGACTTTGGAGGTTCAGTAGATGTTGCTGCCATAACAAAGTTCATTGATGATGGCAACAATGTTCTTATTGCAGCAAGCTCATCAATTGGTAACATTTTTTCAGAATTTTCTTTAGATATAGAACATAACAAGGAAGTGCACCTTTGTATGTTTGTTCAGCTGTGTTTCTTGAAACAAAATAACCAAATAATTAAAGCCACAATAGGAGCCATAACAATTATGATAATTTGTAAGTTTTCTGTAATATTTTAATTAATTGCTCTTTAAGATCATGGTGTAAAGTGAAGTTATGTAAGCATTGAAATTTTTTATAGGAACACCTTTAAGGGAACTTGGCAGTGAGTGTGGAATTGAATTTGATGAAGAAAAAACTGCAGTCATTGATCATCACAATTTTGATGTTACAGACGATGGACAGGTATTTGCTACAATATATACCGCTGTTTGTTGTCCCTAAATGTTCCTGTCTCTAAAGGTTGTGTAAATTGATTTCTTTCACTTTGCTGGGCTTTTCAGATAATTTACTCAGCTATCTTTTGTTCAAGATTAAGGTGCAGGATATTTTCATTTTTTTAATGACATCCTAAGTTTTTTCATGTATTTCTTTGTTGTGGATGGATGTCTCATGCTAATTACATTATTTCAATATTATTCAGTATCATTAATCAGTATGGTACTGATTAACAAAAAAAATTTGAAATGATATTCTTATATTTTTATATGTTATAATTTTTTTCAGTTATTGTTAAGGTATAAGAGGAAATGCTTATGTAGCTTGAAAATTAGAGCATTTTTTGTTGGTTGTATGTTTTTGTTCACAAACTAATTTATGAAAAAGATGTTGGTTTTATTTTTTTAATGTTGTTTGGTATATATATTTGCAGCACACTGTAATTTTGGCTGATGGAAAAAATGCTATCAAATCAAGAAATATTGTTGGTTCTGGCAATGAAAATCCCCTTTTGTTTCAAGGTGTAGGGTATGAATTTTAACTCAATGTCTCTTGAATTTTCAAAAATCTTTTAATATTGATTTAAACTTATGTAAAACAGTCTAATAGGCTATCAAGCTCCTGCTCTGAATCTAATGTAGTCATCATAAAGTTGCTTACACTTCAATTTTTTTCAGAGGAGTCATCTTAAAATCCTGGTTAAAGACTTAGGGCCATCCGGCCTTGTATCAAATTGTCAAAATCCTGATAAGTTGGATAATTAAAGATAGTGAAATTGAAAATGAGTGATGATGACATGAAAACTGTTATTATTTGTAGCTATTTTGTTTCTTTTTCTTTGAATGCATACTCGGCAAAAGTGCCTTATTTTCTCAATACCTGTCATTTACTTTGATTTTATTCTGGTGTTTATGCCCTGGCATCGCTTTTGTAAATGCAGTGAGTCATGATAAAAAGGAGACGGTTTTCTGTGCAGCAATGCTATTGATGGATCTTATAATAATCCAATGAAGTCACTTCAAACTGATTTACAAAACAGCTTCCATCAATAGCAATCACATGAAACTAGAGCACTCACACCAAAAGCAAATTACCCCCTATAGAGAAGGCCTATTCACCATGCCTATGAATGCTGCCCTTTTATGCCCTGACATGGTTTTTATGAATTACTGAGTATGTTTAACTTCTATTCTTTTTAGCATGGTAGCTGATCAGGACAACCCATTAACCCTTGAGATTTTATCTGCATCATCAACTGCCTATTCTTACTATCCTGATGATAAAATTTCCGAGGTTTGAATTAAATTTGAATTGAATTTTTTTCAATGGTATAATTTTAATCCAATCATTTATGTTCACAAATTCTGATGATTTTCGATGTACATACTTTGAAACAAGTACAATAAATGTTACTTGATGCCTATCTTTATAACTTATCACTGGGGAGGCTGATGACAGCAACTAAAGCCTAGCACACACTAGCAATTTGTTGTCACCAGCATCTGCAATTTTTGTCGCCAGCGACTGCGATTTTTGTCTACATGGTAAAACAGCACAAGATTTTTTTTGCCAGCGACTGATATTTGTTTCTGTTGCCAGCAACTAAAAGCAGGAAATTGCAACTGAGCAGGGCAGAAAAACAAATTCTGGTTGCTTTCCCAGGCATAAATTGTTTTCAAGACACATGGAACAGATTGGACTAATCAAAAGCCAAACCCATGTGGTCCCATTTCTCCTTCTCCGTTTTCTTCTTCGAGCTATAATTAAGTCTGCCAATACTTTCATCTGTTTCTTTTTGCACTATCCTATGTCATCAATACTGGAAAACATGAGTGTCACAAGTGCTTAACATTTAGGGAGGCTTAGTATGGATCTTGCCTGAATATTGTTGCTTTATTGAGAATGAACTGCCAAAATGGGGCCTGTAATGGGACAAATCTTACCCGATTAGAGGGCCTGCAGCAGTCCCAGCTCATTTGTCTCCTTCACATTTAACCCAAAAATGTCTTTCCCATGCGAAAAAATGCTACAGTGAATTATCTGCAATGAAATCGAGACAAAAATAACGGACCAACATAAATAAATTGCACATGAGCGGGCAAAGAAATTCAGTCACTGGCGACAAAAATTGCTAGTGTGCTAGGCTTTAAGGAACTGATCACCCTCCCTTGATATGCTAATGGCCTAGGACAAAAACTCTTGCAAGAAACTCTCTATGTGTATATATTATTTACATGACTCAACTTTACATTCTTATGTCAGGTTTTATATTCATCAAACCAAATTACTATTTATAGTACCCACATGCAGTTGGAAAGAGTACTTTGCTTATTGGTGGGCTGCAAGCAAGAAACAATGCAAGGGTTATTTTTTCAGGATCATTTGACTTCTTCAGTGACAAGTAAGATTTTTATGCTGTTTATGTTTGTTTTACTTTGGACTTTTCTTTTCAAAAGTTCATTTATTGAGAGGGAACTTTATCTTTGTTTTGCAACTGAGCAGAGAAATTGTAATGAAAGTCATGTTATTTTGGAGATATACATTTCTCTGGCTTTTCCTATTTGGTCATTCTAGGAATATGCTCAACATTATCTTTTATCAGAAAATTTAGCATGGTCTGATGTAACTAAGAGAGAATCCTCAAGCAAAACTGTTAATTTTAAGTGAAAATATATGCAAGGTATTCATTTTTTAGCTGTGTTTATTGCAGTCCTGGTAATATTAGGCGTGCGATTGCACGCGCACGCCTCCACACATGCCTAGAACTCCAGAGCGTGCTTTCTATCGCACATGAGTTCAACGTTTTGAATTACTATTCTTTTTCTCTTTTGTTTCTTTTAATTTCTTGTTTATTTTCTCTAAAGTAATTTTTAATTTCTTTTGCATGGGTTATATTGATGGCATTCCCCGAGGCATTTAACTTTTTATTTTGTTTCCATTAGGCCCGGTTTCCATTATTCCGTTTTGGTGTGTCTCCATTCTCTCTCTCCGTTCTTTTCGTATTTTCTTGAACACATTACCTCGGGCCACTCTGTCTTGGTCTAAAGGATAACGTGGGTGTTTCCATTACTCCATAATTGTCCGTTCATATCCTTTGCTCGAGCTCTTTTTGAAACTGAGATTGAATGACTCCGTTTGTCTTCGCTGTTCCCAATAAAACGACGCGTATTCAAATGATTCCATTTTCGGATGACTCCACTTTGAACAGCGTTTTTGAATAACTTCGGTTTGGTATCAAATGACACCGTTTTTGAGCGTATTAATGAATTTCAAAATCTAAAACAGATCCACTCGAATCCGTTCTCATACTGAAACGGAGTAATGGCAACAGGGCCTAAAAAACTTGTATCCTTCTTGTTAAATTATTTTGTTTTCAAGAAAATTCTTCTAAAATTCCATTTAAACTTTTTGGCTTTATGAAAACCTCATACACTTTTTAATACACACCTTCTAATACAAAGATGACATCAGGTCTTCATAAAAATCGTAAGGTCACCATTTGTGGATCGCACGTCATCGCACGCCTAAACTTTTGAAGGTGTGCGATTACCAGCACGCTGCCAAATTTCATATTACCAGTACTGTTATTGCAACTTAAAGTTTGGACAAGCTCTTTACTTTTGTGTAGGGGGTATAATTGGCATGCAAACTCTGATAAATGTAACAATCTCTTTGAAAATATTTGGAAAAATTTGACAGGGGAGCAATTTCTAGCTATGACCACCTACCCATACCAGAGGTGGACAAAGAACACAAAGCTACAAAAGCTGCATTGTAGTAGGTTCAGGACAAGGTGAGAAGAAGTAGGGCAATTGAGAGAGCAAAAGAAAAATTATCCACAGATAAAGTACAGTAGAAAGATCAATTTTAGGGACTTTGTTGTGCATGTACTAGAATTCACCTGTCCTATGCATCCAAAACAAATATAAATGGAGAGTGTTAAGAGTCATTGAATTTAGATATGTATTTATTTCATTATATATTTTATGTAATTAATGTTTATTTTTAGGTTCTTCCTCTCTGGAGTTCAAAATGCAGCTGTTTCAGATTCAAAATTGTGAGTAACTTTCATAATAACATTTTAACTAATATATATTTCTAAGAAAGAAAACATTTGATTGCTCATTATATATTTAAGTTCTGTTTTCAGCATTATTTAAAGAATCCAATTTTTTAAATGGGTTCACTATAAAGCTAGTTTGCACTGAATGGCATAACAGGATGCCTCTCAATGCATCTCTTTGTTGTGATAAAATGAACCAGTGCTATATCGAAATTCTCACACGCAACCCATTGGCTCATATGGTTTTTCCAGTGGTACTTTGTTGAGTCACATCTCACAACAGCATGCATTGAATCCGATGTATACTATCATTGAATCCAGGCACAGGCATTGAATCCAGTTTTTTAAATGGGTTTACTGTCCATTAAAGTTTTTGAGCAATTCTTACATTCCTTTTAATTCTTACATTCTAAACAGCTATCCAGTCTCTGGCAATGCTGAGCTTGCTTTCAATCTTGCTATGTGGATATTTAAGCAAAGAGGTGTCCTCAGAGTTGTCGGGGTAGATCACCATCCTATTGGAGAACTTTCACCACCAATGGCCTACACGATTGAAGATCAAGTTGCTTATAAAATTAAGATTGAAGAGTTCCATGAAGGAAAATGGCAGCCTTTCCAAGCTTCGGATGTGCAACTAGAGTTTTTCAGAATTGATCCATTTGTCAGAATCAATCTTAACTCAAGCTCAGGTATCACTGTCAATCTTTTCTCTTTTTCACAAGTCTCTTTATGCTTTCTAAGGCCTTTGCAGCATGAGCTGATTTTCTTCTCTTCAACATTATCTCATTTGCAATTGTGTTAAAATTAATTAGATTTTAAATTTGTGTCAGTTTTTGATAGTTTTTAATTGTCGCAAAAACTCTTATTAGCACTCCTCTCAATATCACAACATTCTAACAGAAAAAGCAACAAACCTGGTTAAGAAAATTGTGATGTTCTCATAATGTAATTTTCCAGTTTCTGATATTATGCATTTTATTTCTAATTATTTTGTCATGTATACCTCTCTAATATTAGGCCTTCTCTCCTTTAAGCCTCCTTTAGAATCTATAAGATTAAGCAAGCCCCTGAGAGGCTTAATGGAGCTTCACCATAGGTTGTGACTGTGTTTATCCAAGTTTGATAGTTGATAACTTCATGTGATATTCATCAGTGCTGTCAGTGGTTCTTTTTTATTCTAGCTGCTTTATGCTACATAATAAATCTATATGATCAACTTTTTCTATATTGATCCTTTGGAACTTAGCTAATCTTGCAATTCTTTTTCACACAGTTTTACATCAGTAGGGATTAATTTACCCTGGGTACCAGACTCACTATATATGAAATAAAATAGAGAGTCTGGTCTAGTGCGCCCCATTCTCGTTCTGGTGTGCTGATATTAACCAATCAGGAGCGAGTGTACAGATTTCTGTACGTTCAAAGGTCACAGCGAAACAATAAACTTAGCTCTGGTGTAAAACATTGAACAGAACAGAACATGAATAAATGCTAGTGACCGAAACGATTGAGTTTGAAGATGCTGTTAAAACTGTACTCAAAGAATATTTTCCGCATGTTGTGGAACTGAAAACAGAACAGCATTGAGGCCTTGTTTGTAAAGAGAAGAGCGCCAAGAGGAGACACCTTTGCCATATTGCCAACTGGCTATATTTCAGGCTGTGCCTCTTGTTGCAAAGAAATTAGGCCTTGTAGTGAAATGCAGTAGATAAGAAACACCGCAATGCGCCGAGAACAAACAACAACAAACACAGTTAATCAGTTATAGCTAATATTTCGCCTGGCATACGGGGCTTCGCTTGTCGTATTGGCCATATGTGACCTTCCAACGTGATGATTCTAACCGCCGCGGTGTCCAAGCACGCTGCCTTCACAGTGAGGAAGTAGATGTTCAAAGTACACACAATTTATGAGAAAATTACAAAAGACTTATTTTAAGTTGTATACGAAATTTGATACTGATTAACATTTAATAACTGCATTGTGCTAATTTTAATTTCATGCTTCGCACATGTTTTTTGCTGCCAAATGGCGTTTTAAACTTGATTTGATTGTTATCTTGAGGCAGAAAAGTCTTTTACCACTGTATTAAAAATGTTGACTTTAAAGAACTAAATAAAACACATTTGCTTTAAGATTTTCCAAAACTCCTCTGACTACTGAGTTTCTTTGTTATTTATCTGACAGTCTTGTTTCACAGGCCTAGTCTGTTAAATAGACTTCAGTTCTTTCAAGTAAGTTCACCAGAACGAGAATGGGGCGCACTAGACCAGACTCTCTTTTATTTTATATAGTGAGTCTGGTACCCAGGGTAGGATTAATTGGGACATCTAACATAAATTTAGTATTGATTTCACAATTGGGCATCAAGGTCTGATGCATCACTTATAGTTTCCATTTGCATCAGTGTTAAGTAGCAATGAAATTCTGCATTGGTGATGCTCCAATGTTTAAAAATTGGTTCTCGATGGTCTAATGGTCACATGAACTAGACCAATGATTGGGTACTGTCTATGGGTTTTAATTCTTTTTTCAGATGGAACCTTCAGTGCTGAATTCAAACTTCCTGATGTTTATGGCGTCTTCCAGTTCAAAGTGGATTATGACAGAATAGGCTACACTCATCTCAGAAGCACAACTCAGGTATTTTGATATGAATTCATCCAATCTGGCAGTTTAACTATTGAAGATAACTGTTTTACTGGTCTACCATATATTGCTTGATGCCATATAGGCAGAGCTGTATACATGCTTTGGATGCTTTAAGTGTTGCAACTTTAAGTTAGCAACTCTAGGTATCTAAGTGGCAACTCCAAGTTCAAGACTTAATGCCATCGGTAGGCCTATGGGTGAATCTTGAAGTTGCAGCTTACAGGATTTTCAATAACTTTTGAAGTAGAAGGCTCACATTTAAAAACAGGCACCTATGGGTTTACTAAAGTCTGTGCTGTCTTACTAAAAGTGGGGCTGAAAGTAGGCAGGGAAGTTTAAGTGAGTAAACGGCGGACTTTTGTCGGCTACTGGCTTCTCAAGAAATCCCTGCAACTTGAAGCCACCTTGTTCTGTACACCAAAGCATAGTTTTTGAACGATGTATTCTTTTTTCAATAATCAAATACAAAGTAGCCTTGATAACTGCAAATCATTTTTTGTCTTTTTTAACAAGTATACAAAATATGGTATGAAGCTAGTTTGCACTGAATGGCATGACAGGATGCCTCTCAATGCATCTCTTTGTTGTGATAAAATGAATCAGTGCTATATTGAAATTCTCACATGCAACCCATTGGCTTATATGGTTTTTCCAGTGGTACTTTGTTGAGTCACATCACACAACAGCAGGCATTGACTCCAATGTATACTGTCATCCAATTTAAGACACCCCTTGAGAAATAATTACAGACAATCCAGTGACCATTTTAGAACCAGATTTAAATCCAGATGTCAGATATTAGGATAAAGATTTTGTAAATGGTATCAACAAGGGTAAAATGTATTGTACATTTATAGTAAGATACACTTTGAAGGGTTTTTTATAAAACATTTTTGTTAATTGAAAGTGTCACTTTGAAGTAGAAGGAATTTTTTTACAAATTTTCTTACTTAGACACCATTCAAAGCTAAGGGGAACTGCTTGGGGACTTTCTGTCCTTATATTGATACCACTCACGAAATTCCTTGTTTTTTTTCTAAGCCCAACAAACCTTAGCTCAAACAAGTGCTATCGCCATTAAAATTGTAGAGCTCAATTTTCTTAGTTCCTACCAAACCATAACATTGAAGTAATGTTAAGATTAAGAACATCATCCCAGCATTTCATATTGTAGAAATAAATTTTTTATATTAATGCATCATTTTTTCACCTTTGTTTCTTAGATTCCAGTACGACCGAAAATGCACACACAGTACGAGAGATTCATCCCATCTGCATTCCCATACTATGCGAGTGCGTTCTCCATGATGATTGGCCTATCCGTTTTCAGTTTTGTTTTCCTGCATTTCAAAGATGACCAAAAGGTGAAGAGCGAATAACACATTGACAAGCAGTGGAACTAATCACAAATTTTATAATTAGATGTTTTTGATTACCAAACAACCGTTCTTAAATTATAAGGCTTTGTGCTGTTTCTTGCTGCGAATTTCTTCTTCATTTGTAAAATCTTTTTTAAACTCCGAGACTTCCTTCATATAGGTTCAAAAGCCGAGAGAACAAAACTTTCTTTTCTAGCTAAAATTGAACGTCACAGTGCCTAGTCATCAACTCGGTGGGAGGTTTTCACACTACCAGGGTCAGTTTCTTTAATATCTAAAAAGATAATTCAATAGTGTTTTACATGAGGTTTTACACGGTGGTTTCCGTGGAAGGTTGAAAAATCGAAATTTGGCAACTGGCTCCACTTTGTTTGCTGAGTCTCAAAGAAGACACCAAATATTTGAATATCGTCTTACTATAAGTTGTGTGTAAAACCAAAAAATTGCAAGTTACATAATATCCATTCCAGAATTTGGAACGCCATATGGCCAAACCTTTTTTGATTAATTAGCACTTTCTTTTCTTAGAATTACCACGGCCCTGCTCCTTCACAGTCGTAGAGTTTAGCCTCGCAACTATCTCACCAGTATCTATAAATTTTGTGCAGGGAGAGTGGGATGACTTTGATAGCAAAATTCTAGTGTACTTTTACCATTACTTTTGGCAGGGATTGTGGGAAAACTGTAAGAGAAATTGGGGCAGGTGTTTTGGAGATCACTTGGTATTTGAAATCATAATTAGTATCTTACAAAAAATTCGACTTTTTTGTGTTTTCATGTGTTAAAAAGTAAAGCTTTATTATTGACACATTTCGAAAAACGTAAGAAAATACTGTCTGGTATCAGTTAGTGAAATTATGGATGATTTATATGAAAAGTTTGATTAATTCCAAAGAGTCGTCATCCTTTTGTCGAACTTCTTCTTTTCACATGAAATCCTTTTGTCGACTTCTTGCCAAACTCAGAATATTACAAGACTATGTTCGTTTTCAAAATTTCAAATGCAATAAAGTTTATAGATTATTTAATGTTAGTTTTTACAATAGTGAAAACACATTAATTAAGACTAACATTAAGCAATTTCAAGGATTGCATAAAATAGATTACTTACTGGAAAACGAGCACGCGCACTTGTTTTCAAGGAACCAAGTTTTGATAAAATCCTTGAATTTTCTAGCACTTTGTGCTGTCTTTATTCATTCCGGGAGTGAATTCCAGATTTTAGGCCCTTGAAAGTTTTAATGATCTGATACCATTATTGGTAGCTCTGGCTTTTGGAATGTCAACGGGGTTTTTGAGTCGAAGGTTATGACCTGTTGTTTTGGGCAGGGGCGGATCCAGACATTCGCAACATTCGCACTGGCGAATGTCAGATTTCCACATGTCTTTTGGTAATTGTCTGTTAATATCTTTCAGCATTGTGAATATTGTACTAGAAATGGCCAGATAATAAAAAAAGGTCCATAGAATACAAGAAATAAAAGTTTTGTTTCCTGCTCTAGTTGCTATGATGTCACCTTGTTGTTTACTTTTTAGGTTTTATTCCCTCGTTTTCGTGATTTAGAGATGATATATTCGAAAGAGGGCTCCCCCTTTTACGCATAAATTCACAGAGCACCAATAAGGTTTGATGCGAATGTCGAATGGAATTATAATATATTAGGCATGCGTGCGCAAACGAAGTAGTACTGAAAAATGTATGCCAAAAATTTGTGCGAATGTCAGTCCAGCTATGTTATTTAGCCATCTGAAAACCAATAGGAAATGTATATGGGAAAATTTTTTGCGAATGTGGCGAAGGTAGATGCGAACTATGTTCGGTAGCCAGTTGAGGGAGAGAACCTTGGAAAGTGAGCAGATTGAAACCTCGCTTCCAGATCAACGGCCATGATTGTTGTTGGAAAGCTGTGGAGACAGTTGCTTGCAGATAAGCAGCAATTGTACTTCAGAGTGAGTGAAAGGAGTCAAATATAAGATGATTTTTAATTTGAATCAGCGGATTTCTTATGAAGATGTTCAAAGTTTGTCGAAGATTTTGGTTGATGGATGGAATTTGATAGATGGCAATATGCGAGGACAGTTCAGTTTGACCTAAAATTGTTGAACCAAAATTTTGCCTATGTTTTCATTTTCATGATGGAGGACGTTATTTAGACAGAGATTCAGACTCAAATAATATTTTGATGACTACATGATGCTTTTTAAGGTAAATAGCCATTTTTATGCAGGCTTTCAATCAGAACTTTTAGCGTTCGAGTCAGGTACATGATGTAACCGTACATCTTGATAATGATGATGTAGCATTCTGACGAATGATGCTGTTCTATAGATATCTTGAAGAATTTGAATATGCTGGATTTTAGAGTTCTAAATATTTTTTATTGATAGATGTTGTTATTATCACAAACCTGTAAATAGTTTGACTGTGCTGGGGATTTGTTTTTGACTAAGATATTGCATTTTCTACGGCGTATTCTTTTCTTGTTAATTTTATGCTGTCAGTTTTGGAAAAATCTAGACTGTCATATTTGTAAATGAAAAAATTGTAATAGTATTTTGATTTTATTTGTCTGGTCATGCCATAAATATGGTAACCCTTTTCACAAGTTTAACCTCTAAAACTAGTAAAATTATTTGTGGATTCCACACTATAAGAGTATACCATTTGAAACTTTTGGTTCTGAAATACCCTTAAGATTCATTAATTTTTGTTTATGAATTTGCAAGTGACTGACAGTTTTCTTTTCTATGTAATTGTGTGTGTAAATAAATGTAAATATGGGTAGTAAATAAGTGCAATCAATGGAATGTTCCTAATGGGGGAATTACTACATTATTAATAAGAAATTCACAGCAAGTTGGTCCTGCCAAGTAAATATCTTATATAAATCCATATAGTAAAAGTTACCATGTTTGCCTTATTTTTTTGCCATTACTGACTTTGTTGGATGTACATTTTAAATTTGTATATAATATATTTATGATGTTCTTGTTATGGAAAGACAATGAATTGTTTTAAATTCTGTTACATTTGCTGTTTTACCAACACCTGAAAATACTAAAATTGTATTATGTGTATTGACCTAACTTGTATTTTTGGCCCTGTTTAAGGCACATCACACAGCAGTTTAGATAGAAAGGCGAATGCACAAAATAAATAACAGAAAGCTCTGGGCCCCTAAGGTATTTGGTGTTGAAGTCAAACATTTGGGTGGATATTGCATTGAAAATTTCTACACTTAACACAGTATTTGATTGTTAAATGATATCATTGTATAAATAGAACTAAGATTCCTTTCTTTAAATGGCTGTTTTTTAAGTGAGTGACGTAAAATGTTTTTCATGAGTTTTTCTCCCTGAGAAGGGGTGATACACACACCTAATATACCCTTATTTTAGCTCATCCTCTTTGTTCTTGACAATTTGTGATTCTGTGCCTAGACTTGCCATTAAATCATCATTAAGAGAGCATTTCAAATCTTTGCTGCTGTTTTTCCATCACAAAAGCCATGTAGGAAACAAAACATGCCAACACAACAAAAGCTTGATGAGTGTTTCTCAAAATTTTTCCAGAGATCTCTTTTCTTGTTCATTCAATAAGTAAAATGCCAAATTGTCAATGAAATCCAGACCTGGCTGTGATTCTTAATATTTGTCCTTAAATTTCTCAACCTTTGAGCCTCAATATTTTTATTTAATCTATGCTGTTTAAAAAATGTGTTGTTAGTTTCCTAATCCGAAAACTTAATATGAGGAAAAATACATCTTTAAGTGGAAAACTTTGATTCTGAGACTATAGTAAATTTGACTGATTTTTTGGGCGTGGTCATATAGGCGTGGTCGAAACTTTGCGAATGTCAGATTTTTTTCTGCATCCGCCCCTGGTTTTGGGTATAAAATAGTCTTTCATGAAAGCAGGATTAAAGTTGTTAAGTGTTTTATAAACTTCAAGCGCTAAAATTCTTACTAATTGGATATGTATGGTAATTTCTTTTGAGTTATGAAGTAATTCTTTGTACGAAGATGAATAGTCCGAATGACAACATCCAGTCCTTTGCATCGGTAAGGGAGTCTTTTTGCAAAAAAATTATCTAATAACTATTAATATATTCAAAAGTATTACCAGAATCTGATATATTTGCTTTTCATAGTTGTCTCCCCTAGAAATATTAATTATTCAGTGAGCTTGGCCGCTCTTTCCAAATCTGAAGAACATGTGCCAAAGTGCTTTATTTTCTTAGAGTGAAAATCGTTATAGCATTAAACAATGTGCTGTATTATTAGCCCCAATCAAGAAATGCAGGCATACCCTGCTCAAAAATCTCATTATTGTACCCAAGAAATTCTGCCTATGTAAAGAAGTGTTGTTGTTGATTAACTTTGGTGTTGTTATGTTCACGTAAGATTGTGGAAGAATTAACTTTTTAATCAGGCTAATGAAACTACAAAGTGGGATGGTATTTCATAAATTGAAAGTCTGAAGGCAAATATGGAACACATTAAATTATTTTGATAAAGAACGATAGAAAAATATCCATGTTTCTATTTGTAGCAGCGTAGATACCGAGAACAGATATTTCCAAAGCTATGGAAAATTTTTATTAGCATTTCATCACAACCTTGAAATGCAGTTGAGCTACAACAAATGAAGCCAAAAACGTGCAATAAGACACACAATACGATGAGATATATCGATTTATATAGGCAAGTTACAAACAACAGTGGCCAGACAAATGGAGGAGCGGAGACGCTGAGTAGTGTTAAGATAATGATAATGATAATGATAACGCTGAGAATGATAATAACAGTTTTGTACGATCTGAGTTTACTTTTTGAAGTTAAAACAGTCCTGCTCAAGAAAAGTACCTTTGTTCCATGTCTGATTTCCTTGCTATGTCGACCGGTTAGTCATACGTTTTCTCGCGTTGTATCTCGAGGTATTCTGACTTGCTCCGTAATCAACCTGTAGCAGTAGTTAAGCAGAGCCTTTTTGGCCTAGCTTCCCGATCTTCATCATCCGTTTTGCAGCATGAAAGGCATTATCATAATGTGGATGAAAATATTTCCCTGCAATTTTCAAATAGTCTCGCACTTTCACTCCCGCTACCTTACGTTTCTCTAACATCTCCCATTTGTCGCTCATATGTCTTGATGACGTCACCACAGTGTGGCTATGTCGGCTGAAGTTGAAGCCTTTATGCACCAGCCACCTCTTTCCTTTTGTTGTCGTCACTACGACACCATAATGATCATAGCCTAGGCAAAAAACATTGGTCGTGGAAAGTGAACGAGGATCAACAAATTTTTGAATTTTCTTGCGAGGTGATCTTTTGCAATCTTTGGCCTACAGGGAAGAACGTTTTCTTGCCCTGTGCTCACATAAGGTTGGCCCATAGAAATTGTGGCGTGAGCAAATGTCACAGCAAACTTAAAATGTCTGTCTGAACTTAGCCTCAAAACACTTTATTTTTCTTAACAAATTGTAATTCACAATTCTCCATTTCTTGACACAATTTTTTAACAACATTGTTGATTTAGTATCCTTTAATTATTCTCTTTTACAAAAACTTGAAAATTAGAACTATTTCTACCAATACAATCCATCACTTTGATCATTACATTGGCATAGCTTAGAGGGCAATGGAGCGGTACTACCAATGATCAGTTAGTAAAGTGCACTCAATTTGATTAAAAACATTTATAGGAAGGGAACTCTAACTTATTCCAATACGAGCAGACGTGTTCTTTATAGGTACTTGTTTAGGGAAGTAGGGTCTGTTGACAAAGTGTTATGAAAAGTATGTATTCAATTTTTTCTGGTGATGTACTTGCTTTTTCACAAGGAACCTAGCTCGAGGCCTGGTTCTTGAAGTTCGTTATTTTTTCAGCTCTTTTGATCGAAATGTAGCACCAAAAGTTCTTTGATAGTTCCTTATTAGTTTAACTGCACATTTAGCGCCATGAAAATTCGCTCGATAGCTACCTTTGCGTAACACACAATAAATCTGATTTTCAATTACAAATGAATTAAAACAGCTCCCTTGATTGTTTGAAATAATAAATATACTTAAAATTGAAAAGTTCCTTTGGATTTTGACTATTATGCTAACGGTTCTTTGATTTGTTTCGCCTTCTACATGTAGATTCTTTATAAAGGTTCCTTAAAAAAGCTATTACCCTTGTTCTCTTGCTGGTTCTCAAGGTGGTTAGGGGGTATGTTCCCCTTATCAAATAAAAAGAAAACAACCACCTTTGTTATATTTTTGTTGCCCCTTTTCTATTTTCATTTGCAGACGTACAGTGGAGGTGTGCAAGTAAAATCAAGAACAAATTCTTGCTTGGGTCTATGCTTATTTTCTGGGTTCAGGTCTAGGGTAACGTATTCCAGATTTGTTGATGTTTTGTGCTTGGTCAGTAGCGTAATGGGCAAGAGATAACGGACGCCCCCTCCCTATGGCAAAATAAATATTTTGCCTCCTCCCCCAAATCTTACCACATTGTCAACACTACTGAGTTCGGCCCTAGACTGGATTACGGGGCTAAGAATATTTATGTAAATTGCTAGATTTACCTGAAAACTGCTTGAAATATTCTGTGTATCACCAACTCATATATTTTGTTTCTGTCCACATAGATTTGGACAGCCCGTCAAAAATTCGTGAAACCTATTTTCGACAAAAACCATGATAAGTTAAGATAGAACCCGCTATTATTTTTGCTGGCCTAGACCCTTCAGGCGAATAACTGTAGCGAAATATACCTGTTATAGATAAAAAAATAAGATTTAAGGTGTATAAAAATGGAGCATCACCTTTGCCAGTGAACGACCTCCTGGCGTAAAACTCGGCATAAGCGACACCAGCATTCAGTACATCGGATAGGCCTCTGCGCTCCCTCGAGGAATAAGGCCTTCCCTCTGCATGTACCAGGAATAAAACTACAACTAATGTAAAACGCAACATGCTTAGGTTGCTTTGTTTGTTCTTCCTCGGTTTAAAGTCGCTTCAAATGCCTGTGTTTAATTGCGACACGATAGAATATACAATAGCGTTACCGGAAAAGGAAACAAGGTCATTTCCGGAATGAAAGGTGAAACCTTGACTGGAGGAAGGACAAGATTTGGGTATAATTCTAGATAGGAAAATATTTTCAATGCGGAAAATATTATTCGTTTCAAAAGTCATCGTTCAGCAGAGCGTCTGAAGTTGTTGATGTTATTTGCCCAGAAAGCTGCCAAAGTAACGAAAAACGAGAAAAATGCGGTTCAAGTCCCATGCATACATACACTCGCAAATCCAAGACTGGCACCCGGACTATCCCTTGCCGAATTATCTTCCTGGTGGGAAATTTTATTACGGGATGGCAATTCTTTATAGACTGAAAAAGTAGCAAAGACCGGGATACAACGTTTTGGTTGGGGGCGGCCCTGATCAATAAGTGTAACAACAGCTATGTTTTACAAAATAAAACATTTTACTTTATTTATAGACTGAAGTTTTTTGGGGAGCCAAGGCCCTCGGGCTTGAATTGTAGAACTTGGAAACTCATATCTTTCGTGTCTCTGTAAATGTATTAGTTGTATTCAAAAATATCAGTTTTGGAGAGGTCTTTGTTGTCTTGTACACCCATTTGATACGAAACTTGATATAGAAAACTTAGTTCTTGGACTGTTAGGCGATTTCCCTTCGATAAAGGCTAAAGACGATTTCCCTTCGATAAAGGCTGGATTTCAATCAAAGATGCACGAGATTTTCATCATAAGTTCCCGTAACTGGCTCAAAACATCGATAAACGCGTCTATTTCAGATTTTTTTCAAATTGAATGATTTACGTCTTGTACTGTAATAAAAACATCAGTTCGTTAGCAATGATTGTCGAGATCGCCACTAGCTCCTTTTACGCTCGATTCAAAATCATGCCTGTTCACAGGTGACCGAGAACTTTTATTATTGCGAGCTCCAAATCTTGGAAATTAAAAAAAAAAGATTTAGTACTGGTGGGTTTTTAAGTTTTTCATAAGAACTGCGTGAAATCAATTTCCAAACTGCGAATCAAAATCAAAATCGCGTCTTTTTTAGATAAATTGGGAATAAAAAAACGTTAAGTCGAGAGAGAAATACCCCTGATTTCGAGGCGCCCAAAAGCATTAGGTGGAATTAAACTAGACTTATATTATTATATCATATTATTATCGAGTCCGAGCCCATTGGCTGACGCGGTCAAACGATTGAATCATAGCCTTGTTGGGCAACATTGCTGTAGATCCTTTTAACTTACTTTGCAAATGACGATTGGGAAGTACTACGAAGCTTTTATCGCAAACTATTTTTAGATTTTGATTACATCATAAGCCCTATTGTCAAACCTCTCTTTCAGCATTTTTATCAAAAAGAGTCCACAATGTGCGCATGCGTATTACCTTGCTAGTCAACAACGCCCTGGCGCTGGCGCTGTTCTGAACCTGAAAATTTGAAGTTGCTCAGAAGAGGAAGGCAGGAGTGTCAGCTTACCAAAAGCTTACAATCTGGCGATTTCTTAGAAAAAAGCCTATAATTCATAGGGTGAGTGTTAGTATGTTACCTTAAGAGCTAATCACCATGTAATTTGTCAGTTATATTTCAGAAATCTCCCGAAAAAGTCGAGTTTTTATGAGGGATAGGCCATAGAATGTTTAGATTTGAAGAGCATCATTTACGTCATCGTCGATTTTCCCTTGAAGTATACAACAAAATGGTTGTCTAACATAACAGTTTTTGAATCAGCTTTTTTGGCTTTTTTGTCAATAAATCAATGATTATCTGCCTGTACATTCTCGTTGAAACTGTGCGCCTTAAAATCTAGCAAAGTGAAGTACGGTTTCCTTATTAGGAACACTTTGCCTGTCGGCTCTGCATGTCCTTGCTGGTTTCACTCCAGCAATAAGGGGAGATCTTTATGCAAATGCTGCAAAACCTTTTTTCGTGTCGTTTATTGTTCTTCAATTTGGGAGGCTCTTGAATTTTTACTTGTTAAAGGGCTCTTTAAGTTGAAATTTAAGCTGAAAGTTGTTGTTTGTAGTTCGCCCTCGAAACGTTTACATGCCTTTGAAACATTCTGCTTTCAAGTTTCTTTGTGCTGAAATTTTTGTTTTTGCCAGAATTGCTTAATATAATATTTAAAGAAAATTTAATTAAACAGCATAAACATACATATTTTCACAAAATATGAATGTACATTTTTTCAGTATTTTAATAGGAAGTCCGGAGATATGTGTGACCTTGAATTTCATATTTAATATATATCTTATTTAATCTTTCTTTAATGATTCTGGCTGTCCAATAGATTTGGAGAAAAATGTGTTGAGAATCTCATTATGTAAAAACGATATTGTTCTTTACTCGCAAATGATTGGGGATGGTTGCCCCCCCCCCCACTCATCTTCTCCTCCCTAGTTTAACACTTCTATTCCCAACAAGTTTCTAAAAATCTGTTTTTAAGTTGTTTGGTATTTTGCCGGTGGAAAAGAATCATGTCTTGAAAGTGGTATGCACTATTACCAGACTGAAAAGTTTGGCATGCACAGGGAATAATTGTTACCCTTCATTCCGCCCCCGCATTATTAAGAATCTGCAGTGGATTCTGCACACGATATTTGTTTTTCTGATCATATCACCCACAAGTTTTCCACTATTTAAACTTCTGACATCTGATAAAAAAAACAAGGAAAACAAAAGGTCTCTTTAGAAGACTTTGCTTCAAATTCCATGCATGATTTTGCAGGAAATTTTTGTTATCCATAAATGTTAAAGTTATTGTTCTGGCGTTCCCCGCGCAGAAAAAATACTTTACAGTGGGGCACTATTATCTCAAGGTACAAGTTGCTGCACATTGTTACTTTAAGCTGTGACGTTTCATGAAAGTAATAGCTGTGCCATTTCATGAAGACTTTTTCACAAGGATGGCAATTCTATCTACTTTTGTCACACTGCTGTGTTTCATTTACGCAAGAAGGGAGAGTAAGGGACTTTTGCTAGTGGCGTTTGATTTCAACATTAAAATTTCTTTTTAAAAACTTATGATTCAGACCAAACTAAAATTGCCTTGATTGAATCTGTAATATTGTGTTTTGTTCTAAGTGTGTGATTTGAATTACAGTATGTTTTGGTTCTGTCTGCAACATAGATAAAAAGATATATACAACAACAAGATATAGTTTTATCAATGCAACGAAACTTCACCTACAAATGCTATGGGTCAGACCAAGATAAAATAAAGAACTAAGAAAGTCTAACTTAAACCCCCTATTTACCTCCTTTTTCGCATCCCAATTTTCAGGGGAATGGGCTCTGTTGTCCTAAACAAAACCCCTTTGACAAGAGGAAACCTTAATGAGGCAAATAAGCTGTTGCCTGTACTTTTATATCATGTTTTAGAACTGTTTCTAGCCACCTTTCCTCTGCCAACTTTTGTGTTTTGTATGCCTTTAATTGAGGCAAAGTGACCATTTGATCTAAACATGATTTCTGACCTAATGTTTAATTGTTCTCAGCTATGCGTGTTGATAGAACCCATTGTTTGAGCGTTTGAACAATAGTTTGAAACAAAAGAACAATAGCTTTGTTTTGATCACCAAACCTGGAACAGTATCAAGCTTGATGCCATAAGCTCTACCATTAACTTTGCTTGCATTGGTTTAGAGCTTGAGACAAACCACACAGCTGAAAAAAGAGAAAAGTTCTAGTCACTTTGTATGCAAAGTGAAAGGATTTCAAATGCCCCACTAATGGGCAAAGTCTTACATTTAGTGGCAATAACTAATGACCAGCAAGAGTGTATATTAGAAAATTCATCTATTTTTGCAGAGAAGCTGTTTAATTATATATATAAATGTTATTCTCGACAACTTAGTGGTTGTCGAGAATAACATTTATCTAAACAAAGTCTTGGCCCCTTTGATTGAACAAAGAGTCTGGAGAATATTGGTTGCTGAAGAAAACATTAGATTTGGAAACATAATTCATTAGCAAGATGCTTTTTCTTACTCTCTTCAAATTTTGGGTATAAATGGCATGTTTGGGTGATACGTCTATTACGAGACAGACCTTTGTAAGTTGAAAAACTACTTTGCAAAGAAGAGCTTAAAATTTTTTCATCCCTTCGGGCAAATCAAAACTGATGCTGTCTGGATCATCCATGCCAAAAAAGGCAAACTGTTTATTTCATTACTTGTCAATGGACATCACCAAGTTTTCTCAATTGTTCCAACATAAATAAAACGTTTATTCCCAACTAACAAAACAAGAATCTTTATTGTCACGAGAAGGAAAAGTAATGCAAATAAAAAAGCCCCATACCCCTTTAAAGCCATTGAGTCATGGTCAATAGACCTTCTCTATAAAGGCCGGGCTACACAAACACTTTTTACCATCACTTTTTTCCATCACTTTTTTCAATATTGGAGCAACATGCTGAAAAGTGATCATGTAACATACTTAAATTTTCCATTTTGCTGCAGAATTTAATGTGCTTATCAGGTGTTAATTCTCTATCATTGGAATTTTACTCTGAAAAAAAGCAGAGTAAAATCGAGTTCATCACTTTTTTCGAAAGGCCAGGACAATTCTTACGTCACATAATGTTTTGATGAGAAGGGAATGGCTTAGAGTTTCAAGAAAAGAAAAAAGACATAATTTGTGCTCAGAAGCATAATTATTAGATAAAAACGAATATGAATAATGATTTGAAGTAAATTGAAGAGCATCACATTTCAGAAAAATAAATGCAGTTTAATAAAATATACTCAATTTTGATAAGAAACCATCCTTGACATTGAGTACCCTGGTTTCTTAAGGTTCGCAAAATTTTAGAACTCAAGAGTTTGATGCAAACTGTTTTGTTAATCAGTACTAGGTGAGTTCATGTGAACAGTTCCAGGTCAACCAATAGCACTACAGCTAAAAGTCATGACTCAGCGGTTGGGTATGAATTTGGGTACATTTTGGTATACCCTCTTCTCAAATCATGACTCAATGCCTTAATCAAGCCTAGAAAGACTAAAAAAGGCAGTATTTAGTGTGTCATTAATCAACAAGAGCTATAAAATTCAGTATCTTTAGGCAGCTGTTGCGGAAAATCACTGTTTTACTGCTAGAAATATGGCAAATAGAGTACTCAATGTCATCACTAGATAGATTATCCATCTTTGGCAAACAGAGCATTGAATGGGATGAATATCACAGGCTTGTTGCTTCAAGTTTGTCTACATCTATGACTGACCTTGACTTATCTGTGGGTTAAATTTGTTTTAGGTTTAAACCAGAATAAAAATGCAGACAATCAAGTGTGTTGTGGTGGGTGATGGTGCTGTGGGTAAAACCTGTCTTCTAATCTCATATACAACAAACAAGTTTCCAAGTGAATATGTACCAACTGTGAGTAAATTGTTAAGCATTATTAAAACATTTTTATATGTTTATCTAGTATTGTTCTTTCATAAAACAAAAAGAATCACATGCAAAAGCTTATTATTTGCTAATACTTTCAGGAGAAAGACATGTTTTTGTATTACCTATTCATTTCATTATAAAGTAATCATATGTGTGTGTTTATTTACAAATATACATTATTTTGCATTTACTTTCATGACAATGGACAACAGTTACTAGCTTATTTTGCTTTACAGAAAGTAGAAACATGGTATTATGACTTTTAAAATGGAAGCAAAAGGGAGATGTTTTTTAAGCAATGCAAAAAATCTTCTTCAAGTCCCCGGTCCCACTTTGACTAGGCATTTCATTTCAAAAGCTGATAATGATATTTTTTGTATACACATAGCGTCTTGTTTTGTTTTGTTTTGTTTTAAAAGGCAAAAAGCCTTGGGTATGAATGCTAATCATATAGGACACATCAAATTAATTTAGCTGATTTTTAATTCTTTAACTTTTTTCATACACAGGTGTTTGATAATTATGCTGTCACTGTTATGATTGGTGGTGAACCATACACCCTTGGGTTATTTGATACTGCAGGTTAGTCTACATTAACTGTTTGTAAACCCTCAAATTCTGCCTTTCAGTTAGAATTCCATTCCATAATATATGTCATGAGTTTTGAATGTTTCTTTGCTTCTTTTTTAAATTTTGAATTTGGTTGGTCAGTGTTAGTATTTGAAAGAGAAAATGACTAATTATAAACTGCAATGGATAAGTGACTAAGTTGCTGTCTGGACCAGCAAGTCTCACAAACAGGGAACTGCCATTTGTCACCTACTGGAGCATGAAATATTCACAGACAGCTGTTTTAGAATACAAACCAGCTTATCAAATACATACATTATTATCAATTAATTATTTGCCCATTCCCAAATCTTTATGTTAAAAGTTTCTAATGTTATGTTATTTTCATACGTACTGGTGTTTTTCTTTGTAATCGGAAGTCTCCTCTTAAATATATTTAAATTTTTATCCTACAATGCTGACTTATTGAAATTTTCAGTTAGACCAGCTATTTTGAAGTATCAGTTTGAAAAATTTCATTGGTTTTTGCCAGTTGTTTTCTCTTGATTCTTTCGTAACAGCTTTTTTTGCCGTTTTTCAGGTCAAGAGGATTATGATCGACTTAGGCCTCTGTCATATCCACAAACAGATGTTTTTCTTGTCTGTTTTTCAGTCGTTTCTCCATCATCTTTTGAAAATGTGAAGGAAAAGGTGAGTGGAAAAGTTCATTTTGAACTCATTTTTCAAATCTTAGTAAGGTGAAATACATGACATTGCTCAACCGGAAGGTCGATTGGAGATATTGGCCTACATTTAAGATTCTGGGCTTGATATGCAAAGTGGGTTTAAGGAGCAAATCGGAAGATTTCCACAGCTTTGAGACACAGTTAGCTGCTCACTTTGTGTGCGTATGGCTCAGAGTTTGAGGTCATGGACTCCAGATCCGAGGGTTTTGGTTCCTGACATGACCAAACTTTGAATCAGAGTAAGGAGAGCTGCCAGCTCTCAGTATTTCCAGGCGTAGGAAGCACGAGGTGTGGCCATATCACTGGGAAAGACAAGACACTGCTAATTAAAAATAATTTCTCAGTGTCCTAAACTCTAGCTCCGATAGCTTGATAGCTACAAAGACTTCATATCTGTAAGCGAGACGAGCAAGCAAATGAACAAAAAAGTCATAGTACATGCGCACTTAGTAATCAAACTCTTTGTGCGTGCCTGTTGATTTTTAAGACTGAACAAATGACGACATCTTTTGTATTTTTCTCTTTGTTAGTGGGTTCCTGAAATTACTCATCACTGTCCTAAAACGCCATTCCTTCTTGTTGGAACACAAGTCGATTTGCGAGATGACGCCAGCACAATAGAAAAGTTGGCAAAAGCCCGCCAAAAGCCAATCACGATTGAAAATGGTGAGAAACTGGCGCGTGAGTTAAGAGCGGTTAAATACGTCGAATGCTCCGCTTTAACGCAAAAGGGATTGAAGAATGTCTTTGACGAGGCCATCCTTGCTGCCTTGGAGCCACCGGAAACGCCCAAAAAGAAGAAATGCTCAATTTTGTAACCAAACCGTTATCTTGTTCGTACGAGACACTGATTTATAGGAGAAAGTAACTTTCAAGACCTTGTATACAAAACATGGATATTGTGAAAGGGTTTGCAGAGGCGCCTAACTGGGGAACCCTCTGTGAGAAGGTTTTTTTGTAAAAATAATAATAATAACATGAATTATAAAACAAGGATGCGTTGTTATTTAGTGGTGATTTGTTAAATGTTTTTTTGCACGTTATGTGTAGTATTTCAAATAAATGATTACTGATAGTAAATGCAGTTATTGTTTATTCACTTATTTCCATTTATAAAACATTTTGAGAATCTTGCCTAGAAACTGATGCATTATGAAGAGTACCATAAAGATAGGAGAATTTGGCTATTGATCGATGCTATAAGAAATGATAGAATTAAGGTGAAAGAAAATCCTTAATTGAAATTATCTGACAGAGTACATAGAATCACATCGCTACATGCTATGTTACTAATCTTTTTATGTCGTTAACACCCTGAAAACATTATCTTTAATAGAAAATATTATATCATACTAGGGTACGTTTCGTCTGACACTCAAAAGATGAGCACAAAGTTGATATTCAAATGCGGATCGAAAGTAACGCGAGAGATCGAAAAGCACGTTTGATTGGCCCTTTGTTTTTGACAAATCACAACTGTACGCCTTGTTCAGGTAATTCAAAAATTCAAGAAAATGAAATCTGAAAGGACTTTTTGGATAAGTTAAGCAGGCTTGACAACTGTTACGTTGGCGGCTTTGATGGTTCCGATTTCTTGTACAGACTGTCCTTTACAGCTAACTTTAACGTCTGGAGTTTGGAATGAGCTTAAAAAGTCTTTCGTATTGTAGAAGAAAAAAGTCATGACCATTTAACCTTGTTGCTTATGAAACAGTGCTATAGAATATTCCCACCCGTCACGTGACAACTTTATTGCCGCCATGATGGAACACAACCTATTTTTGGATATACATAGCAACGCGTTATTTATACCGTACGGATTTGAAACGGAACGGACAGTTATCTGCGCCGATTTCGAAATATTGTATATCTAGAATCGTTTACATCTATACCTAACTAACTTGTTTGCTGTTCCTTCCTATCTTGGAACTGTTTCTTTTTAAAAACTTTATAAGTGCTGCCTTCTCTGCACGCAAACAGCATTGCTAGTCGCGGCCGCAGTGAAATGGTCAGCTTGAAAGATTTGTGACTTCCCTTGAACCTCAGAAGAGGCTCGGATAGGAGGAGAAAAATACTTTAGTTGATGGTATAGACCCATAGGCATACCGCATACCTGAGAAGAACTGCAATGCTAAAATACAGGATTATCCTTCAGTGATATATATTGATATATTTAACTACCTATTTTTTAATAAGAATGTCTATTTTTTTCTTTATCAAAATGTGCAGAAGGTTTGCAAGACTAGAGATGACCTGAATAAACCCGACCTTCGGGGCTGTAAGAACCAAAATATTGATGAATCTTTCAAATTGTGATAAAAGTAAGAAATTCCAAACACAAAAGACAAGCACAGTGTATCAAAATAAGGCATCAGTCTAATTCCACGAGGCCGTTTCACATAATCTCATTTCGTAAAGGATCTTTGATATGCATTTATATATACAGATATGAACAATATTTTGGCGGTACAGAACTTGAAAATGTCTTTGAAAAAATCAAACATTTCACAACATGAAAGCTTTTTCAGCTTTTTTGCTAAAAGCTTTTTCGTCTGACACTCCTCCGAGCTTAAAACGTCCAAAAGAACACGATGAAAAATATGTACCCAGTTGTGGATCGAAATAGGCCAATCAGAAACACGCAAGCATAAGACCGGTGTAGTTGACCAATCAGTGCTGCGTGCGTAAAGGAAAATTACCACTGGAGTCCAAGGGAGAAAACGGATTCCTTCTGTCTACACAATGGCGGCTTTTTTGTTTGTATGTAGATCGATTCCAAAACTGCTAGATGGAAGAACGACCGGGCTCTGCCAATTATCCGAAACATGTCGTAATTTTAGAGTTTTGCACAATCTGGGTTGTCTAAAAGATGTTGATCAATGGCAGAATCACTTGTTTTAACAGTGTTTCTAGACCTACAAGAATCTGCATGCGCAGGAGAAAAGTTACCCGGGTTCAACCCTCTTTCGCATTTACAATACATTATTTTAAAACCGTTGAGTTTCAGCCCGGGTTGAGTTTCAGCCCAGATTGAGTTTCAGCCCGGGGTGAGTTCCAGCCCGGGTTGTGAGCCAGCCCTTGCTCATTCTGCGATTATTCTTGCTGAGTCAACTTTTGCGGTATAATAATATCACTACGGGATAAGCATAGGTTCGAAAGCTTTGATTCAAGAATGTGAGAAAAAACGTTCTACGCAGCTACAATTGTCCACAAAAATTGTGGGACTGCTTTTCCTCTTCTTCCCACCTCGCAATAATGTCAAAGTCTGTTTGGCGTAATAACCCAAAAGTAAACCTATCGAGTTATTTTGTAAATCATTCATAATTTTGACTTAGGCTCCAGACAGACGTATTCGTTGCTCAATCCTTCCACCGTCCCCTTCCCTCCCCCACCCCCTCCAAGCAATGTTGTTTGTTGAGATTTGGCGAAGCAGTTGCCAATCATGTGTGCCAGGACCGTATACAATAACAAGATCTCAACAACATTGCTTGACGGGGGAGGGGGTCAAATACAATTCTAGTAGATTACTGTCAATAAATTTGTCCTGATTTTATCACTGGTCTCGATATATTTTGCGAAGGATTGTAGGATCGTTTGCATATTTACCTAAGCAACTTCTTTGCTTTGCTTTCTTATATTGGGAAAAGATTTTAAGGAGTACCGTCTTTCAACAGCCCTTCAGATTAGGCGCTTTGATGCCCAGGCGGAGTAAGTTAGTCACATGACGGGTGGGGATAATCTTTATAAACTCGACATGCACAATTATCGACTTTGAAATTTAACAAAAGAGATCAGGGCATGAATCTTATCAATTCCAGCAAAAATCTTAAGGACGAGAATTGTTTGCTCTTTTATAAAATGAAATACATTTCGACTTCGAACTGCCTGTCATCTGAAATTCATACCTTGGGGGAGTCACTCAAACTTTTCATATACAAATGATCCATCTGCAGTTATCAAAATTCACTTCAAAGTATCAAAAGCAATTTAACAGATCGAAAATTATCAGCTAAAGTGTTGATAAGACCCAAAAATTCAAATACAAAACTTTGTCATTGAGCACATAAGAGGCCTCTATTTATAGTAATTTAGACTGTTTCCTAAAATAATCAGTTTAAACATATATGTTTTTTTATCTCTGTATGTGATATCATTATGTGTTAGTTGAAACCAAAAGTAGCAGAAAGGTATATTGTTAAATCAGGTACCCAAAAGGATAAGATCTCAAGAAAATTCTCACCCCTAATTATCGGATGGATCTCCCTGTACATAAAAAGTTCAAATGACTAACTGGCCTCGATTTGCACAAGAAGAATCACGTTTGAATAAGAGGCCTTAATTTCCAAGTATATTTGGTGTCACGTCACCTACCTATATTTCATTTCAGATAACATTTCAGCTGAATTAATTAAAGCAGGAGGGGTCAGTATGGTAGACGTTATGCTGAAAATATGGAACAAATGCTTAAGCAAACAAGAGTGGCCTACATGATAGACGGAAGCTATTCTTCTAACCATTTACAAAAGGGGGAAATCTAGTGTAAAAACTACAGAACCATTAGCCTTATCAATCATTCAAACAAAGTATTGCTTCTAATTCTTCAGAGGAGAATTGAACTTTGTATTGAAGAGATCTTAAAAGAAGGCTGGCTTCCGCAAAAAAAGAAGGAAAATAGAACAGACAGGAAGCCTAATATCATTACGTGAGGAATACCACAACCATCATAATTATGTTTTTCATAACTTCATTGACTTTAAAAAAACGTTTGACCGGGTATGGCAAGATGCCTCGTGGCACACTAAGTACAAAATTGGGACAATAATCACCACCTCGATCAAAACTCTTTATGAGCGAGCAAAGAGCTCGGTTCTGGTAAATAACGATTACGGCATTTGGTTCACATCCAATGTGGGGTAAAACAGGGCTGCATTCTTTCACCAATGTTGTTTCATCTCTTTATTGAACAAATAATGACAGATGTACTAGAGAGCCATGTAAGTGAAATCAAATGCGGGGGATTGCGAGTTGCGACCTTGCAATCTGAGGCTTGTGGATGACATCGACATCATTGCCACTTCTGAAGAAGAACTAAGAGAACTTACAGAGAGGATCAAGAGTGTTGATGCACGGGTATGGTATGGAAATTTGTGCATAAAAGCAGGGCCTTCGGGGCCAGGGGTGATTCACAAAACAGGGCCCCCTAGAAAAATTTCCTGTTGCCACGCCCTTCGGTCTCCCGGAGAACTAGGAAAACGCCCTTTTTAGTCACAATTGTTGAAAAAGTTTTTCTATTTCTAGTAGTTTTTCGGTGGACATAGTTTTTCTCTGCGATAAGCTTATAGGCGTTGATTCCATACACATAGCTGAAATAGCAGCTTGTTTGCATTGTGAATAGATCTCACTACATTATTACGGGCCCCATCGGAGCACGGGCCCTGGACCTTTGCCCCTCCTGAACCCCCTCTCGACGCCCCTGCTTAAAAGCAAAATAATGATAACAGGACCACGCCAATGAATTTGAATGCACATATTCAAGTAAATCTGGAACAGGTTGGAAGCTTCAAATACCTTGGCTCAGCGATAACTAAAGAAGGAACATCAACAACAGATGTAATGTCAAGAATTGGAACTGCAACAAGTGCCTTATCTCTGGATTCGATAAATTTGGAATGAGAGAAAGCTATCAATTGAAATTAAAGTAAATTTCCTACGTATTATCGTTACCTCAACATACGGACTATACGGATGTGAAACATACCAGAAAAAGTTAGAAAAACGAATTGATGTATTTGATATGAAATGTTTTTGGAGAAAGCTTTGAATATCTTGGAGGGATCGAAAATGAAATGAATTTGTTAGAGGTGAATTTCAACGACAATATTGCAAAATTGACAGCCTTCTGGACGAAATCATGCATGGACAAGTAGAAGGAAGCAGAATAGTGGGAAGACCCCAGAGAATGTGGAGCGACGGTCTCAGACAATTGACTGGTCTGGGCCTGACGGAAGCCCTAAGAAGAACTGAAAACAGGGTGGGTTGGATGAAGGGACGGATGTTCATAAGTGGGTGCATTTTCGAATTTCGGTCCAAGCACAGAAGGTACTTTTATAAACCTTTTCTTTATTATGTTGTGGAAGAAAAACTTTGTAGAATAAAAAATTATGTTCTTAAAGAACCCCTTTGTTAGAAATATGGCCCCGGCTCCAGGGACGGATTTAAGCAACAGTTATTGGAGGGGTTGGGGTTGTTAGACACTAATTGGATTTTGGCGCCACACCCTTCTCAGGTCACTGGGAAATGATGTAAACGACCATTTTCAAAATTCGGTTTTTAACTTGAAGGTAAAGAAGATAAATAAAGTAAAATCTTGGCATTTTTTTGCTACTACTGACTACCAAAAATGATTTTTACCGAATGGGAGCAAAATTTCCCGACGGACACAAAAATATTGGAGGGGTGCCGCACCCCCTACCCCGCCCGCTGAATCCGCCCCTGTCCTTCTCCAACATCTCTATGTTTGTTTGTGTGTGAAGTATATCAAATATGGCACTTTTGTACCAGAGATTTCAGCGGAAGTTATAAATGCTCACTTGAAAGAATTTTAAAACCTTGCACAGCAAAGTTTTCGACAAAAAATCACATGTCAAGCTCGTTCCAAGTGAGTCTGTTTGTGGCTTTCATTTCCTCCTTCGCTGTTTCCGCGGTTCGGCGTTCGCAACTGGAAATCGTCATGTTCTGCAATCGTGGTTGTTCACCGACAGCTGGGATTCTTGTTGAACTTCAACCCGAAACATTTGTTACTTAAAAGTGTCAATGCAGCAGTCATTCTATTACGGTATGGCACAAAAACAGTAACAGAAAATGGCCACGCAAGGTGAGGCTCTTTGATCAACCTTATAGCTTTTCACTGCAGTATTCTGTCAACTATGGTCCAAGTTGGCGAAACTAGGCCACAACAATGAGCAAGTAGCGTATAATGTCATATAGAAAACGGAGACTGGTGGCTAGCCATCGGCAAGAATATAGTACGAAACTATACTTTCGCAGTTTACGAGAGATGGTTACTTTTATCTGAAAACATGAGTTGTACATCCTAAAGTTTCGTTCCTGTATTTCAGTGGGTAACTGTTGGATCAAATGACCTCGGATTTATTGAACTCTTGGAAGCGCATGACACAATTAATAATAGTACCAAACCAAACAAGAACAGCGCCAACTAGTTTGTTAGTGCGGCGGCTCAGGTTTATGGTCATAGTTGTAGATGCTTCAACGCATCGTTGAGTTCTTGCCCTAGTATTTTGTAAATTGTATTTAGTACGGAATCCTCGATTTTAAAAACGAAACTAAATTATTCAGTTTATCAAATGACCTCATGCAGACTTTTTTATATAAGAAAATAGTCTATAAAAGTATTAACGCCCAAAATCGCTGAAATTCAAGAAGAATTTAAGAATAATGCAAGACTCAATCTTCATCAAGAATTAATTTCTTTGTTTATTTGAGTTTTTGGAAAGCAAAACAAATGCGAGTTTCACACAATGTGCCTTGAAATAGACGTATCTCCCCATGGATTCTTAAGCACTATAATTCAAGAAAAATTTAAGCCTCAAAATAAAGCAAATTTAGGAATATTGAGGCTAAGCGAAAAATAGATCTTCATATAAAAAAGTGTGTAATGATCCCCTTCTTTGAAAATTTTGTTATCAAAGTCTGTTCATCATATTTATTACCTAATCATTATTTTTTTTTTAAATAACACACTTTTAAAAGACCTACTGTCAACCAACAAGAAGCCTTCATTTTACGTGGTCTTCTCTTGTTGATTGCTCAATTTCACAAATTTCTGTGCCAGAGAAAAAAAATGCACATCACACTGGGAATGTTATCATAAGTACCTTGAAGACTCATTGCTAACAATGGGCCATTGTGTTATGCAAGCATGAATTGCATTTTCAGACAGTCTTAAATCAATTTGGTTAGAATGTAGAAGTTTGCTGCCATTGTTTGGATCATTGCCTAGATAATTTGCCAGATGTGCCAAGGCTTACTGTTAGGAACTAATCTCTAACGAAGCTTCTGATGTCAGTAAGGCCGCCAATTTGTGGAATGCATGCTGACAAATAGAAAGTTGCCAACTTTGCCACATGAGATATGGCTGAGAGAGACAATATATAACTTAGTTATATAACTGTTGGCACAGTTCAAAGAACAATTTGCATGGTGAAAGCTTTTGGGCTATGCAAATTGAATGTAATTTGAAAGCCCCCTTTCACTGATAGTTGACCTCTTCCCTTCTTGCTTGATTTTTGTTTGTCAGAAAAAGTTGTCAGAGTTTCCATAAATGATTTCATACCAGACAAAGTGAGTGTGATCTAGAAAGTGTTCTTGCCTCAGTTTGTTTATTTTCTGTGGGACTTGCTTCTTTCAATATTTTGTCATTGTTCTAAGCTTTCAATGGTTTCATCGTCAATATAGATAGAAGCCAGGGCTGTCAATGGGGGGCAGGCGATAGCACGCGAGCGTGCAGGCATGCATCCGAGGTTATCTTTGAGAGCGATTAGTCACACACCCAGTGATAAATATTTATCAGATGCTGATAGGTCAATCCACTTGCGAAATTCTTTTTAGAAACGGAAGTTTGACATCAAATCCTTGTTTCCACTACTCTGTTTTCATATGTCTCCGTTTTCTGATCATTCCTTTTCCGTTATTCTTGAGCCTTTACCCTTGCTGGCTTTTAAAAATGGTTGGCTTTTATTAGCTTTGCTTTTAAATATTTTATCTTATACATCTAAAGCTATTTTATACCTTTTTTATGTTAACATTGTAAATAAAGAGCTAACAATAATAATAATAATAATAATAATAATAATAATAATAATAATAAATAATTGCTCCAGCCCACACCATTTTGGCCAAAACGAAAATGAAGGTTTGCCCATTACTCTGTTTTGTCCTCTTTTATATCCTTTGTTGGAGCTCATCTTGAAAGTGAAGATGAACGAATTCATTTTTAATGGCTCCGTTTTAGATTCTCTCGTTCAAACAATTTGTTTTTAAATGACTCCCTTCTCCATCGACTTCGCTCATTCAGTTCCTTTTTCCTATGAAAGCGGAGTAATAGGAACAGGGCCTTATCTTCAATGGACTAACACATTATTAATTGCCCTTTTGCTATTTGTTGGTTACAGGGTCTTATTTTTGTTTTATTTGCTAAAGCTATTTTTTCTGTTTTTTCCTTTAACTTTGATGAACAGAAATGACACTTTGTCACATTTCTAAAGTCACTGAAACCTCTCTATGTCACACAGTTCCCTTCACAATTACTTGTGAGGTAAACATGAACAGAACTATACAATGTGTAGCATTCAGTTCATTTATTAAAAGTTTTGTCACATTTAATGATTGAAAAGAAAAATGTTTGTTGCTTTGTGTTAAAAAATAAATTTGATTTACACGCCCCACTCTTATCACATGAGTTTTTGGCCGCACACGTTGATTTCTGAACATGAAAGCCCTGGAAGCAGAGTCATTTTTGGCTACTTTCAACTGGAACCATGTTGATTTAAAGTATTGACAGTCACAAGTTGTTTCTCGAAATGCGAGAGTATTAACATCGATTAAGTTTTGAAGAGCCTTAGTTAGGTTATCTGTATAAGATGCTCTATAATACTACTAGATTAGATGCTTTATAATACTACAAACCAATTATGAAAATTGTTAAGTTTTTAAATTGTTGAATTTGAAAAAGTAGAAAAAGCTTTTTCTAAATTCATTTCTGAAAGATAGATCCTAAAGACTGTCTAGAAAACGGATGGCCTGTTCTTCGGAAGAGACTTAGATGAGTTAAAAGACGAATTTTGATATGAAATATCAAAGATGTTGAATACTTTTGGTCAGGCCTATTTAAGTGCTTGCTCAAAAGAATATGTTTTTAAGGACTACAGCATGTTTTAAAAAATAATTTTCCAAGCATTTAAACAAATCTAGTATTTTTTGCAATTTTAATGGTGCTGGTTTTGCTCAATATTTTTAATTATTTCTTCAAAAAACATTTAGTGCTATCCAAACTAAAAATTTAAGAAGTTTGTGGGCATGAAGACATGTCTCACAAAAAGGCAAGCATATTGTCTTATTTGGTTTCTTATTTTATCAATTGATTTCTTCTGACAGCTAACACCGACAAAAACATGCTCTGGGAATCTTTTGTGTGTTTAAAGGAAATACAAGTCTTGATTTTTGATAATAAAGTGACAAATAGCTTCAGCAGACATTGAATTGTTGAATATTTATTTTGAGGAGAGTGATTTCTATTTGGTCAGTCAATATTGATAGATAATATTGGTTTATACATTTTCAATCACCTTAAACTTTTTGCTGTAAACCAACTTATTTGCTTTCAATCTCTGCATTCAGTAGAATCCCGTTATAACGTACTCGGTTATTACGTACTTTCGGATATAACATACTGGTGTGCTTGGTCCTGACAAAAGGTGTGCTTGGTTTTAGTCAATTTTTACTTACCCTTGTTACAACGTACTTCAGATATAACATACTAAATACACTGGTCCCTTGAAGTATGTTATAACCGGATTATACTGTATATGCTATAAATTGTGCTTTTTATGATTTGATAAGAAAAAGCCTATCTTTATTTGTCTTTCTTAAGTTTGATACCAAATTTTTGTATATCTCAGTGTATCAGCAACTTTCAATCTTTTATTTACAATTGAGGTGGCCTATGCCCTGTTATACAGTTTTTTCTTTGCATGCAAACCTTATAGAGGCCAGTATTGCCCAGAAAATGGTAATAGGGATCCATGTGTCATACACTCAAGGTGAATATCTCTCTGTTAATATACCACCCAAAAGCTCAAAAAGCACTTGTAGGTCTGTTTTCAAACTTAATTTGAATTCAAGAGTTACAAGAATCAGGGCCAAAAAACTTGTTTCATGAAATTGTTAACTGAGTGGCTTGGATATTTTTGATAACATCCCATTCTTAATCAACCAAAGATATCAAGTTACTTTATCAATGGCATTACATCTCATCTAAGTTCTTTTTGTAGGGGATAATTATAATTATATATTATTTGAGTTCCCCATATAACCTGTCAGTTTTTGCACTCAGTTCAAAATTTGAAAACTGCATCTGCAACTTCGGAAAGCATCACAGTTGCAACATGAATTTTTCTAAGTTTTAATTTCTAGAGGAATGAAAATCTTAGGAAAGACATCTAAGGAAAGATAGCACTCTGTCAATTTCTGCATTGAAAGACACCATTGCAATGCATGTTTAGGTGATTAGCACTATACTGGTGATACCAAATCAGAGTTGGCAAGTAAATAAATGCCAAGATGACTTGCCATGAATCAATTTTCAATGGTTGATCAAACAAGATGATCAATCAGAACAGCACAAAAAAGCTGACCAGGTCAGATCTTACATCTGCAATACTGATTGCTGACCTAGATGAAAGGGTTGAATTCTACTGCCAAATGATTTGATCAGTTACAAGCAACTTTATCAACTTTTTACACTCTGGTAAAGATAATTTCCAGCAAATCGAGTTAAACTAAAGTGAATCAAGTTCAGCGTGTTTATCTTTTTTGATAATTTAATTAAGATAATCATGTCAAACATTGGGCTATATTTTTTCTAGGTTAAGTTTGTAGATGAATATTTCATGCAGTCAGGAAACTGTTAAGGTTTCCCCATTCCCCTCAGCTAGGATTCCAATTCTGTTCTTTGCAGGTCACGTTAATTATTTATTAGAAAAATGGTTACTTAAGTTTGTGTTTATTTTGGAAATATTTCAGATACAACGTCTAAAAGAAATTGTAAGATTATGGTATCCATGCAGTAGTTTATAGGAGATCCAGGCTAGTTTCAAGCCCGTAGCCAAGCCTATGGGGTAGGGGTGGCAAACTCCCCGGACCTGTTACAGGCAGGCATTTCAGCAATTTTTCTTTTCAAGTTATTGCTAAGCAGCAAAAGTTTTTTGAGCACCAGGCAGCATCTTAAGTCCCAAATGGATAATGAGAGACCCAAATAAACAATTTTTTCTTTCCTCATTAGTAGCTCATTAGCTCACTATCAGTATTTCCTTTCCTCAAATTGCCATGAGATTCCAATGAATATGATGAAAACACCATAAGACAATTTAGAGACAGAATTCTTGGAAACTACTGAATAAAATTGAAGGCTTTCATTTCACAGCATTCAAATTATGGAATGAAACACCAGCTGACATTTGTGAACTACCAACGGTAGATCGTTTTGGAAAACAGCTAAACCATCTCTAAAGAGCTAGGCTCTAATAAAATGTCTCTGGAGGAACAGCTTTAGATGTTATATATTTTAATTTGCTAAATTGTTACTTTGTTGAAAGATGATATTAAATGTAAATGACCAAATTATCTTCTGCAATCTGCTTTTCATCCTGTGCATTATTTGATTTCATATTATTTTGTAGAAACTGACATGTTGCAATACTCAACCGTCCATGTGCAGCCCGTTGGCAATGATGAGCAAGATTGCAGTTTTTTCTGTCAAAATGGAACACTAGATAATCAGGAAATTAAGGAAACGCATTTTTGTTACAATGAAAGAAATAATGTCAAATCAGATTCACACATACCTTTATCAATTGGTGACAGTTTGGATATGAAAGCCACACCTGAGTTTGAGCTTGCACAAGTAAGCAATCATTTCCTCCTTTCTTTTATTGTTAAAATTGTTTGGGGTCTTGCATTTTGCTGGGGGCCCCTAGCAAGGGAACCAGTGGTATGGTACCCATATTTTACTTTTATTAGAAAGTCATGATCTCCCAATACCATTCTGAAAAAATTTATAAAAAAGCAGAAGTCAAAGTTTATGAAAATTACTGTTTGCTTGTCTGTCAAAGTTGATGCTGTATGGGCAGAGCTGTACGCACACCAAACGCATAAATTTAAACTTAGATAAATTCTAAACTTTGGAATTTTGGAATTTTTGGTTTGCATTTTCATACTCACAGGTAATGGTTTATTTCTAAGTCTCAATTAAACATGTTTGAGTTATTTTGCTAAGTTATTTTGTGTTCAAAAGGAACCAATGTACACAGAAGATGTGAAAGATTCAAGATCATTTTCACGGCAAAAAATGTGCAACCTTGTCAGGAACATGCAACAGAACCATATTGCTGAACTCTTCCCTATCATTGAGTCAAGGGAGACAACAGAAGGTTCTGAAGAGCAGGTTATTTGCAGAATATGCCACACAGGTGGAGAGGAGATTCTTATTTCTCCTTGCAAATGCATTGGTTCAGCCCAGTTTGTCCACGCAACATGCCTGCTAACGTGGTTTAAAAAGTCAGTGAAAAACCAATGCGAGCTTTGTCAGCACCAAGTTCCAATTAGAAAGAAAGCGAAGCCTGTTTCAAAGGTAAGTGAAATGGACAATTTTTGCATTTGTTTGTTATCATGCCTGGAAATTATTATTCCTGATTATGTTAGCCATTTAATCAAATTATTATGTTTGATCTTCAGATATTTAACCGCAGTATCATATTGAAAGATTACACATAAGCAACTTTATGATAAGTTAGCAGGCCCGTAAATACCGGGGGTTGTCACACCCCCCCCCTTTTTTATGTGTCAATAATTTTAGAGCAGTCAGAAAGTCTAAGTCGCCATTCCAATGCTTACTTACGTCAAAATATAATGTAACATAACATCAATGCCGAGAATTTTTTTCAATTCAGAATGGAAAGGACCGAACCATATAAATCTGAGGTTCTGTAAATAAAGGCTGTCTAAAATTTTTGTACAAAAGGCAATTGGCTTATAGTGGGCAATACTTTGCCTTTGATTACTCTAAGCTTTTAATTAATCTAATTGATTATTTAAACCTTTAACCCCATCAAAACCATTCCCCAAGAACACATTTTCATGTTGCAAAAATCGATTTATGATTTTATTCTTTGATTGATTACTTTAATCTTTAACCCCTGTCATTTTTTGACCTTTTTGCAGTGGAAGAAACCAGAAGATAAGCCAATTCCTGTAATTTGGTTCACCGTGTTTTTTGTTGGTCTCTTTTTGAACATTTTGTCCATCTACGTGAACGCATCTGACAGCTGCAATTCAACAGCTTGTCTCATATTTTACGTAGTCAACGGTTTCGGCATCGTTTTGGACGCAGCATTTCTCTGGTTTTGGTGGATGAAGTGTATGCTGTATTGGAAAAAATGGTGCGCAATTAACCAGGACTGGTCCATTACTGGAACAACAAAGAGTTATATACCAGTGTTGAACCCACAAAGGAGAAACAAAAGCCAAGAGGTGCTAAATCCGGTCGCAGAAATGCTGGAATCGGACCCGGGCAACAATCCGGTAGTTTCTGTGTAATATTATAGCGACAACGCGTTTAATAGCTGCATTCATCAACGCATGTAGTTAGCAAAAGAAAGGGTGTAGTCATAGTATTAATATAGCCGTTTGTCACGTGGCAGTGAATTTTGTGAAGTTAATAGTCTGTTTTGTATGTTAGGCTAAAGTCGTAACCTTATAAAACCGAATTCTTAATCTACACATGCTGCTGCTCTTTATAGCGTGAGGTGTTCAATTCCATTCGTAAACGAGGTTGAACTTCGGCATGATGACCTCTTTCCAAGGGTAATTATAGTCAAATGGCTGTTCACATGACTCCATGTACTTTTTGTGGGTTTTTGCCATAGGTACATAGAGACGGGAAGTTTTCCGGAGCCAATAAATTGAATATCTCTGTTGAAGGCAACGAAAGATATAAAAGGGGCTTAATCGATCTTTGAATAAAAAATTGAGCAATCAGTTCGTGTTATTCCACTCACGCAGTTACTGATTGGCTCATATTGATTGACAGACGGTCTAAGCTGCTTTTATATCTGTCGATTGCCTTTAACTGGTGCTCAACCACGAATATACCTGCGCAAGCTGATGCTGGTGTGTCTTGAATTGGTAGTAGAATGTGCCTCCATGTAAAGGGACCTTTGGGTCATCATTTCGAGACATCCAAGTCGATTTGGTTGCTAAAATACATTGCCTGAGTCACAAATGCAAGTTTTTTCATTAGGGTAGTCTTCCCCTATTTCCAATCATAAATTAAACTTGATTTCTTGTAAATAAGTCAAATTTCAAGCGAGAATGCACGATTAAAAATTTGAAAATGCAATGTTGGAAAAGTCAGCCCAATCGCACGCCATTCGTTAATCTCTCTATTTTCCCTTGTCTACGGCATTTTAGTGAGGCACTTTTACTTCATTTTTCGAAGTCTGCCCTCACAAAGTTTAATGTACATTGGGAACAGGATTTTTCATTTTGCAAAGCAGTATGGTTTTCTTCTAGTAACCCCCTTGTTTTGTTTGCTTTATATAATCCAGCCATAGTATAGAAAATGACATTCTACATTTGTGACAATTGTGACATTTGACTTTAAGGAGTTTGACGTAAAGGTGTTTAACCTTTATGAAATCAACTACAACACCCGTTGGCTATGTTGTATTTTTAACTAAAATTTTCTTTAATTTAGCTTGCTTGATTAAAATCATCCGGTTTTTTCATTGACGTGCGCATTATTTGTTTGGTTATGTTTGCATGTATTTCTTTTATGTTCAGCAGAATGGTAAAGAATTTGAAACGTTATAATTGTGTTCTGTTATTCAAAATGGGTCCATCTTAGAAATATATGGAGGATTTAAACAACTATTTTATGTGCATTATGAAACGCCGCCGAACCAAATCTCAACCTTACTGGTTCTTCACTATGGCTTTTAGAATTTGTATCTTTTTTCTATGGGGTTATGCCTGTACCTTGATACGTGACCAACTGCAGGTTGCAGTCTGTTCAATTTAATCTATAATGCACAATAAGTTGACAGTCAGTTCTGGGTGGGCATCATTTTGATTGTGATCAATTTTTAAGTGTTCCGTTTTTATTTAGTTAGAAAGTTATGCAGAGTTATAGAGAGTATTCACTTTATTTTATTCTATAGGCAGTATTCCCTGATATCTAGATTTTGAGTGATAAAAAAGCCTCACCTTGATAACAAGATCACTTTTCCATTTATGATAAAAGCAAAAGTTAAGATTTTTGAGGCACGTATTTGCGTTGTTTCTTTTTCATGTGTATATATATTCTAACGAGGTCAGTTTGATCTAAACTCAGATTTAAAGTAATAATCCTTACGTAAATAGTGAAAGGAATTCCATTTTAAACGTAAATGGGAGTAAGCTCTTTGCGCTACCCCTAAGTGATAATTACCCTTTACCCCGAAACTGCGTCGGTTCAAAGTTAATTGCGCATTCATTTTATTTAATCAAGGTCCTACGCTTACATTTACTAGGGTCGGTCTTCTAAGCTTTTGCGGAGTTATCACAATGAGGTTATCGAGGCAAACCATGGCATTTTTGAAGTGGTTTTTTCCAGTCTCCATCTGAAATATTGAAGTAGGTTCATCATTATTGATTAACGATGGGATTGGGGGTGGGGGGGGATTGGGGGGAGTGAGCCAAATACTCTCACAAAGCTACCAACGAAGGCCGGCCTTTAAATTGTCAATGCTTTTTAAAAGCTTATATTTAGGTAGAATCGTTTTATGATTCACACATATTGTAGTTGTTATTTCTATTGCCTTGATAGAATTCTATAAGCGACTTGAAGTTCTTGTGTTTTCTTTTATCATGCACTTTCTCTTTTTTACCTCAAACCTGTGTTTATCTCGTGGGTGACTTGTTCGTAGTACGCAAATTGTCAGGTTGTGGCTTGTATGCTAGAACAGGGCTGAACCAACTCTAATTCCGAGCAATTCTAATTTTCTCCTAATGTAAAGAGCAATAAGTTATATTTTATTTCAGCTGTTACTGGTTACAAGAAAAATATAGATATAACGTCAATATTTTAATGAATATATGAAAGTATATAGGTCAAGTGAAAAAGTACTCCTGAAAAGGCATTTTTAAATCAGAAATTACAAAACACACTTATGCGGGCCATCTGAAGTGCCAGATGTAGCCCGCGGGCTGTAAGTTGGCCAGGCCTGTGCTAGAACTACTAGGAATGGCCGGGGAAGCAAGCACATTGAATCCAGAGTGAATCGCTTCAAGTTATTACTATTGTGCTTAATACATTTACTTCCCAGGCAAGCTCATGTTTCATGTTTGTCCAAAAGTGCATTAAGTACTGAAATGTACCTGTTTCTATTGGAAAGGGACTTCCACAACACTTCGTCAGTTTTGCTTATAGGAGCAGGTTGGCTAGTTGGGCCTTCTTTTTTGAGTTAGCGTTATCGTGAGGGGCATTAGAACCATTCCACAGAAAAAGATGAATGGTCCCTCTTATCAATTGCTTTGTTAACTTCGGATAGGCTCCAAACAGTTTGGTTACAGTTAAGACTGTACTTTTCCATTGGAATTTTTTTTAAATATGATAACTGCAGCCTGATTTTATAATTTGTATCAAACACATACAGGGACGACTTCACAAGATTAAGACAGAAGGGGCAGTGTTGGTGCTGAGGGCAAACCGTAGAATTTTTCTACTAGCATAATCGAGTATTCCTGGTTGGGTGGGGGGGGGGGTCACATAATAAATTATTAACATGGATGTGCCACCCATACAGCTGAATTCTTTACCATCAATGATTCTAAACATAGAGGAATAAGTTGACGAAATTATCTAACGTAAAAATGGGTTTTAAATGGTCTTGTCACTATTCAAAATATTTGGTTTTATAAAAATCATGGCTGTTATAACTGGGCTGGTTGTAAAATTTTAATTGGCCGCTAAGTTTTATTACCGATTTTCCTCCTTTGGCTTCTAGATTACATCTGAGGGAACAGGTATTTTGTTTATCTACTATTATCTTTGCCGCTCTCCCTCTTGTGGCCCACCTTGTCATAGACAAACTTTTCAACTATAGCGTTTTTTTGCTTGTGTTATCATCTTTTTAATATTTTCTAATGAAAACTAACAATTATCGATAAGATTCTATAATTATTCAAGGGTACTTCTTGCCCCCTCTGCCCCTCTACAAAGAAGTCATAAAGAATTGTCTTTCCGGACCCTTACATAAATCACTCATGTGCTTCAGCCAAAACTCAAGCTTTAATTCAGTCTCAATAAAGACCCTTGTCAGAATATACTCTTATTTACTAACCCTTGTTATTACTGCAACTTTATGTTTAATGCTGGGCTAAAGGAATTGCTATGAAAGGGATGGGGTTTATTTCCTCCTTATTTCTATCAATGTATGGTCCACAGCACTTCAGTAAATAAAATGAATGTTTCCAAATGAGCACTTCAGTAAATAAAAACTTCTTTGTGGTCTTTTTAGGTCATTTTGTCCTACCCATTATCACATATCCCAGTGGTAAACAGAGCTACAACCTCACCAGTGCAATCTCGCTATCATGAACCCTACTTATTTCAAACTTCTTGCTATTACCAGGGCCGTCGGAAAGAAATTTATATTAGGAGGGGGAGGGCTGCCATTGTTTTCCTTCTTGGAAACATTTTGATTTGGTCCTTACTAACTTTGTAATGTCGAGGGCATTTTTATTGAAATTTGCTGATATTCCATGTCTAGTAATTGTTTTAGCTAACAGCAATGCTAAGTTCAGGCCCGTAGACAGCTAAACTGGATTGGGGGGAGGGAGACATGGATATCCAGTATATAGTGATGTCAGATTAAGCCACGCTAATAAGATCTCCAAACACAACTTTCGCAAATTATTGGGGGGCATTGCCCCCTGACCCCCTCTGCTACGGGCCTGTCTGAGTTAGCATTCAGGCTCAACCGTAAGCAAATTCAGTATTATTCTAGGCACGTCCAGCTTTTTAATTTCTTCGTTTATAAAAGCAGTTGGACCATTTGCTGCTGCAGTTACACTGTAGTCTGAAACCTTGCATGCAATGTCCCTTCGTATAGCGTCCCTGCAAAGAAGCTGCAAGCATTTCACACGAACCCCTGTGCAGGAATTGCATCTTCCTTTCGACAGTATCTGATGTTCTTCTTGCAGCGTACACATAGAGCATACGAATTTAAAACATTGTATGCACTGCAAAAGAAAATGTTTAATTTAAAGTTAATTTACCACAATTGTCCTTGACAAAACCTTTTTCAAGGATCGTCATTTCAGAACAAGGACAAAAAAATAGAAAAACTCAGAGAACCTCATTTAAATATCGAAAAAGCTAATTGACTGATAATGGCAGACCGAATCTAATTAGAAGGTAAGTCAATTTCTATCTTTGTTTAGAACAGTTAAAAAATTCTGATCTAGTTAGTCGAGTCTTTCCCTAAAACAGTCTTGTATTTAGACCGTTTTTAGTAATATACTTCATCATACTGCAACTGGGCTTATAACCCATCTCTCCCTCGTCCTAAACGGGCAGATATCGTTTGTGGATCCTCCGTAAAACAACTATCGAGTGATTGTTAATAGTAGCCTTACAGGTTACGTTTCCATTCAGCTTAAACTAGTTGTGAGCATACTAGTTTTTAAAGAGGGTAAAGCGTTGGCTTATAAAGTTGATTCGGTTTCAAGCAAATCACCCACCATCATGTTATGAAGTGGACTAGTAGTTTTCAAGGTTAACGTAAAAATCTTGGTTAAAGAGCAGCCAAAATCCCAGGAGAAATCACAGGACGATGTAACCTGAAGTTTTTGCTTCGTTTGGTCAAGATTAAAGCCAACAGAAATCAAAGCATTTAAAATAACACTGTAGTTATTGCAATTTCCATTTCTAAGCTCGTGGCACTCACCTTTCGAAACTTGGTGCACCTTCCACAGAGTCGGTCTTTGCAGCTGAGACAAACTGGAATGACGCTGTCACTGCATGGTCCACAGAACTTCATCACTTGTTCTGGTGTTTCTCGATACGCATTGGCACAAGAACTGCAAAAGTTCGTGCAACGGGAACACAAAAATGAACCACAGAATCCCAACTGGCATTGGCTAAGCTCGTACTCCTCCACTGTGTCTCCGCAATCTTCACATTCTCCCTCTGCCATATAGCTCATTGTTGTCAAAACTTGCTCCAATACCAACAAGCGAGGTATTTCTACAGTGTTAAATGCGAATATTCTTATAACAATACAGTGCAAAGAAACTGCAAATTTTATTTCCTCGAGTAGAAGTTAAAGACCTTTTCCAATGTCATTGATCTTGCAATAGCCTCTGACGGATCGATGCAAATTGAAATATTTCAAACTCAAAACTTCCTTGTTTGTTGAATAAAGCAGCATAACCTGATCCATAAAAGTTGCTTTAGGCTCCAGTCGACAGTTTCTATCAAGTTTCGAGTCGAAACAGCAGTTTATTGTGTTGTGTCGTCTTTATTCGAGCGTATGGTGGCTTTTCATTCGATTTTTCGAATATTCATAATAACGGCGCAAAATAGAGCGAGCAAAAACCCAAAATTATCTGTGTATACATGTCTTCTATTTCTGTTTTTGCGAAGTTTGTCGAATTACTTGTGTTATTAATAGAAATATGCATCACAAAATACCCAGTTCCTTCAAATTTGCTTTGCTGTCTTTCAGCACGTGGTGTTCTTATAGGCATTAAATATTGATGGGTTACCTATACCTGCTAGTTCACCATTATGGCAGCAATGACGTGGCTAAAATGGGACTACTTACCCCCACTGGGCTTCATAAAATACCATGCTTATATCTGTATACTCAAAAAATGCAGGCGAAGGTACATTGAAAGAGTTCGAGCATGACAGGTTCAGCATCATCTGTCAAGAATCATGGAGATATTTAGGGTCTCACCCCCTTTGCAAAGATGTACCTATTTGTCGAGTGAATCTGAAACATTTCCGTGAATTATGCGAATAATTTATATTAGCTACAAAGTTTTCTCTGAATACTTACAATTGATAAAGTCTCGTTTAGTTCTGTGTAGGAGGGGTATATCATAAGAGGGAATTAATAAGAGGGTATCATAAGAGGGTATAGTAAAGGGAGAATTACCACCCTCTCTAGGACAGGGCGATCGAACAGCCGCTCTGAAAGTATATAATTCCTATGTGATTACAAAGGCCACATACAGCAGGAATAAGCCAGAAGTAATTGAGTGGGTGACTGGGGGTGATTCATTGACTGTGATGCCTGTGATCAAGCGATTATCTGCCTTGTTTGTGATCGACTGATTTGTTATTACATGTAAACGAGGACGGTTGAGCGAGGTCATTCGAAGATGTCGGAAGGTTTGACGAAAGAAGAGCGCAAAAAGCAGAAAAGGAAGGAAGCTAAAAAGAAGAAAAAAATAGAGAAAAGGGAAGAAAATCAGGTAATTCTGTAAAAGTATGTTTCCCCTGCTTGAAAATGCCTGAAAAATAGTAATTGCTGCCGTTTCATGTCAAGGATTTGATTTAAAAAACTTTCAACCAGTCCAATGCTAATACACAATCAATACATCACCCATAGACAAGATTGTAAAATAACATGATTTTCTTCTTGCAATGTTTTAAAAAGGTTTTTGCAAGAATCTTCATTGCCCATGCATATCATCTTATTTCTTTTTTGCACAGACTTTTGAATAATCAGAGTTTCTTTGGGGGCCCAAACCAGTATAGATTCTAGGACTTTTCTTGCATTTGCTACTTAATCACTGCTTAATTTCCTATTTAGCAATGCATTAACCTGGCAGAAATACAGGTGAAACTTGCCAATATACAACTTATATGTTCTTAATTATGTTATGAATTGCATCTAGTTTCTACAATTCTCCATTGCACTAATGCTGAGATGCTAGTAGCATAAGCTATGATAAAGGTATGGGGCAAGGTTAGAGACATTGTTGCTCTCTTAAAGACGTGAAATTAAATACAGTGTAACTTGTTCAATGTTCAAGGCTAGGACTACAAAAGCTGCCTGTTTTATAGTTTGTTTGTCATATACAGGATCCTTGTTTCTTATCTAATCTTACAGGTATCTAGACATCCTCCATTAAAAGGTATCTAACAAGGCTTTTACTAAGATTATCAAGATCGTTATTTAGCACAATAGCTAGCCATTGCAATGAAGACAAGTTTCACTGCAATTCAATTCAAGACTTAATTGTAAAAGGTTTTGCCATTGGCACAACTTTATACTTTTTATTGTATTTCAGATAGAATCAAGAAAGGATCAATTTGAAGAGAGGATATCCATAGGAAGCCCTGAAAATGAAAAAGTACAAATTCAAATTATAAAGTATTTGTTAATGTTGTATTATCTATTAGCCTTTTCATTTTTTGTTGATGACTCTATTGAGAGTCAAGATGAGGTGTCTGGAATAAACAGGTTTTGTGGGAAATCACCCCAAATCTCGATTAATGGGGATCTTGAATAAGCAGGGTGAATGGAAAATTTCCCAGATAAACTGGGTGAGCTGCCCACAGTCCCTTCTAAATTGGTCTTGGAAAGAATTTCAGCTGGTATTTTTATAAAATAGACAAAGTGTACTTATAACATAACAGTTTAATAAAGATATTCTGTTCTTAATCGATCTTTCTTTTTATTCTTTCTTTTATACTTTACACTAATGCATCTTGCAGTTTCTTAATATGCGAGGCTTACTTGGGCGATTGCTTGTCCAACACTGTTTGTTAAAGGAAGTCCTTCGAGGACCTGTGGAGGAATTAGTGTATTATCTAACCACAGCTGATTTATAATGTCAACAATGAGGAAATTATGCTTTGTTTTCATTAACAACTTGACCCTTAATCATGGAATACCGTAACTTTTAGGGATGCACGAAAAGAAAATACGTCAAGTTTGAACAAAACGTAATCTTGAAATCAATCAAAGCCACCATCTAGAAGTTCAACCTTTTAAAGTTCTTCTTCAAAGGTTCAGAGTATGAATCACAATTAGATACCCACTCGGTTGAAAATTTTTCTCTTTCACCCTCCCTGATTGCATTATCTTTCTCAGATTTTTTGGAGCTTCTTGAATGCTCCTCTAAAACAGTCTTACGTTTTTTCCTCCAAATTAATATCAACAGCTCTTTTTATTATAGCATTTCATTACATTACTGTCTAGTTCTTATCATTGTTGCTTATTATCAATATTTGTTGTTTCGATTTATAAGTAACCAACACTTGATGTGGGAGTCATCAAGGTTTTCTGCAACAATAGACCTTGAAGAAAATTTGTCGCAGATCTGGCAATTTCTAGACGGAACAACAGAATTCTACACATTTGCTGGATGCAGATTTTTTCGAAAATGATGCATAGGATACAGAATTTTTTTTTAAAGTTTTAAGGATTTGTGGAATTCTTCACCTGTTGTCTTGTAAAAACATCTTTAAATAAAGGTCCTATCAAAATTTTTAAGGTGCGGAATTTTGGCTAAGAATGACCGGAACGGGGGATTTCTACCCCCTTGGTGGCCCCTTTTTCGATAGCCTTGGCGTTTTAAAAAACATTTAGCTAAAGTTCAGAGAATTGAACGATAGTGGCAACAACTTGCAAACCTTCCCTTAAGTGCTCCACCTTTCTCTTGTGGGCGATACATTTTTGCGAGGGGGGTCAATAGCCCCTGTTAATAATTTATCGAGGGTGAGGGCGATTGCCTGCACGAAATGAAAAGGCCTGAACTAAACAGTGACTCTGGAATAAGAACGTCAGGGGTAGATTTTTGGAAAAATTAATAAGCAGGAGGCTCCTTTATTCTGGACTCCAGTGTAATCTATGGATCCAGTGTCTTCTAGATTTTATTGGAATGCAGTCAACAGGGCCTCTTGAAAATCAGTTCTGCTGAAGGACAACCCATTGACATTGGCAAAGTTTTGACCATTTGAATAAATTTAAATGATCATGATATTCTAAAATAAGCTAAAATTGACCTAAGCAGACAAGTTTATTCAAGCAGCCTCAATGGAACTGGGAAAACAGAAAGGTTTTTACTGCGAAACATGTTACTTGCTATGAATTATAGTTTTTCGTTCTTCTGAATCCGATATTATTTATTTGTAGAATGAAGATGATGAAAATTTTGAAAGCGAATTATGCTGGTGTATAGAGCAACTTGAACTTGGTGTCAGGAACAAAAATCCTTCAAAAGATGAAGGCAAGAAATGCATTTAATTTTCACAATTTAACTTGCGTACCATTTATATTAAAATTGCACCTCTTTCAAATGCTCTTATTTTCATCAGAAGCTTGGAAACTAATTTTCTCATATTTTCCTTAGAAGCTAATCCCCCTCGTTTGGTAATTCTCTGCTTTGCATGATAGTATGACAGTATTCTTATGATGCATCAAATTACAGGAGATGCCAGACTCCTTTGCATTCTGTGTTTACTCTTTTTGCATGGCTATAAAGCTATGGATGGAAAGCACAATTAACAGACCAAAGTTTGGGTCAGAAATTGGCTTAGAATGATCTCAAAATTCCAATTGAATGCATTTTGAAAGCTGCTGTAAGGATTTCAAGCTATTCTGCCTAACTGGTAAATAGAAGTGTGAAAGTTACACAAGAAACACCTTTTTTGGTTCTCGCAATGATGCTTGGATTAACATTACACTCCTTCTAGATTTAATGATATCTGCTATAAAAAATTATTGGTCTCTAGTTTTGTAATTGAAGCGGAAAATATTTCTTGTGTTTTAGCTGAAAGGACATCAAAATTGATTAGATTACTGAAATCAGAAAAATCTTCAAAGGTATGATTTTAAAACTGTATAAATTTTACAATAGGGGGTAGAAGGCAGGGAGTATAAATTATTGCCGAACTGTAATATACCATTTATAGCAGAGTACAGAATGGGATGAAACCAAATATGCAGCCCTCCCCCCTCAACCCACAAAACTAAAACCCTACCAAGGACACCATTTAACATTAGGGCTAGCAGTTCTGGTTTTATTCTTCATTGTTGAAGGCCTGTTCCTTCTTTATTGTTTGTAAAAAAGTGGAAGAATGGGATGTTATTTTTTCAGGTTAAGAAGCGACAAGTTATGCGAAACACTTTTGGTGATTACCGGAAGAAGATTGCTGCAGAGGCCAAACAAGAATCATCTAAAAGTTAGTACTCTTCGAAAGGCTTTTCTATTTCTTTCAGTGCAAGTTGATTACAAATGACAGTAAAATCCTTAACTGCACAACAATACGCCCACGTTACAACCACAAAGCTGCGTGTGTTGCTTTGTTTTGTGGTCTGGAAACTAGCTCGTCATTACAATACCAGTCGTTCCCAGGACCTATGCCCTTGCATCTAGCTGAACTGGTTTACTTGTTGCTTATGTAAGACATTTTCAATGCTTATATAAGAAAAAGATTTAAAGTGTACGGGTTGGTAATGATTTTTCGATGCTATGTCATATGAATACGTAATTGTTTCTAAAGCAGAAAATCTGATTTTTGTAATGATTTCAGAGTAGAGGATTGCCTCTGCAATGGAAAAATGGATATGCTTCTGTTTCTGTTGAACGTTGCCTAATGATCCGATACCCTTTTCTGTATGCCAAAACGCATACAATTCTATTTATAAGGCAAAGAGCAATATATAACTGAAGGAAGGACCTTATATTGACCCCCAGGGGGAGGGGCTAACCATGAAGAAAAATGACGGGGATGTGCCTGCTAGAAAACATTTCATGACTATGATACCTGTCCAGGAATAAAATTCTGAAAACATGATGCTTGAAAACATGATACCTTTTTATCGTCATACCTGTGTCGGAAACAGAGAGAAAAGTATAATCCTGCCCCGGAAATTTCAGCCGAAAATAGCACCCAGTTGGTATGCACATCTCCGGATAGTCAGTGTATTAAGTGAGCTCTCTGGCCTAAGAAAACAGACCCCTTCGTTGGATTTTATTTTATGTCATTTTGTTTCAATCCAATACCATTTGAAGGAAGAGATCTTTTCAGAACGAGTGGCAAAAAGCGCAAGAGAATATTGGGATCTCCTTTGATCCAAGCATTCGTCATGCTGCCCACTCCTTTTGGAAAGAAGCATTTTTATCACATAATTTTGTTCACTTTTTCTAGTAAAATCTGAACCGAAAATCTCTTCAGTCTCGGAAACCAAAGTTAAGAGAAGTGTATTCATAAGGAAGAAGGAAATTGAAGATCAAAACGATTCACAATATCAGGTAATGCACCTTTGCCAGTGTGTTTTTGATCAAGCCATTTTTATGGATCAAGTTGGTCCAAAATGCTTTTTTCTTATTCATTTCTGAAGTTGCAAAATCGCAAGAAAACTTCTCGACTCATCATATTGTATAGTAAAGAATCGGATGTATTAGTATCAAATTTAAATCATTTTGGCTTGCATTGGTCTTAATTTTGTTTATGTTAGAAAAATGGTAGAAAGAGGTCTTTGAATTTTAAAAAGGTAATATCAACTAAAGACTCTGGACGTAGACTTTGTTCGACTAGGGTACATTAGACTTAACGTAGATACCAATCAAAGCTTGTGAGCAACATGTGTTGTATAAAACAAAATTGGGTGTGTTATATCGTAATTAGAATCCTGATGTAATTTGCTGCAACATTTGTGGACTGGGGCACAGGCTACCGAGTTCCTTTCTTTTTACATATTTTCTTTATTTTAGGATGTTCAGTTTATTTAATCGATTTAATTAGGCTAGTTAAGTTTTCAAGCAGGGCTCATTATAAGTCGTATTTTCAAATTTCCTGAATTTATATAACCCTGCTGAAATAAAAATAAAATGAAATAGAAATGTAAATTTTTAAGTGTGAATAAATTATTAGATTAAAATGCAAGTTATTGCAACGTGTTTTAGGTAGAAAATGTCAAGGTAAACCCTTTATCAAAAAGTAAGACAATCATTTAAGTCAGATCGAGTCATAATTTCTTGTTATGTTTAATGTTACCTGTTTTGGATTGATTCCAGGCTCTAGATGAAAGCGAAAAAGGAACGGAATGGCGATTTCATCAGTCAGAAAACAGCTTCCAGTTTTCCTTCCCGGAACCACAAGAAAAGGCGGCCAAATAATTCATAGCATTAACACTGAGAAGCACTCAACTTGATGAAGGCAAATTTACCTAATTACTGATGTCAGGGCAGGACCATCAAAACTTTTGGTTATTTTAACACTCTTGGGCAATTGTGTTTTTATAACATATAACAATCCAAATTTGTTTCAATTTGATGCTAAGTCCATGACTTTACTCATGAATGTGTTTATCAAATAGCCGTATTTTGGAATTGATAAGCTACAATGAAAGTTAGCGGCAGGAAACGCTTTCCCGCTATAAACGCTGGAGTGCCGGGAGCAGGGGAACGAACACTCGCCTTAGATAAAAAATGCATGGAACTTGTAACCCATGTTTTATGAGAATAATTTCATCTTGGTTAATGTCAATTTATGTGATTCTTGAAAGTTTACTCAAATGAAGGTGAAATGCATTTTTTTCTCGTGCTTTAAACTAGCTTTACACTACACATTGCAATTTTTCTAGCAACTTGTCTCGCAATGATTTTTTAAGGAGCTGTACAGATTCGTCACAGCAACGATCTTTAGAGCCTGCATGCAGACTCAAACTGTTTTCATCTTGGCTCAGTGGCGAAAATTGCGGGGGTATGGGGGGTTCAGTGCCCCCAGGTTTTGCATAATTGTCGGTTAAGGCACGCTTTGTCGGTAAATTTGCTTGTTTTGAGGGCATTGCTCCTCCCATCTGAAAAATGAATTCCGCCACTGTCTTGGCTCCACTGGTTCCTGCTTCCTACCTTCGCGATAAGCCGAATTAAAAATTCATCGTGAATTATTTGTTCTCCAAGTTGCCATAGAAAGCTCTTTCTAGCTTCTCAATATTCCCAGTTCATTGCATTTCCGATTTATTCAATAGCATTTTCTAATCAAAGTATAAATCAATTCACAAGACTTAATTTGATTCGACAATATCGATATATTCAATGTCTTTGAGGGTCTCTTCGTCAATTCCTCGTTTTAGTTCTTTCAATCTTTGCTGTTATTAATATATATATATATATATATAGCTGTTTTTAATTATTGTAACTTTTCCTGTTGTAACAACAAGGGCTATCCACTAGGGCTCATTTAAACGCAAAAATTGGCACGTTGGGCGGCTTATTTGGAAGTGGGGGGGGGGGTACAGTAGGCGACGCCAAAGTATTATTTTGGAAGAGTACAGTAGTGATTTTTGCCGCTAGGAAGGGCGTGTCTCCATTATTTAGGGTGTGGTCATAAGATCATTATTTATCTGCTGTTTTAATGGGTTTCTATTTCAATATTCAACTGCTACAAATGGATTTTAATACCTACAAATAGATTAAAATTACACAACAGGGTGAGAAGAGAGCTGTCTTCTTTTGCCCGACAAAAATCCTTTTTGTGCCGACGGACAAAGTATTGGGGGTAGAGCGCCATCTCCCTTTTGGCAACGCTGAGGACGCTGTGATGCAGGGTGCCTCGTTATGAAACATGTTAGGCCAAAACGTTTCTACTTCGCGCCAAGGAAGTCCGAATCATCGCGCTATACGAAAATATCAAAGTTTGAATCAAAGGAATGGAGGTAGGAGATGACAAAGATTGCACAGAAAAGCCTTTGGATCACACGCCAAATAAAGAAAAAGGGACCCAAAAGAATCGACCACAAAGAAGGTCTAGTGTTGCAACTTCGCAGCATAGCAGTTCAATGGAAAAAAAGAGGAACTTCCATGGTAAACAGAAAAGAAACGAGAAAGTACAAAGAAAGAAGCTTAAATTCTATGCAAAAGGAAGGAAAATTGATCCTTTGAACTTGATGGGCATTTCGCAACTTGAGGGACAGAATTCCCCCAAAACAGAGTCTCCACTTGTTGGTGATAGAGGTGTTACATTTAACCCAGATAACTTGAGGCCAGTGGATGTTACAGATCCTTTAAAGCTTAATAATCTAGACGACGATGTACTTGCAGTAAAAGTAAGTGCTCACAAAAAGAAGCGAAAAAGGAGAAGAAGACGTACATACAGTGAAAATGATAAAGACATCAGGGTTATGTTGGATTCTTTAGGACAAGACATGGACACAGAAGCCAGCGAAAATGAGCTGCAGTCACCAGTGAAAACAAAGAAGCTGGAGACTTCAGATCCAAATATCCAACCAGCATCAGATGAAGCAGTGGTAGATTTGAAAGAAGATGTGGAACAACACAAAGAGGATACTGGTACAATGGAGAAGGCAGATGAATCTTCTGACAACACAACACTTAATCACCAAGAAAAGGAAGCTGTGCAGTCTAAACATCCTGAAAAAAGGAAGCATCAGATAAAAAAAGGTGGATGTCAAGAAGTCAGTGAGGAAGCTAATAAAAAGCAGAATATTCGATTCCGCGAAAAAGATAAACGTTTCCAGTATGGAAACTATAATAAATATTATGGATACAGGAACCCTGATATGTCTGAGGATTACAGAACAGAATATATGAAAAGAGAATGGTTTGAAGGAAAGGACTGTCTGGATATTGGATGCAATGTTGGACATCTGACCTTATATATCACAAGAAATTTTAGTCCTAAATCTATGTTGGGAATAGATATTGATGAGAGTTTGATAAAATCTGCAAGGAATAATATGAGACATTATGTTTCATTGAGTAACCCCCAAGCCCCCAAGCAATCAGATTTTCCAATATCATTTCCAATTTGCCTTGGACCACTTGCTCCACCTGTATCTACTGAAGACTGCAAAAAGTCATTTGGATTCCCTTACAACACATCCTTTCAAACAGTAAGTCATTAATTTTTCTTGAATGATTCTTACTCTGTTTCCAAATTAAGTTCATTTAAACCATCCTTGTGATCATGTCATGGGCTCCCCTGTGATGACAAGTCTTGGTGCATGAGGGGATGTTTCTATCAAAACGGTTTCACTCTTGGAAGTTATTCTTGTGGGAGCTGTGATTTGAAGGCTGTGGACACTCCAAATATGATGAATGATGTGGCAATGATGTGGCCAGCTCTCTGTAATTCAAGGTGTAGGAATCACGAGGTGTGGTTATATCGAGAGGAAGGACCAGGACACTGCTGGATAAGCTTTTCAGTGTCCTAAAAACTACCTTCAGGTGCTTTTTTTGAGCCGCGATGGCCGGCCATCACATTTTGCTAAGCTCTCACAACGGGCCTAAACATGTGACGTCTTTACTGATTTAGGTTTTTTTATGATTAAGTTTAAGCATCCAATACCTTAAAACTACTCTTGCCATTCATGATAATATTTCTCTCTGGAAAATCAGTTCAACTCCTGATTGCTTTTTCTGAGTCCTTACTGCATGTAGTAGCTAATCGCAAATTCTACTTTGAAGGTGGCAGCTATACATGAAGACATTGATGAATTCCTTTTAGTTCAACAATGTCCCTTCTTGTTTGCAAATATAAATCAGGCCTTGCCCGGAAAGGCACTCAATTGAGCGCAGGCATCTAAAGTGCACTTAAATATAGCCATGTCAAACGGTTTAACGAGCACCTTTGAAAATGTAAAACGATATTGCACTGATATAATTTGAAAATAATATTGATAAAGCATAAACAATCTTCTCAAATGACCAAAATATTTCTGTTTATAAGAGTTATACAGCTAATATTTTTGTCCTGATGAAGAGTTAAGCTCGAAACGTTGTACCAAATATTCATTTCTTGTGCAAAGTCGTTATTTTATTTTATCAAATATTTGGTTTGTAAGAGTTCATACCACTAATCTTTTGATGACTAGATTTAGTATCCGGTTCCTCATAAGGCCGCGTCTACAAGAATATCTTTTTGTTTCAAGAAGTTACTTACCATGCATGGTAAGTACAAATAAATAAATAAAAAATGGTAAATAAAATCGTATAAAAATAATTTTGGGAGTTAAATCATTTAGAATAGCTATGATATTTTAAAGTGCATCATTTCCTTTTGGACCATATAGTTTGACTCATTTTCATTAAGAAGAAAACACAAATTTTTGCAAACAGAAATTTTACATTAAAGTGTGAATTAGAGGGTCTTGAGTTTCTTAGGACCTCGTTTTGTGGAGCTCCTTCATTTTGCTTCGTGCAAGGCCTGATAAATGGCTTCAATTCTCCTTGTATCAATTTGGGAGTTAATCTGAGAAAAGGTCATATCTTACATTCTTATGCTTATTAGGTCATATGCTTATTAGGTTTGCATGCCTAAATTAGGTGTGAGGTTTGAGCTAAACCCAAACCAAAACTCTCAACAAAAGCATGGCAAGAACCAGAAATCTTCTTCCAAAGATGTCTTCTTCTACTTTTCAACAGCCTTTGTCCAAAACTGTCCTGGGGTCAGCTGCATGGGTTGCATTCCCTCGCCTAATCCTGTCCACCACATCTCCTTCGGCTAATCCTTTTTCCATGATGTCCTTCTTTGTGTTGTCACTCCATCCCTGTTGTCACTTTTAAAAAAATGTGAAGTTTTTAAACTGCTTGGCATAACCAGTCATCCTAACCAGAGATATAATTATCTCAATCTCTAAAAGTACATCATTTGTAAGATCTATGATGTAAAACACTAATCAGTTGTAAGGTTTACACTGTTATTATCAAAGAATCTCAAAATGAAACATTAAAAAAAACCCTTGATAATAATGATGATCAAAATAGTCATGGTGATATATTTTGTTGTGTTTTGCAGGAAAACTATGTCAACTTTGAATGGGACAGTATATCAAAAATTGAACAAAAGTATGATTTTATTTTATGCATGAGTGTCACCAAATGGATTCAATTAAACTGGGGAGATGATGGTGTTAAGAAACTATTTAAGAAAATATTTCTCAGTTTGAAACCTGGTGGAAAATTATTACTGGAGCCACAGCCTTGGAGGTCTTATAGCAAGAAGAAGAATTTGACAGTAAGTGTTTTTATCTATGATTGTTCTGTGATTTTGATTTAAAGTAAAATTCTTAATATAATTGTGAATATGCCCCTCTAAATACCTGGTACATAAGCTTGCTTTCTAAGCCCCCCCCCCCCCAAAAAATATATAACCAAAGGGTTTATATTTGGAATTAATCTTTAGTTCTTTTCTTACTTTTTGATTCATTCTAAATTCTTCTTACCTACAAAATTATAATATACTAGGTTTATACCTTCTCCTCAACTCCACCTGCCTTTCTAGCTTCATCAGATAACTTTAAATGTACCCAGCTAACCGCAATGGTTGCAGCCTGACTGCAAATTTCTCGGTACTATGACCAATCTTTTTATTTAAAAACTGGTTTTGCATTTTATTCTAACAAATACTGAATGGAAATTTAAGTCTACCAAATATAGCCCCCTCAAAATATTAGCCCACTAATAGTGCTTTTGAATCATTATAAGCCCTGGGCTTTTAATAAGAATTTTTTAGTATTGATATAACAATTGACTTGGAAGAAAAGAATTGGACAACAGCTAAAACAGCAGTATGTACAGGCTATAAAAGCCCTTTCCAGTTTGGCTATGTGGGCTATTTAGCCCTTGCAGACCCTTGCAGAACTGCTGTTAATTTTTATATTTGAGTTTTTACTTTGCCAATTCTTTAAACACTATTCACCTTAAGATGGATTTTTGTGTGTATTACTACCTTTAAATTTTGTATTACCACAACTTTAAACGAGACAAAAGAGGAACATAACTTTTTTGGAATATAGCAAAGTTTTGTTAGTTTGTTTACCAGTCAAATATGTCTTTTTTAGGAATGCATAGTTTCTATGTAGCGACTTGAAAAGAAATTGTTTCATATTTGACCGCATGGTGTAACATTTCTCACTTTAATCATTTGTAGCATTAATCACGCTATATGTTCTTCCTTTCGTGCAAACACATTTCCTATTCCATTGCAAGTTTTAGCAGATAAAGCAATAGTTTGTTAACATGTGATAAACACATAAATGTGTAATACCTCTTTCCCTTTATTTACTAACACCCTGATATTTAGCAGCAAGTAGTACAAACATTGGGAAGCTAAACTGCACTGATTAAATTGGAACATTTGTTTGAAAAGCTGCAGGGGCGAAAAAAAGCCTACGCAAATTTGTGTGTGTGTGGGGTTTGTGCGGGCTATAGCCCCCGTCTCTGAGAAAGGCCTGACAGTATGTCACAAGGTAGACATACACTGCCAATTTTAGAACCAGAGGGTACTCCAAGGGTAATTTCACCCAGCCGGTAGAAAAGCATAAAGGGCCTTCATAAGTTGTTAGTCTATTTACTGGTAATCAATAGAAACAAAATTTGCTTGAGCCTTCTGTCAATCAATATTAGCAAAATAAAATAAATAACTAAGATAATAGTCTTACTGAAAGCCTTCGATTTACCTCCTTTTTTGCATCCTGATTTTTGGTGGAACTGCTGCTGTTGTCTGAATGAAAAGTTGTCCAAAAATCTTGCAGACAAGAAACAGATTTTGCAAACATTTCTTGCCCTTTCATGGTCTGTTTCTAACTGCAGGTGTAATATTTTATACATAAACGTTATTTTTATTGAAGAGTGTCTCATTTTAGGGGCACCTTATTTGAAGAAATGTAGAGTACATATTTGTTCTGTTGTTCTAGATGCATTTTTTATATTCCATATCAAAATTATGTAAACTGATACATAATTTTTCTATTTTAGCCAACCACAAGAGCAAATTTCAATGCAATAAGATTTAAGCCAGACCAGTTCATTCAACACTTACTGTCAAATGAAGTTGGATTTGCTACTTCTGAAAAATTGGGAATTCCAAAACATAAGTCCCAAGGCAAGCTTTTATGTTACCTTAATCTCTTCTGAAACTTTTTTGTTATTGAAAAATGTGCCTTGGAAATTATGTTATGCTGGGTCAGTGTTTCAATTCTTAAAACAAATGTAGAACTTGTATGTAGGTACAAACATGGGACACAAAACTGTGACCATTTGCACATGAGACCACAAAGAGATCATGGGAAGGTACCTTGAGATAAGGGGAATCCTACAACTGATCCAAATTTTACAGGGAATGTGTTTATATGAATTTTTTCTGGAGAATTCAACAAATGTTTTGCTAGAACAAGCATCACAGAGAAAGGTTGTACAATGATGTACAAAGGTTCTAGGCCACATAAACCAGACACCACCCAGATAGAAGACAGGAATTTTCCTTCTTACCATAATATTATAGGATGTAATAATTCAACAGTTTCCATTACAAAAAAGTCTTATTTTTCCCTAGTTCTTTTCCTCTTGCCTTGTTATGATGCTCCTTCATGTTAAAAAAGAAATTGCTGGTTATATCTATAACTTTGGTTTGAATGTTAAATGATGAACTTTATATGTTCTAAGAAACTGTAATCAGATAAAGAGAAATGCAAAATATATTTAAATCTTATTGATATAAAACCAGTAGATTTATTCAGCTACAAACTCTTGAAGGTTTTGCTGATAAAATGATTTCTATATTGTTAAAGTTTATGTATATTTAATAGTAATTTGCTAAAAACTGAGGAATTCAGCCTTTTTAACAAACTTTCTCAATTTTTAGGTTTCCAGAGACCTATTTACTTGCTCACAAAAGGCGGAGTAGCTGTCTGATCTTATCTCAAGAATTGGAAGTTCTAAAAACTTCCTTGTTTCAACATTCACTTAAAGTTTACAACAGGAATTTTGCTTGCAAGATGGAGAAATTTGAAGGAAGGTGTAAAATCAACATTTTGCGGTGATATGTACAACTTGTTGTGTCTATGTTTTCTTTTTGTAAAAAGATTATAACATCATAGTTTTTATACCCTCTAGAAATTATGGTTTTTATATTTTGCCATTTGCTACCTTTAACCAACAGGTTATGTTCTTCTTACATTCTGCACATTAGGTTTACCATCTGTCACTTGGCTGGGTATTTTGAAAGGATTTGAGAATTAGTATCTCTTGTTTGTTATCCAAAAAGCCCAGTATCTAAAATTTTAATTGAGTTCACAATATATTTAAATGTATTTTCTGTCCATAGTTCATTGGTTTCACAATTTCCTTGTTGATAACTGCTGCTTTGAGTGCTAAAATAAAACCCAAAAAATTATTTTAACCAAATAAACCACAATATTTGAAGATAACATGGAAAAGGACCAGGTCAGTAGGTCAACATTTTGCCAACATCTTGATTCAACCATAGATCAACAATTGCTTCAGAATCAATAGTATGTCAATACCTAGAGTGACATCAATTTTAAATCAACAAAGGTCACCAACATGACATTTGCTTGCAAAATTGAGACAGAAAACTTTCATAGAAAATGTTTGTAGCGAATGTTTCTATTGAAGTGGAAAGTTAAATAGTGTCACATTTGCCTTTGCAAGTAGCAACCAGCCAATGGGAAGGAAATGAGAAAGGGCCTTTTCAGGACTTGCCAGCTCTCTATTATCTAAGGTATAGGAAACGCAAAGTGTGGTCGAATCAAAAGGAGGGACCAGGACACTGCTTGACAAGCTTGTTTCTATGTGTTCTAAAACAACCTTCGGATGCTAAATAGTAAAAAATACAAATTTAAATATGAAAGTGACAGGAAAAATTTGCAATATGTGGAGCTATGCTTCACAAAAGAGTTTGAAGGATCCTTCAAAGAAGATTTTATTTCTACTGAAATTTCCTATATGTTTAGTAAGTTTTAAATATAATGTATTCTTTAACTTCACCTTAGCTGTACTGGATTGTTCATAGTGATCACAAGGTCCGTTCCAAACTGAGGTAATCTGAACAGTGCAAGATATACTTGAATTATATTTCCAGCCTAAAAGCAGAGTGCAGTTTTAATAAACAATCAATATAAAATATATCTAATTTGAACTCATATTAAATGCTTTAAAGAAGAAAAAACAAAACTCTGTTTCACCAACATCATAAAATATGCCATTAAATTAAAAATATTGATATAATAACGTTTTTTGTAGAAAATGTACCTGCCACTCTCGTTACAAGGAATTTCAAGAGCCACATCATCTAGATATTTAAGAAAGCTACACACAGATATTTAGGAAAAAATTATGGGTAATGGTTTTCTTCAAGATTGGGAGTTATATATTTTATCAGCTTTACTGGAAGCTATCATGAAAATCTTGTTTTTGTTAATTTAATAAAAAAATGGTCCCAATTAAGACAGTTAGTAATTCAGCAGCTAACAGCAATCACATATTGAATGATAACAGAAGTAGCAGAAGTAGATCAAAATTGTAATTTTGATTTTGATGTTGAACACAATTACAAGAAAACTTCTTAGCACAACACTGGCTGTTCACCACTATGATTGTTATTCCATCAGATGCTCTAGATATCATTGTCTTCAAAACTGTTTTCAAAGACTGATAAAGTAAATTAGTAATTTAACAGGAGATCAGCAGCAGCTCTAGTCATTCTACATTAAGTAATTCAAAGGGGAGGCTACCTCTTCATTAAACTTTGAAACTGTCTGGGTGCCATTTAGATACCAAGCTTCCTGAGATCTGGATTATGAAAACAATGCAGCATTATGTTGTACATTTAGGTAGTATTGCAGCAAGAAAACAGCTCACATAGATGTAAATTGCTACTATCAAGATGTTAGTTTTTATTTTATAGTAATTATCAGTTTTCTATTTATTAGAAATAGTGTTGCCTAAATTCTAAATTTATAATTTTTTTTATCATCCTACCCAATAACATTACCACTGAAATCTGGAATTTACTGAAGTTAACAAAGATTCTTGCTACTAAAACAGAAAATTGTTTTTATAGAACAATTCATTATATTTCCCTAGATTTTTTTACTATGAAACTTAAAGTTCACAATACAGGGTAACTTGTCATTCCATAACAGAATGCATCAAGTAGACAAGACGGTGTCTTTATTGCAACAATGAAAAAATTGGTGTATCCTATATAACATAAAACAATCCTAAAAGCTTATTTGCAAATATACCATTGTCGGTTTGGTTTAAACGTTTACTGTGCAGCAGAATCAACAAACTGATTTTGAGGCATAGCATGTTATATTGCTCAATGTTCAACTCACTCAGACAATGATATGTAGTCTTTGGGGATTTGCTCAATAAGCGCTATCTGAAAATAAAGAGGAATGTGAATAAAATTAATTACCTCTAGTTCATGGAAAAGACAATATTTGGATTATAAAAGGTCTGTAATATTTTCTAAAAAATGCTCAACATGTCTTCATTTATTCAAAAAAACTAAATTTCTTCCAGCTACTAAATTTCTTCCATTACTTTTTTTTAAAGAACTGAGTGTCTGAACAAGTTTGATTATAATGAAGGGCTGTAATCGTTTTTCGCTGTTTATGATCTTTTATTAGGTTTCTGTTAATTTTTTTATACCTACATTGTAACTTTTAATTTTGAGCACCCCCACGAAAAGCACCTTTTGGTGATTGGGGCATCGTCTTTAGAGATTTTTTATCAATCAATCAATTAATCATACCAATCTAGCAGAACTAACCATAAAGCCATTGATTTATAATTAAGTCATTTAAAGGCTACAGTGTCTACTCACATTGCTTGTTGAAAGTGCTTCATTTGCTTCAGCTATATCTAAAAAATGATACCTAAAATATGAAGTATCCAGAGTTAGAGATAGAACCTATAAGTTAGAGATAGAGCCTAAGAAAAGCTACTTACATTATATTCATTTTTCTTGGTATGTTAATAATCAGTCTTTGACATCAAAACACAATGTGGACAAATATGGCTAAGAAAATATCGGATTTAACAAAAGGAACCTTCATTTAAATTATAAAACATTGACCTTGACTTTTTTTTATTTACTCAAAAAGAAGTTGGAAAGCAACACTTGATTTTGGCATAATTTATTTTGACATAATTTATCATAACTTATGATATAAGAAAAGTGGAAAATTAAAGCAAACCACAGAGCATCTCAAAAATAACTGCAAAGAATTTAGTTTTATGATGGAGATAAAATTACAACAAACAAAATCTTGATAAGGAATTAATCTGATTGCGCAGTTGTCACAAATTACCTTGGTCCCTCTTCCCCTTTTGCTTGTTCTTGGTATTCCAAGATATCAATTATTATGCTCTGGTCACTCTCTTTATGACAAAAGACTTCCTGGTGGTCAGCAACTTCCCTGATGGTACTGGAATGAAAATAAAATGCTCTTTATCATAGATTGTCTCTTGCAAAAAATACTTAGTATAAAGGTTCACATAAGCAAGGTATAAATCAAAAATTTAAATCTTGATGCTAAAGTTCCTCTATTTGTAAAATCTGCACACCCAGGCTACATAAAGGATACTTTCTTTCGTATTATATTTTAGAATAGCATTCCATTAGTAAACCTTCTTGTATGCCAAAGATCTCGGTTAAATGAACGTATTTGCCAGTTTTAGGTACACACAAGCTTGGTTGCGAACATGCTCGCTGTTGCTACTCGGGATAAAAAATTTCCGAGCAAACAATTTTGTTTTGTCTTTAAAATTCGAGACTTTAACAAGGTGTAAGTGACGAGATGTGAGGATGCATGTTTAGCTCTGTAGTTTTGTGTTCGAAAAATGTTTACCTTGCATCAATACAGTGAACTGGAAGAAAGCAAGTAATTGCTCCACCAAACAATCCCTTCTCGCATAATTTGTTTTCATTGTCCGCCATACTTGTTTCTTCTGGTCTCGTATGGATCACCCCTTACGAATTAAAGAGAGGCCAGATTAAAACACCGCACAAATTCAAGAACAACAAATTGCTTCGGGAGTAGGGAGTATACTGTCAACAAAGGTCAAATTTTGTGAGTTTTTTTCTAGCACTTATGTTTATGTGTTATTCTAGGAACAAATTTAATTATCTTTAAAATATGGAGCCATCTATTAGTGAAACGGAAGTAATTCGAAGCCATTCAGCTGAAAAAAGCAAAGGTGTTCTGACTAGGAAATCAACGCACTGCATAGCATTTAAAAAAGTAGGATTGGGGCTTAAAGTGAATAAAAAGACGATTTATAATGGTCAATCTCTAACCGTCATTTGCAAAAGGTGGAGGGGCTGATGCCCCCTTCCCGATCCCCAGCCTTGTGTGATTCTATTTGAGCAACGGTCACTATCATTTCATTTGATAGTGCAAGGTCATTTGACATCGGTTTTTTTGGTTCTTTGATATCTGTTCTCTAAATTCCATTGCTTTTTTTATAAACTTACTAACTTTTATTACATCTTTTGTTTGTTCACTTTTTATATCTGCAGGCGTCATTTCTTTTGTTTTCAAGATGTTTTTGATTGTTTTGCATTCAAACGCGTGTTCTTATGTTCTCTGCTCCCCTTGTTGTGCACATTTCCTTATATTGTTTCCTTTTGACTTGGTTTTTATGTACAAATCTTGATTTTGTCATATTTTTGTATTCTTTGTTAACCTATTTATTTATCTTTTCCTTGATTATTTTTTACCATTTACAGTAACAGAAGCACGTCTCTTATGTGTGTGACCTTCTAATTGCCAATTGCTGGACTCTTCATATGACGATGAGGATGGGATCCTACCAGGCATTATTAAGAATCTGCTACGAGCCCCATGCATAATATTTCTTTACCTGGCCATATTCCCCATTAATGTTTCCCTGTTGAAACTCCAGAGTTGTGAGTACAAAAAACAAAGAATACAAAGTCCCTTTGACAGTATGACCTTTGCTAAGAATTCTGATCACAATCGCTGTTGCTAAAATGAGAAACTAGCCGAACGTCAAGGAACTAGCAGAACGACCAAGGACTGGCTGCGGAACTAGCGGAAAGATCAAGAAATTATCTTAAAATATTCTTTTTTCTAAATCTGATATGGTTTTAGGGAATTTTACCCACTCTTGAATTAAAACCATGCTTTTGAAAACAAGATATATCAGTTCTGCCATTCCTTGTTACGAGCATCCCAAAACAGGCAACTGTTGAAAAATGCGACACAAATATGCGAGCTGAGGCTGAGCAATTTTTCAATAATATCCTTTAGAATTGAGTGATTCTGAGACTAAATATTCTTTTAAGCAATATTTTTATAAAAGAAAAAGAGTGTATCCTCATGGATGGCAACAGAGGAATACAAAGATGTTAGGTTGATCCTTAACCTACACCATACAGCTGAAGATGAAGATTTTAGCAGTTTGGTGACAAAGTATTATTAAGACTTGTTTTAAAAGAGCAAGTGATATTTAATCTCAAGAGCTATCAGATTGTCTCAATATGTGTTTGAAGCAAGTCTAACTCACACAATCTACTCAACATGAAATAATGCAAGAACCATAATTGGTTTTCATGTAAACCTTAACAGTAGCTGGTCTGACTACCATCAATGAGTGTGTATTCCATGAGTATGCCTTCAAATATTGAAAATATTTTCAAGTTATGATAAATTTTAACCATTACATTTTTCTTTTGTTATTTTTCGTAGTGTTAGTTATGTAACTCTATAAAAGATGTCTAATAAACAAGGCAAGAAACCACAAACTGAATTAGAGCACTCCCCAGCACCAACTCCAGAAAGGGCAATTCATGGTTTTGTTCTGTACCTTCTTACTTATGTTGCATTTGGTAAGCAATTTTTGGTCACATTTTGAGTATTTAGTGGTCAATTTTGGAATGATATAATCATTATAAAATATTTTGGTGTATTAAACCATCTAATGGTTGAGAGTACAATGATAGGGCCTGGGTTTCAAAAAGGTGTTTTATTTGAATCAAGCCTAACAATGTTTATTTATATCAGAGAAAATCATTTGTAACAGATAAAGCACACTTGAAATATGTTTTCTCACTTTTTGTAAGCACAAAATTTGGGCTTTATTGCTAGCAGGATTATGCTAGATTGTCTGTAGTTGTCTTGAAAGCATAGACTAGAAATATATGTTTTTTTCTAAATGAGAACAAACTACCCTGTATTCTTAATGCTTTAGCGTTGCTTTATTGCAAAACACAGTTTTTTTAGAAAAAAGATAAGGACATGCAATGTAAAGGTTAATACCAGTTTTTAATTTAATTCTCTGTTATTTTTGAAATGATAAATATTTGCTACTCTCTGCTGTCTGTGGTAGTATATCAGTCCAATTTTTATAATAAATTGTTTTATAGTCTATGGTACTGCTGAAAATGAGTATATATCATATATTTGAGAGCCAAACTTCATTTTAGTTTTTATTCAAACCAGGTTTTTATCTTCTTTGGGCATTGGTTCCAGACAATGTATTGCATGAAATTGGTATCACATATCTCCCTCAAAGGTATATTTATCATTTGTTAACTGTTCTAATTATATGAATCAAATTAAATTAACCAAGCGATTTATGGCTCTTCTGGGCAAACAACCATTGCTATGCTAATTAAATACAGTGCCATGTATGTGTATGATGTTTAAGAGCAACATTTAAAAGCATTAAATTCTTAGGTAAATCATGTTGCACTGTTAGATATATGTGTTCCATTTAAAGTCTATATGCCATGTGGTTTTGAGCATTTGAGCATGAAATATGACAAAGAACAGTTTGTTTTCATCATTGTATTGTGATTGAACTTATGGACATGTTGCAGTTTTTACCTCTTTTAATCCATTGCATTGGTTTTCAACTGGTTCATTTAGTAATACCAATTTCATATTCCTTTTGTAGACTATGGATCTTTTTGGGGCCTTTTCTGATCATATTGGCTGTCTCTCTTGTGCTGTTTATCTTCTTGGTTCGTAATTACTTGGAAACACCTAGCTGGGACTCAATTCAATATCTTACCGGTGAGTTGAAGAAATTGATGAATGCTTCTGATACTTTTCATTAGCTACTAAGCTTTGTAGAACTATGTTGACCATTTTTGCAAAAAAAGGGGGGGGGGCAATTTCTAAAGTAGTTTTTGACCACTGTCCATTTTGAAAATATTGATTAAGTGGAAGACAAGTAAGCAGAATATAAAGGCAATTGTTAGCTATTGTGCTTGTGTGTCCCTGTTGCCAACAAAGTGGGTGAGTTATTTAAAATTTGCCATTGAAGATACTCAGGTGGCAAAAAACTGACTATTTTTCAAACAGACCTTTGGGGAGAAGGGTCTCACACCCCTACATCCCTCAAGTAAATCAGTTGCAGCTTACTTATAGATTAGGAATTTCTATATATATATATATTTATTCTAAGCCTGTTATTTAAAGTCAAATGTCTCATAGAATGTTTGTTTATTAGGAGAGAACTAAAAACTATAAAATTTATTGAAACCAAGAAAGCTGAAAGCATGAACCTACTTGTTTGATTTTTGTTTTTGTTGCTAGATATTTTTGTAGATGTGTTTGTTAGCTTTTCTGAAAGATCTTCTGATAATTGAAATTTTCTCATCAGATGATCACCAGGTTCTAGTGGACCCCAGATCAAACAAAATAGAGCCTGTGGCGGACATGCACATCTCTGATGTCAACAAAATGTTGTATATCAAATCTAAAACAAGATGACATTGCATCTGGCAAGTACCTTTGAATATGTTGGGTGATGTTTGGCTAAAAGACCCATTATAAAGGGGGCACAAGTGAGAGGCACTATGTGCACTGTAGTCTGGTGATACCAAGGTGCCCGTATGAATGTACCAAGAATAGTCCAACATCTCTTTGAAATGACATCAACTGCATTCTGTGCACAAAGAAGATATGATTTATTTAATAGTGCATGTTTGGAAAGCTGTTGGAGGGGTTCTCTGCCCCATTGCTTGCTTTTGCCCCCCCCCCCCTTGCCAGGTGTCTGAAATGCATATGATGCTGACTTGGATACCAAAAATTATCAGTTGTCACAGAGTTTTGGAAGCGTGCTGGGCCTATCAGTTACAGTGAATGACAGAATCCAGCCAAATCGATGCTGCCTAAATTTTATTTAGTTGAGTTCATCCAGCAATCCTATGTATGTGTTTGAGCAATTGCAAACTACTACAAGAATCAAAATTTCACTTTGTCTGGCGCCCAGGCTCTTTTCATGCCTTTTTGATTATTTGCAGCTTTTAAAGTTTATTTTTACACACCTAACAACGCCTTAGACAGACAAAGACCGTCCCAGAACGAAACAATTATTGTTATGCTCGCAAAGTTTTAAATGAATACAAAGGATTACACCAGGTAAGATTCGTTACAAATCGTTACGTCACAATAGGCTAGGTACGAGGCTGTACGGGTCGTCTGAGTGGTGAAAGTGAATCAGTGAATCTGTTGTTGTTATGATCTATCGATTTTGGTAGTCGAAAACAAGGACATTTCTATAGCCACTTTATTTCTTACGAGAAATTTGAATCCACTCGTAATTGCAATGTAATGCAGGTATCACAATGCTGATGCCACGAGATTAATTTCGAGATCGGCTATGTTTTTTTGCGGTAAGTAAAGTGAAGTTAATGTACTTTCGCTTCCACACTGTTATTGTAGGCCAAATGGTTGTTTTGTTTCTCGAATTTCTGTCCGTCGGTTCCAATAAATCCAGTTTGACATCCTAGTATTCTTCATACATTTGTAAATACTCTCGATGTTTGCCTAAATTTGTACTTCATGAACGTCATGAACGTTTAATATTTCTTTGTATGCAATGAGCTTTGTTTGTAAAACTGAAATTGATCGGTTGAGGTCATCAATATTCTTAATGAAAAAGCGCTCTAATGTTCCAGACTGAGGCCTTCTCAACTTTCAATGAATCTTTTTTTATAGGCAGGTTTACAGGGCTGCGTAATGTAAGTTGTAGTTGAAGCCGGATTTAGGTGTATCTTTCGGCATAATTTACATTTCCCTTCTGATTTAAGATAACTTCGAGGGGAAGGAACATATTGCTCTAGCCTTTAAATATGAAAAGCTAAACCAAATTTATAGCTGTTCAAGAAGTATTATTTACTTGTTAATCTTGTGAAATGCGAAAATCGAATAAAGGGCAACTTCCGTGGCTGGTCGGTTTTTGTTTTGTTGTTGCTATGCAACGCTATAATCGAAATAGTAGCCATTTGTGGGTAGTGTAATGTGGTAGATGCTGAAAGAACGTGTGTCTTTTGGAAACAGACAAACAAACAAACAGACTAGGTGCATTACATAGTAATCTTTCATTTAATCGTTTTTGAATGTCCATGTCTGATGATAGAAATTATTCTCTAGAGTAAAAAATATTTTGATATTTTTTTGCAACCTGGCATTATAATAAGCTGCTGTCTTTGAATTCTGTTCTTTTAAACTAAATCACTTTCAGTTTTTATTTTATAGTTCTGCATATTCATACATTAAATAACCACAATAAGCTCTAAACTTAAACTTTACATTGATACTTTACAACAATATATAATTAATAATATTCAGAGCATTCATAAATTGTATGCAAGGACCATGGAGCATGCTAAAAACTAAAAGCAAGACAAATTCTTGCATGGTTTTTGCAGATTATTAGGTCCTTGCTTCTGTCGAGAAGGTGTTTTCTCTGTAGCTTGGCTAATCTAAGAGAGAACACCCTAGGCAAGGGTATAGCATCCCCGGTAACATAAGAGCTTCCCTTCTCCCCTTGTGATAACAGGGCACCCCTTGAAAGATGGGAGCACCTGCTGCTTTCTTTGGGTAATAATTTCTATATTAAAACCACCCATGGAAGCCTGCACTCGAAGAGGGCAACAGGAAAAATTGCCAAGAAAAAGGGCTAAACAATGATACAACAAAGGAAAATACTAAATTTCACAAGGGCAAGGGGGCAACTGCCCCTGTTGCCCCCCTGGCACAGGTGTCCTTGAAACCACCCATCCACAAAACAGTAAAGAAAAGTTAGGAAAAAATTCAGAAACAAAGCAAAATGAGGACAAGAATCCAATGCTATGAGGTAGCGGGTGGTTCTGTTCATGCTGTTGGGGGTGAGGATGTTTGCCAGGCCAGGCCGTCATAGGAACAACCACAAATCCAGTATCAAAAAAGCTCTGAATAAACAAGTTAGTTTCTTTTACAACACATAATTCTAACCCATCTAATTGACTTCTATTTAAAAATCCCTGCAAATGATTATTGTTGTGTTTAATTCACCTGCTGAGCAAAACACTTGCCTTAAGGCATTAATTATTTATTATAAAGCTGTTGTTACAGGGCTGTTTATCTGTTGAATTATTTTTTGAACATGCCACCAGATGCTTGTAGTACTTTCATTCATAAGAGTCCATTCTAGTTTTGGTTTCCCACTTTCTATTTGTTGATGAAAACCACTAATATGAAGTTGATCTTTGTGGACTAACCTTGATTTGAGCTTGACTATGTGTGGTTTCGCAAACAACCACACTCATCAAAACACTATGAAAGAGGAAGTGGTAGATTTGTATGTTCCACCCACTTACCTTGAATCCTCTATTTGACTGCCAAAGCCATTGCATGTTTTTTGGCTTATAACAAGGTTGCCAAGATTTGGAAAATAATACCTGTGAGATTTCATGAGCGCAGCTAGTGAACAATGGAACTGGGGTCCAGGGTATGGGGCAGAAGAATTCTGAATTTCAGTAGATCTGGAGTGCTCAAATGGTTCAAAACTAGACCATTCAGAATGCCTGAGCATTTAACATCTAAAATACTCCAGAAAAGCACTGAGAACAGGCTTTTAAACATAAGAATAACCAATCGAAGCAATGAACAAGAATAATTGATCTTCAAATTTAGCTGATTAAGAAATTATTGCCTGAAGTTTTTGAGCTGTTGTCACAAACCTCTGCAATACATTTTATCAATCTAACTCTGTATATAATTCGCAACTTTCATTTTAATATGATAATAACAGACTTTCCTAATAGTTTTGTCAAATCTCTATCTGAGGCGGCACCATGGAAATTTTCGAATTTTGATGCTTCTAGTTCCCTGGAAAATGCACTCTTTTAGGCAAATTTCACTAAAGCAATCCTCCTAATCCTATATTGAAAATTATTATTTTATGCAAAAAAATTTTACAGCAGTTAAAAATAACAATTTCGCCGTGGTCTTGAAAAATACCAGGTTGTCAGTTGCTTCTAATGCTAGGTAAGAAGAAACAGCACTGGTTCTCAATTTAGATCCCTCTTTCATCTTAGCATGCATTTTGAATGTTAAAAAAAATCAGCTGGAGCTCAAAGTGAATTTCAGTTGATGCTTCTACTGAGAAACTCTAGGAGAATTGGACACAAGGCAAAATTTTATCTAAAGAGGGCCTGGAATTTTAGATTTATTGCCAACAAGCCATCTTCAAATCATCAAATCATTAGTTTGTTTACCTTCATTCATATCGAGGAATATCATATTTAACCAACAGAGCAACTACCTTTGCTTGATCCTTTATTGATTTTATGACATGAAGGTCTCTGAAATACCTAAAGCGTTTCTTCCACAGAGCGTATTTTACCTAAAATTTCCTATTGAGATACTAGGGGGGGGGTGGTATGACACTCCCCGTACACTCCCGGTCGCGACTCCCCTGAGGTCTGGGCATGTGATTGTCATAAACAATGTAGTGGAATGGAATGTGTTCAGCAACCAATGAGGCGTTTGATCTTAATTGAAGAAAGAATGAGGCCCAGGGAGAAATCCGTGAGAAAAATAGCTCCGTGAGTCTCACGGCCAAAGCGTGGGTCTTGGCAACCTTGTTATAAATTTAGAATCTAGGTCTGTAAATACAAAGTGAAAAGTCTGCTATCAACAGTTTACTAATTTTGAGAAGACTTGCTTTTTATTCATAAGTGTAGTTTGCAGGAAATTTTTGGAAAAATGTTTCAGTAAGAACAAAAATGTTTCCATTGAACAACTTTTGATAGGAGTGTGTAAACCAGGGTTTTAGAGTTGAAATTCTGAAGTGTCATGATTTTTGTCATTCAAAACTCAAAATTGATAGAATAATTTTTGAACTTGAAGCAGCAGAAATTAAATTTATTTATAATATTCCTTAATGAGAATTATTGTGTCCAATATCAGGGCATTCAAAATATAATTGTTGTTTTTAACTAATTGGTCAGTGACAAACACTGACTTTATATTCTGGAAATTATTAATAAATAGAGTAACCATGATTTATTTAGTAAAGTGCTTAACTTGTAACTAACCAGTCTTGACTTTGAGGCTTCGCTCTCTGCATGAGGCAACAGTTAGTGTCTTTAAGGGCATCCGCCTCTTAAAGAGCTATGGGACACATCCAAGCCATTTTCTATGTGAAAGATAGATGTGGGTTTAAAGCCCCCTTAAAACGCATAATTGTCTAGCAAAGAGGAGTTAAAAGAAAAGTGTAAAAATTTTGATCTACATGAAAGTTTCAATGATGCTAGTGCTCATAATATTGATTTTATGATCAAATAAAGCTCAACATTTTATAATTGCTTAGACAATGATTAGCAACTGAAGCTAAAAAGTTTATTTTGCTCAAATCCTTTATAAGTTTTCAAACTTTTTATAGTCATAAAAGCAAGCACAAAAATATGAGAAACTGTATCCAGACTAAAGTTATCAGTCTTAATCTGAGCTTAAAAATGCCTTAACTAGTCTCCATCTGCCAATTGGACTCCTTGCTGTTACATGGACTGTCAAGTAACACATAAGTTTGTTGTTGTAGGTGAAATCATGAAATTTTGATTAGACTTTTGGTAAAAAGATATGGATGGAGACATGATTGAGGAAAGGCCTCAGAAGTATATGGATCAGTTCCTCTTTAAGAGGGAGGCAAATGGAAAGGTATCAGCATTATGTTACATCCTGTTAACAAATGTATGCACAGCTGCTGTTCCTAGAATAATTGCTATGCCTTTGATCCAGGTGGTAACTGTAACTTGTTCGGAAGCTATTTTTAAATCTGTTTCAGAACTTTCCACACTCTAAAGGAAGGTTTGATATCGTAAAGCAGTCATTCAGTTATGTAAAGAGCAAATTTTGTGGAAGAATAAACATTATAGTGGTTAAAGGAAAATTTCTGCAAAAATATTTTGCAGACTCTTGATGTTCCTTGTACACTTTATTTTTCATAAAATTATTCTTAGAATGTGCGCTACAAAGTGCAGTGGATGTTTTGAAAAAATTCATTATACTAAATTGTATTTTTAATTTGCATCAAACTTATGGAGGGAGTCACAATAGGCCAACGATTTTGTTAAATTTTTGTGAATTGTGTTGTGATGTGTATCTGCACTATTTAATAAATTATGCTAATGGGACTTAAAGAAAAATTTTGACTTCTGTTTGTAGAACACTCTACCAATTTTCTAAGACATTAAATTAAAATTTGGGGGTATGTCCTTACACTCACTCCAAGCGTTTATTTTCGAATAATTTCAAACATGTAGCTCTTTTATTTTGAATTAGCATGCCAAATTTAAATGCTCTTTTTGCAGTGGGTGGAGTATTGGGTGGTCTGCAGAGGAAACTATCTGCTTTTCTATTCTAAGAAATGTGAAACCACAGAGCTTCGAGATTCGGTAAGTTTTTTTCATTATTATAGCAAACTGCTAAGTTGCTCCTAGTGTATCCACTGCTATTTGCTTGTCTTTATCGTCAAAGAAAAGTTCTAGAAGAAATTAAAGAAGAAACATAGATTCTTAATAATAATAAAAATAATAAGACAAATATTTACAGAGGATGGCCTCAGTCACTCGAGGGTGCTTTTCATGAGGGTCCTCAATCCTAATTGGTAATGTGAATATTTTTGAAAAAGTATTTCTAGTTTTCCTTCTGCTATCTTCTAGCTTCTAATGCCATGCCCAAGTACCACCTTGTTTCCTTAATGAGATTATCCACCAGTAAAGATCTTTTTGCTAGTCAAGCCATGGTGCAGCTTTTCTCTTCTTTTCATAACCTGGTTAAGATGTCATACAAACATGTATGGCCCCATGCTGGTTGTGTCTGACTCAGTTTTAAAGAATGACATTTGAATTTCGCCATAAAGGATTTATATTAAGATTATTTAAATAGCTGAAACACCAAGGCGTGATACCATCTGTTCATGATAAAAGCTGTTTCAAAATGTTTGAATAGATGACATTTGATGACCTAACCTTCAGGAGAATGTGCAAGTGGCATGGATAGACCAAATAAAAAATGAATTGACAATAACGACTGTGCTCTCCTTTACCAAAATAAGTTGACATGAATAATGCCTTTTCTAAATCTCGAATTTTCAGGCATATTTTTCTTTCTAAATTAATAGCTTTGTTTTTGAAGATTTCGTTCTTGTTCTTCGTAACTAAAAATCTAGAAAATTGCTAGTTTTTTATTAGATATAACAATAACCATTTGGTTACCGTACGACATAAAATATATTTCCGTTGGATTTTATGACATTAAATATTTTATTTCAGTTTAAAGGGTCGATTGAATTGACTCCGGGTACTAGATGCACCATAGTAAAGAGGAAGAAATACAGTTTCCCATTCTTTCTTGCAACCAGCAAAGCAAAGTTCTATTTCAAGGTGAGTTATAAAACATGACATCAAAATAACATCTTCAACAAAACTCTGATTACAATCTTGCGCTTGCTGATGTTTTGAAACGGATCGCAAATCGTTTTACCCAGGGACCAATTTTTATTATATTTGGTATCCTGGTGAATTAGGTCGACTGGAATAGTTGTGCCAGCATAAAAGCATCTTTACATCTGTGACTCAATTTTTGTAGGTCCAAAAGAGTGACTAAAGACTCACTGTAGATCCATATGCCACATGCTACATGTCCATGCACCATAAATTGCAATAACGAGATCTGTATGACTCATAAATTCTCCAGCTAATGCATCGAATAAAACATAATAACGACGAGGTGTCACAAGCCATATGTAACATTTTTAAAACAAATGACTGTAAACATAAATATAAAACCCAGTAAACAAATAATTTTCAGAAAAGCAAACCTAATAAGCGTTGGGGTGATTTAATGCTGCAAAATAAAGGAACACAACTATGGAATAATCTCCCAAAGCCTATAAAAGATATGATAAAGAAAGAAATTTTTCCTTGTTACTAAGAAAACAAATGCTGTTAAAGCAATAGAATTATGAAATGAGAAATATAATGAAACGTAATCCACATGCTATAGTATTATGCTGTCGTTTATAAAGTATATACAGGCACCACGAAGCAGGGGGGCTGGGGAGAGGGCTTTAGCCTCCCCCCACTCTTTGCCAGAAGTGCATCAAATTAACCAATGAATCACCAGTCAAGACCATTTTTGTTCGGTTTAACCCCCCCCCCAACTTTTTTTAGACCCCCAACTCTTCTCAACGCATTCTGTGGCTCCGCGGTGCCTGATAAAACCAACATTGTTTTTGTCATTGTAATTGCTGTTATGTTTTGATCTATACCTTTTGTTAACGGCCCAAGCTAAGTGAGTATATACTTTTTCTTGCGTCGTCATATATTAAAGTATTAATGTAGTATTCATCTTATGCGGTATACGAATAAAATTGAACAATACTCTGCTTTTCTCTTAAGGATAGGTTTTGAAAAGATTGTTTGTTCTTGCATTCCAGAGCCCATCATTGCTGTTACGACATCAGTGGATCCACGCTATTAACCTATCAGTCAAGGTAAATGTCATATTTGTGCATCTTCATAGAAGATGTTACAGTGCCTGTGCAATATGTGAATAGAAAAGACAGTATTGATGTTTTTTGTTTCTGTAGTGAATTCAACCTAATTCGTGGCAATGTAAAAAATAGACTTTTAAAGCATCTTATCATTAAATTGAATGGCTGCATTTTGTTACACAGTCAACATCTTCACGCATCACTCATCTGAAACAATAGAATGCAATTAGAATGCGCCTTATTTTGATGTGATATAGGTAGGTTTTCGAAGTTGGCTGATGAGCTGGAAGTTTGGCTGATGGTCTAAACTTCATATCGATTCTTTCTCTCTCCATCTCAAGTTCCAAATTATTGACAAACATTCACATCTTTGCTGAGTTAATTTACTGTTATTTTTCGGTTTCACCACGTTTTTGTTACTATTACCTTTTGTATCAGGGTGCCATGCCTCAGTCCCCGCCAAAGACTTTGCCAGAAAGGACTGCCGATCTAGACAGCCAAGATGAGGAGACATCCAGTGTTGATATGAACTATAACGATCCAGGGTCAGAAGCCGAACAATCTCCCTTTGTGGATGACTGTATTGAAGATGAAACGGACACTTCAAGCAACATTATTTTAGTCACCAGTCGCCCGGAAGGAGAGGAGGAAGTAACAAACTTTATTACCGGGGAGAGAACCCCAAGTACAAGCAATTACCAAGTTACTAACTTTTTAAACTCACAAAAAATGGATCCAGTTTTGAGTGTTAAAACAGGCATTGATAACTTATCGTTTGAAGAAGAGGAAGTAGCCAACATGAACAGATACAAAAGCCCGAGTCAGATTTCTGGAAAGAGCATAACCTCAGGTATAAGACTTTTCATGTCTCTCAGATTTGAATCTATTACTGTTCATTACCAATAGATTCTGATAAATTATATAATCCTATATTAAAGTTGAATTGCCTGACGATCGCACTAAGCTTGAAACTCAGAGTAGCAACTTTGAATCGTCCTTTTCTGTGCACAGCCCTGCCTATAAGGCATTGAGCACTTTCTGAAAGACTGCTTGACAGTAATTTTCAAATACGGTTAAAATGGGCTCATGCTTGACCGTTCACTAACATTTACCAAAAATGCTTCAATTTCTTCAGCCACGTGGTAGAACAAATCCTTATAAGATAAGGCCGTTTTTCATAAATCGTATAGCGTCCATTTCACCGTCTTTTTATATGACAATGCAAACGTTTTATAATGTTCCAAACTAAGTTTGAATTCAATTTAAACAACAAATTGAATTTGCTAAATATACTTCTGTTTGCTACAAATGATTCAATTAATAAAATATAGCTGTTCAGGGAACTTGGATACTCCAGGCAAGATCGCGAGTTCTTCTCTAGAGAAAAAACCCCTGGAGGCTGACATCCCCTTTTACAGAAACAGCCAAGTATATATTTTCAAAATTCATTTAAGCATAATACCTTCTAGCCAAAATATTATTATCTTTGAAATACAAAACATCAATCGAAATAGAATTTAGAAGAGGGGAAAACTGATGCCTTCTGTTAAGTGGCCTTTGGGGATATGAAATGAAGCTAATATTCTGGTCATAAATGTTCAGGAAATGTTTCATTAAACTTTTTTGTTTTTGTTTACATAAGATTAGTGATAGTTTTTACTGAAGCTTGCTTTCATTTTTCAGGAACACCTTCGCCAAAATTCTCTTTATCGTCACCTAGCAGCAGAAATGAGTCTAATATCCCCAGCCGTGTTGTGCGGTCTGCAGGCTCTATTCGCGGTAAGTTCTTTGATGAAATAGCGATCGTGTTTTGAAATTAATACAATCTTCTTTAGATAAAAACACACTTTACAAGAACACCGAGACTCGATTTCCCAAAAACTACGAACAACTTTAGAAAATTCCCCGCGCAGCTGATAAAGTAGGAGTTTCCAACCTTTTCTCATGACATCAAACAGAGCCAAATTTATCAGCTGATGAACCGTGCTATTAAACGTTTTATGGAAAAATGTTATTTAGTAGTTTTAGAAGCAAATAATAGTATGTAGTTATAGAAAAACTAATGTTTAATAAGAACAACATTAAGTACACCTGGGCGTCAAATTGTCCAAATCATTCTCAGAAGGAATGGCTTCCCACCTCAGTCAAACTGATATTACTTACCTTTCAATTCACCGGCCTAAGACTGTCTATCTTTGTTTTCTAGGTGTTTCCAGTGGAGTTCTAAGCTCTTCGCAAGTTGGTAGCAACATATATTTGTCCGTGCAGCCGTCCTCGAGTAGACCATCACTTGGCTCTAACCGATTCTCGAGACATCTAGTTAGCTCCGCCCCAGACCTTAAAGCTTTCACCAGTAGCCTCGCATAAACATGTACGTGTACTGCAGGTTTTCTGTCCCGTAAGCGTTGTAAAAGAAAACTTTCTATGAACGTGTTCTCAAGATAAACTTAATTCACAACAAGATGCATTCATTGATAATGTAAATATTGGACAAGTTTTGGCTCTGGTGATCATTTGTCGTGAAATGCGGCATTAGGCATATGAATATATATTTCTCTTAGAAAGTATCCAATAATTGAAAACATCGTCATTTGTTACAAAGGTCAGTGACCGCTCCAAAGGCTTCATGGTAGAATTATGTTTATAAAAGGTACTCTGCTTTTGAGGCCCACTTTAAAAACTACGTTGAAAGCAGATGCAGATTATAATCACAGATGCAATTTTATCCCACTGCGTCAGTTTTTCTTGATAACTAGTTGAAAGTCCAGCCGTATCCCACAATGCATCAGCAATACAGCTGTTGCTTCCATCAACACATGCTTTGTAACGAATATCACGGCCAAATTTGCCCATACGCCTTTGCGAATTTCATCATTTTAGAAAAGCAGCTAATATGGTTTTTTTAGATCATGAGTTAGAAAGGAGATAATTTGTTGTGTTATTGTGCTGTATTGTTTAAAACAAAAAATACGAAAGATTTCAACATAAGCGTTGTTAATGCATGATGTCAACACTAACCCATTTTTGCAAGTCCAAACAATAGCCAAATTGTTGATGATGTTTTGTTCACTACACACTTTTTTATGAAAATACTTTAATTTTTGTGCTGAGCCTCAATATTCTATAAAATCTGCGATTCTTAGCCTGAAATAATTTTTTCGAAAATTCAAATTATTTGCTAATGTTTTTCTTCATTGTAAAAGTATGGTAGAAAATTAAACATGGCAGAACACAAGCTTGATGAGTATTCCTCAAACATTTTGCGTTAAAATCATGGTCGTATCGTTTACTCCATAAGCACATATAGATAAAAAGTTGTCTAATCTTGATTCCTAAATTGTATCAATTTCAGCCTCAGCTTTCTTCTTACAAAATTGTTCTTATGAAAAATGTGTAATTAGATGCTGTGCTGTGCTGCTCTATTGTAACTAGATTTAAGATGTTATTAATTGTCGGATTTGCCTGGACAAACACTTATATCCGCTGCAGACTTCAGATACCTCGGTCTCCATGCTATCCGCTTTAGTCCTAAGGGCATTGTGAAGTAATTTAAAACGAACAAGCAATGTCTCGAAAAGCAGTATGAAGTAAAAATACGTGATGTTCTGGAATGGAAAACAAAGTTTAAGCTCCACATTTCATCCTTATTTTATTGTATATTCGCCATGTCAGTCTTAAAAACAAAGTAATTAAGCATTGATCATCCCCTGACCATTTTAAGGAGGCCACACCCATTTTAAGGAGGCCCCACCCATGTCGTAAGAGTGGGCATACCTAGATGTCTTAGACAGTTGCCCAATTTCCATTTTAACCAATTTTAGAAAATTGTAAAATTTAATTTTTTGTAAATAATCTTGCTGATAATAAGTTTTGAATTTAAAAGTTAATGATTTCTTTGTGTATGAATGTGTTTTTTTAGTATAATTCAAACGAATTTTCCAAAGGTGTATCTACAAAAATTGTTGTTTGGAGTAAATAAAATACTTGCGAAGGCTGCATTACAAAATTAATTTATGAAACAATAACCCTGTTGATATCTATGTTTATGTTCTTTCTGGTAAAAATTTTTTACTTTGTACTAAGTTGTAGTCTGAAAACACTTGCTAAAATATTTAAAATATTTATGCGGTTTTCGATGATTGACGACTGAGGGGTCAATATATGAATCAACATGTAAGTTCTTGGCCTTTACTAAATACGAGAATGGCTCGGTGTTTGCAGACTACAGATCCAGATGTATGAGGTTGGAGTTCCCGACATGACCAAGCCGTTACCTCTATGCAATTCCAGGCGTATGAATCACCAGGTGTTGTCACATCAAAAGGAACTACCAGGACACCGCTCGATAGGCGCAGGTTCTCAGTTTCCCAAAACTGCCTTCGGAGGCTAAGTAGAGACAAAATTTATCAACTAGTAGATTCAGAGACGTCGTATATGTTTAAAAGCAGTATTGGCATTCAGGGGCAGATCCAGAAGAAAATTTGACTGTCTCACAATCCAGCTGAGGGTTTGGGGTCCTGAAGGTGCAGGGGGGGCACAAGCTGAAATTGCTAATTCAACATCATTTTTTCATTACGAATTCTCTGTTTCTTTATTGTGCTCTTGATAATTACAGGCATTGTAGTTCCCTTACACCATTATGTTTTCCAGAGAGACATAAAATGTACTCTTGACATCTCTTTACACAAAAATGATAAAAAGGGATCAGTAACTAGAATAGAAGCAAGAAAACCCAAAAGTACAATGACATCAAATTATGAAAGTAGGATAGCAGCAATATAGAACAACTATAAAAGAGCATTAGAAAAGGAACTTCCTGAAAAAAAGATAAAAGAGTGGAACAATAATACTATCTCTAGCAAGTAATAGAGCACAGAACAGAATAAGAAATATTTTCCCATTGATGCATATGGAGTTTGAGCTTTATAGACAGTTTCCATCTGTAGTGGATTTAATGTGAGATTGAAATATAACTTGCATCAGGCTTTTGCTTACACTCTAATTAATAAATCTAGATTTCTATGAAGTATATTCATCAAACTTACTTAAACTAATATTACTGCTGCTTGCCAGGTTATGAAACACTAAAAACATATATTTATTGTATTGCTGTTGAACACTTAAAACATAAAATGCTGGGAATCCAATTTTTATCAAATTTGTGTTGAAATGGAGTCAAATAAGACGCTCAAGAATATTGGTTGTAGTACAAATAAATTAGATGGAATTATTTTTGTACATTTTGAGTAATCATAAAGTTGCTTTGAAAATTTTAATAATTTCTCTCCAAAGGCAACTCTTTCATAAATGGCAAATGATAGTTCATAAAAGGCAACCATTAGCTGCCAATTCTTTTGCTGATTAAACACAAAAATTATATTGACTCAAAAAGCTTTTATGGATAGAAGTAGATCATGGTATCTCTGAGGGCCCACTTTTGTCAGGTATCAGAAGAAACCTACATATCATTTCATAATACATATCAAAATAAAAAAAACGTCCAAAAAATACATGATCATTTGAAAGGGAAAATGGGTCAAAAGAAGTGCTGATCGTTTTTAAATTAGAAAGGGGAATAAATTGCAGCCCTAAGTAGTATTTCAAAATACAAGCATATGAACAATTTAAATATTTGCTTAGATCACAAGAAAGATCACATAAATTCATTCTACTACATGGTTTACATAAGTTAACATTACAATGTCATTTCTTACACTGTCTCTCAATGGCAAGAGCATCATTCACCTCCTTTTGGGTGTTTCATCATATCATTTCAGGAAATTAATCTGAAGGCAGAACCACCAGGGAAGAGTGTTGGTACCAGAGTCAAATTATTTGGACCTAACTAAGCATTCATAAATGAGGAATTGCTACAAGCTTTTTAATTGAAACCAAACAACGTCTCTCAGAAACCCCCTGCAGCCATCAACCAAAATTATCTGTTGCTGTTGTTGTTGCTTTGTTTATTGATGAAATTTAACCAAAGCAAAGGGTAATATGTAAACAATTTCAGAACGACTGTAATAAGCAGGCTGTACAAATAAATTTGCCTTGAATACCTCGCCGCAGCTACCCTCTCATTGACTGAAGGCTACACAACTACGTCTTTCTTTGAAAGAAAAGAGGCTGCAAACTTGTCAGTTCAGTGCAAAGTTGACAACCCTTTCAAGTCTTGCTAGTTCTGTATGTTTTAACTCAGCTGGCCCTCGGAACTCATCTGCCTTTATTAGTTCTTCCACTCTTTGCAAAAGCCCCATTTTAAGGTGCTTACAGGAGAAACAACACGATTTTCATCACAAATTTTCCACACATCATCCAATGCAAAATGCCGGGTTTGCACTGGGCTCCTTCGGGGTGGTGGGTAGCAAGATGAACTTTACACAACATACGTCTCACCGATGCCGCACAATCGCACAATTTGATTGGTGGGATGATGCCTGTGCGAACTTTAAAAAAACCATCAGTCTCACGGATACCCCGAATCTGGCTACATTGGATCCCTGCGATCTCCCCGATATCATTTTTATGGATTCTTGACTTTCATATGATTACGTATACTGACTGAGACACTGAGACCAGGCCAACTACAGTAACGATACTTTGCACTAAACAAATGGTTGTTTTTTGCACACATCTGAAAATCTGACTGTCTTACGTGCGAACGGTGAGATAGTCTGGATCCGCCCCTGTTGGCATTCAATCACTGCTTACCTGAGGTGGCATAACGAATGATGGAAAATCAGTTTTCAAATTACGTGTTATCTAGTATTCTAATTCATAGTGTACAGGACGTTGATTCGGAGGAAAAGGGGGATTCGAATTTACAGGGGCGACGTAAAGCAGAAAATTGCAAAAAATTGTATCTATCTCGACAATTTTGTTTGGGACTTACAATGGAAAATCCTATACATAGACTTAAAATGCCATCACTTTATAAATTTGTCACTTGTAAATTATAGTTTCCTATACTCTCATAAAATTTTGCAGAATTATACAAAGGTTCAAGAGACGATACCACAAGGAGCATGGGAATATATAACAACCCGGTGGCAATTTTCAAACAACACATTTAACTCAGTTACGTTCAATCAGGAATGAACGAAAGCTAACAGTATAATCCTGAAGAAAGAGGATAGAATAGATCTGTTGTTTTTATCATCAGTTCAACTTTGAAATTTTGGAGATTTAAGTCGATTTATGGTGCCTACATATGACAGCATATTTTCATGTAGCAAGTCCCAATGTACACGTTCTTTATCTGTAAGAAGCTGGTTTGTAAAAAAACTGGTACAAGGATGGCCAAAAACTTAAGAAACTTTAGTGCTAGGCCCAAGAAAAACAAGAAGCTTTAAAACTTTCATTTTAAAAAACGTTTTTATTTGTCTATTTTTCTTTGGAAACGATAGCATATTTTGGATTTTGCTATTTTTTGGCTTTTTTCGTGACGATCTTTGTTCCTTCCTAAAATGGCCAAATTGCAAACAATGTGTCAATTTTAGGTCCCGAAAATAGAAAGCGAGCTAAGAAATTGTTCTGAAACGTCAACGATTAGTAATGAAACGCCAAAATTTGAATGCTATGTTAAGAAAATTTTAGTGCTTAGTGCTGATCCTTAGCACTAAGATTCTTGTAATGAAAAACGTGTATTTCAGTCAAGTACACAAGCCTTGACAGCATTCAAAATTAGACGTAAATGTGATTTTCTGTCGGTACGTTGCTTTGGGGAGCTGGAATAATGTCCTACAGTAGAAACCCACAAAAAATAACCTAGGTTTGTTTCTGGCAGCCTGAATGGGCTCTTAATTAAAAGGCCGCTATAGCATTGATTCTAAATTCTAAATAGATTCTAGGTTCTATATAGAATAGATTCTAAATTCCAGTCTAAAAGATTTTTAATAAGGTTCTTATATTAAAAATGTTTTCCACCGTAAGAATTCTAATGGACACACTTAAACCAGCTTTTTTTATATTGGAATTCAACCAATCAAATGAATTTGTGTTGTTAGATTGTCCAATTAGAATGCAACATACCATAACCTGATTTACTCCTCTAAAAACCCCTTTTTCTTACATATATATATAAGAACCTCTCCAAATTTCAACCTCTTTAGGGTTCTTGATTATGGAGTTTTAAAGGTTAACAATGTTCTTATAAAAACAGGTTCTTTTATGCGGGTTTCTACTGTAGCTGAGGGAAGAATGCCTAGACTTTCGGAGGCATTTCTAAGTTGGAGAAGCGTCAGTAGGAAGAGGGACTGTCGTAAGAAAGGGTTCTTTTTTCCAAAAGAGGGTATTTTAAAGAAAGGGCATTTTGTCAAAAGTTGGGGTCTCCTCCAATCTGCCGAGCATGCCAGTTCTCAACAAGATCGTGCGCATGCACTGTCATTCAAAACACGTTTACTGCAAGCAAACCTTCTTTTATTAATCAATTGGCGTGCAAAAAGATGGTTTTCGTAATATCACTGCAGTGAATATTGTGTAAAATTTCAAATTTTGGCGTGCAGCGCTACACTGAACCCCTTTCGCTTCCCAAGTCCTTGTCCCCTGCGTATGGTTTTCGTTATAAACTAAAAAAGTCAACTGGGTGTTATTTATTTTGGGTAGAAACGGCTGTTAAGTAGTAGGGGGCTTGAATGGAGTAAGGGGGCGGTGATTGGGGAATAAAGAGCATTTCTATGATAGATATACAAGATAAGACAAGAGGGAGCAGCAGCAACAACAAAGCCCGCGAATTTATTTCGTCAAGATGGCGCCAAAGAAAGGAACCACAACGAAGTCAGACGTGATACAAGATGGCTGGAAATGGGTTCATGGTTTGGAAAAGCCAGTTACGCTGGATTCAATTCTTCCGAACAACATTCGCAAATGTTATCAAGTTGATGCGCAAAAATGTGAGAAAGGATGTTGCAGGTAATTCAATTTCCCAATGAAAAGTCATTCACGAACAAGCCTAACACTAGGCCTAGCTTTTTGGTTAAACAGATTCTCACCATTTTGTTCACTATTTCACAGTCACTAATAATGTGTCAAGATAATTTTATGTACTAGTTTTTATTTTTAAGGAAATATGACAATTACAATGCTTTGTTATGATTTGCTGCAAACCAATATTTGAAATTGTGCATTGATTTGCTATAGTACTATAATGACATCCTTTTTTGCACGCCTTTGAATAAAAAGGGAAGTTTGCAGGTAGAAAACATAAATTATACAAAATGTATAGTGATGGGGGACAAATTTTATACATTATTTAAGAATTTACAGACAAAAACAAAGTAATTTTTTTGGGTTGAATATACCTGATGAACCTATGGCTGCATTTACACAAGAAATTTTTGCTACAGTTTCAAATTGTTTTCTGAGTGATCCTGTTTTGGTACCGCTAGCAGTTCTATTTGGAACCGTTCTGACAGGTCTTATGTTAACAGCAGGCCTGACGGTGCTCATTTTAGTAGTGTTCCAAATAGAACTGGTATTGTGTAAAAACTGCCTATACCCAGTACTTAATTAGCAGACAACAATAGGTGATGTAATCAAAACTTCTCACTAATTATATAATTAAATTTAATTTTGGAAAGTTTAGCAGACAGATTAGCATCAAGTTCAGGCTAGAACAGAAACATTACGGAACCTTTGTGTTTGCCTGCAGATTCAAACTGGCCTTCATCAAAATTTCAAAATGATACCAACCTTGTTGTAAGAAATATTCATCAAAAGGATCACAATGATATCAAATTTTTTATCAATCTTTCCATGACAGAGTAAACTGCAAAAAGAACCCAAGTTGTCATAATTGTCTTGGAGAACGGTTTTGGAATGGAGAAATCAAAGGTATTAAACTTGCTTTTGTGGTATATAGTTCTTATAAAGATTGTGATTATAGAAGCATACCTTCCAAGTCTTTTTCGATAGAACCTCCTGGTTTTTAGAGTTATCTACTGGTCTTCCTGTAGCTTGTCAGATCTTCAGTTCATAGAGATCAATTTTCTGAATTTTGAAGTAAGCAGTTTTATACGTCCACCTGGAATCTTTTTATGTAAAAAATTTCTATGGCACAGTTGATAAATTGTTTTTGTATTATTGGTTACAAATTTTTTGGTAGTTTAGTTTTATTTGAGATGTAGTTTTAATCTCATTGAATTTGGCTAACAAATGTTAAGCCTATTTAAATCTAACTGATCATTTCATTAAATCATTAGGATTTTCTCCAAAACGCCATATTTTTTTGAAAAAATTCAACTCCTTTGGGTCTGCTTCTCGGCACATAGAAGGTCTAAGGAAATATAAAGATATAAACACCAATGCTTTGGCTTTGTATCATTTTGATCAGATATTGATATCAGTGTCAGTTTAAGGAAATTTATGGTTTGGTTAAAATCTAGTCAATTTTAGTGCCCCAGGTACCATTATTGCTGAAAATGAAAAGCCCTAGATTCTCCAGATTGGTTAAACCCCTTTTAGTGAAATAATTTTTTGCCATAGTAACAGTGTCTAAATGCAGCAATTCACATAAAGTGCAAGCTCCCAAGATTTTATCAGAATAAAAAAATTTGTTGATGTTGACCAAAATTGTTTGGATTTTCGGAAATATAAGTGCTTTGTTGGAAATTCTTGTTGTTATAGATAGAATGGTAAGTAACCATTGTGTAAAATTTTGTAACTGTTTTTTCAGTAATTTTATTCAAATTTTAATGGCAATACATATAAATGAGCTTACTTATCATTGGCAAACCAGACTAGTTGCAGAATCAAAATAAGCTTTTGACGTATTATGGAAATGGCTAGGGCCAAGCTTTTAGGATGAGAAAGTCAGAACATGATGGCTAGTTCTAAATCAAGGAACTGTACAGTTAAAGTGATGGTCAAAAATACCAAAATCTCAAGGAGTTTGCAAAGCTGAAAATGATAAGCGCTATCCTGACTCATTAATGTAACAATGAGACAATTTTTTAATCATAAATCATTTCTTTTTGTGACCTTTGATGCAACCTACAGCCTGTATGTCTGTCTACCGGGACGTTTTTGGTCAATAACGACAGCACTATACGTAAAACCAACTTTTCCTGGTGGTCCATATAAGGTTTCATTTCATTTCGAAAACATCACTGCGTCAGTCAATTATAACGTAGCTCTGAAGTTATATGAAACAAAGAAATCATCTTAAGTTACAATGTCACCAAAGCCGAGGCGTCGCAAGATTGAGAGCTTACTGTGTAACAAAGCATATGATAGTGACTACCGAAGACAGCATAATGAGAAACATCATCAAGAAAAAGTTCGAAAGCATCAGCATAGGCTCCGCTAATGCACTAATCGATTCATGTCGTCGAGATCACGTGACGAGATCTATCATTTGGTGCATCATATATGCGAGGTACCTCATGTAAGATTTTTCGTTGCAAACGTTGCAAAGAATTACCGTCTAGATGAACGGAGACTGGGAGGTGAATTCAAATCTTTTATAGACAGCTATCAAAAGATAAAAGAAGTGGAAAGTCAGACATCAGCAAACAAACAAGACAAAGATGTAGACAGAGAAAGTTTTATTACCACTTTGCAGCTAATTTCAAAATATAATCTTCAAACAGCTTATCAAAGTCTCTACATCCTGTACAAAATACTTGCAACTTTATCAATTGGTTCAACAAAATGTAAGCGCTCCTTCTCAAAACTGAAGATGATAAAGAACAAGTTGCGATAAACAATGAGTCAACCTCGTCTATGGGCGTTGATGCTGATAAGCATCGCGCGTTAACTGTTGCTAACTGTCGATTATGATACATGATACAGCGATTGATGCATTCGCTACATCTCCTCTTTTGAGAAGATGTCTGATACCATGAAAGTGACTCATAAATCCAAGATAATTATTACGCCCTTACACTGTTATTTTCTAACATTTCATTGTGATATCTAGATTTGGATGTTTTCTGTCTTGTTTTTGAAGGATTGTGAGTTGTCTCTATCTGTGTCTTCACGACTGTAAATCCCGGCATATCACACAAGAACAACAACAGCAACAACGTATAGCCAAAAAAAAAATTCAGTAATTTATCGGAAAATCTAGGTGCCTTGTCCCCCCCTGAAATACAAGTGCCACGACGCCCCTAAAGAGAAATATATTTTTTTATCCTGGATCCAATTTTATCCTGTATCCATTATCAAGGAAATTTTGTTTTTTTATATTTGAAATTTCTTTAAGAAGCATGTAAACTATCTGAAGTCATTTTAATGTCTTTTTTATCTTTTTTAGACAGTTTTTGGGTTGATATTGAAGATCCCAACAAGCAAAGAAAAGAAATTGTATGACAAGCTATTTTGAAAATGGCTTTGGAAAAAGCCATTTTTTGAGTAAACTAAAGCTTTTCGCCTGACACTCTTCAGAGTTTAAAACGTCAGAACATAGATCGAAAACTTTACGCTAGAAAATATATATACCCAGTTGTGGATAGAAATAGGCCAATTAACAACGCTACCAAAAGTTATTTTGAATACACTGTTTATGATGTAAATAAAATATTCAAGCATATTCATTCTAAAGATAGTGAGAACCTATTTTCACTTTGATTTAAGTATCTTTATGTATAACAATCCCTGATAAATATAAATAATTTAAAATATACATGGGATGACAAGCTCTTTTTATTTATTCATTTTGTCAGATAAATCTTCCTTCATCGAATTCTGAACAAATTAAGCCGAAATCTGTGTTCATATTTTTGTAATAAAATTTTAGTTTTGCTGCTGTTTTTAATTTCAGGGAAGCCATGTTGGGCTTAAAAATCTAGGGGCTACATGCTATGTCAATACCTTTCTGCAGGTAACACACTGATGAATAATTTCTTAAATTGGAAATACCTGTATAGATTTCTTGTTGTGGCTAATTGTCAGTGACACCATTCGCTCTTGAAAAGAAATGTGAACTTAGCTCTGAATAAAACTGTGCCAGTAGACATTTTACATAAAACATCTAAATCGCTAAAAATTGAAGCAGAGATTTCCATCCTTCTTTCGATCCATCAGTTTTTGTTTTCATAAATATACACATTTAGGAATAGATAGAGGGTACCAAATGTGTTTTCTAGGTAAAAGGGAAACACAATTTATTTGGGAAACGGGAACTTAAATGTACCCTCTAGATAATACAAGCAGATTCACCAAGAAAAATTGTAGTTTCCTAACAATTACACAAGTACAAATGTTCTGTGAGAATTTATACTTTTTATATTGTTAAAATCCTTGTCGGTTTTATTTGCTATTGAAAACGTTTCAATGACAAGCTGTAGAATTCAAGTTTCTTTTCAAAACAATTATTTTTTGTCTATTTAGTCATTTATGACTTTCTGTGCCAATATGAAGCCTGCAATGTACTAGTCAGCAATTAGTCAATAAAATAGAACAGTATGTTTCCTCAAGCAACAGGCAAACACGATTCCACTTTTCAGCGTTATCTACAATTGTGTTTCTGAATAAGAAAGGGATCTCATGCTTGCTTTTCTATTTTTATTTTGAGTTTTTATCTATTATAGCTGTGGTTCCATAATCCTGACTTCAGGTCGGCAATTTTCAAATGGATTCCATCAGAGGGTTATCAGTTTCCTTCTCAAGATAATGGAGGTATAGATTGAGTTTCTTTCTTAACTTTTGTTTGTTTCTCAAAACATAACTCACAAAGATCAGGAGATGACTCTTCCAACTAGGGTTCCGGTTGCAAGCAACAGAAAATGTTTTCAAATGCTGGAAGTTTCTTTTTCATTTTCAGATCGAATTTTATGCTGATGCTGCAAAATATTGAACCAAAGAATGATACAATGTTTAATCCAACACTTTTTTTAGAAAAGAGCGATCCTTATGAGTTATTTTTCCAGCAATAAAAAAATTCATGAATGCAGTTTACATGACAATGCAGTGTTGTAGGTAATTATAAGATTAAAAGTCATGAAAAATTTCCAAGACCAGCCGTTTCATTTTTCAAATTCCATAATTATTTATCTGTTTCTTCGCAGCCACTGAAATAAAGACAGAAGAAAGGGCTGAAAAAAACAACTTCCCGGTTTTAAAAACTCTACCAGCTCCAACATTTGGTTCTTCAAAAGCAGACAATATTTGCGGCAATTTGCAGCTCCTTTTTGCTCTTCTAAAACATAGCGAGAAAAGGTAGGATTGTAGCCTTTTTTATGGTTGTATACTCTTTGGATATGGCTTTTTAAACATACCTGCAACATCAACACAAAAAAGGAAACGAGATTATAAGGAAACCAAACTACAAGCCAAAACACGAAAATATTCACGTTCAAAAGTTGACAAGCCTAGCATTTAACTACCCCCCCCCCCCTAATCCATACGTTATCGACAATGCGGTTACGTTTTCCCCTTGCCGCTTCAAAGTATGATTCCTCCGTAGGAAGTGTTTTTGCGTCAAGTCCTTAGTTAGGTTTCACTGACAATCCTGCAAATGTTAACAAATGTCGTAATGAGGGGAGGAGAAACAGCTGCTACAAATGTGAAGAGTTTGTGTAGGTTTTCAAACTGTTTTGGTTAGGATTGCAATTTAGTGTGCATAAACAGGCAGAACCTTAAGAATGGACATGGTGATCTTGAAAGTTAGAAGGAGAGCAGGATTGTGTCCCCTTTGTCATTTTGTCCAGCTGATATTTCTAGTATTTGCTCATGTAAACCTCAATCTCTTTTGACATAGAGAGACTACCTCTATGACATAATCGACTTTGTCAGCTACTAGAGATCAATGGAAAGTGATTATGAAGTATTTTTGTTAGTTTTCTAAGACGATTGTTGACTGAGAAGCAAAGAAGAGATGCTAAAAAGAGCTTTATACTCCAAGGGTTTACTGAAACCTTTAGTTGTTTGGAGCAAAAAGATTCTTGCCCACTCGCTTTTTCGATTTCTTTTTTTGAGCTTGCTCAAGCCCAAGATATCCACAGGGTAACACGACATTGTAGTCGCTACTGCCCCCCCCCCGCTCCTAAAAATCACCATTCCCTAGCAAAATCTTGCTTGATGAATCCCCTTAATTTTTTGTGTTCTTAGGTAAATTCTGCTTAGATTCGGTCAGAATCAAATCATGATAATCGGTAGTAACAGAATGATCCAAAGACTTGCTTTATTTATCTTCTAAACTTTGTCAACATAATTTTAAAAAATGGGCGTTTCCTTCATTTTCCATTCACCGTAAAAGTGTTGTTCAAAATCCACTCCCCCAATCTTTGCTGCTTAAGTCCGTCCCTAGACTTGCTCTGGGGACAACAATTAGGGACAAAATAACAAGAGCAAATTTCATTAAGCCAAACAGATTGCTTACATAAGCAGATAGGATGCGAAAATGGTAATATATGTGACAAGATGGGCATTTAATCTAGGTGATGACGTTGATGTTTGAAGAAGCAAGATAAATAAGTTTACCATTTATATGTCTACATTATCGCACACTCGATAGTATTTAAACGTATTTCATATTTTCAAGTGTTTAAGTGTTATTAGCTCTAGGGAAGACTTGATATAATGCTTTAGAAAATACTTGTTAGTTTTGTAGATCCAACCCCGTTTGTGTACTCGCTGGGGCTGCAGACAGATGAACAACAGGTAATTTACACCAGCCTTCTTTTCCATAGTTCATTTGTTTGTTATGGTGTGTTCAAGAAGAAACTTGCTGAGATACAAAGTGATGAAGTCACAAAATGTGTCTTTGATTGTCTGAGCTGTTATAATGCAATCTGAATAGATATTTCGATATTTCGAATTATGTCGAATAAACGAAGAAGAGTTATCCCAAAACGTCAAAACAATATTCAACTTTTCCATGTACGAACTCGTAATTTAATTGTTCAAATTCACATTTTTCAAACATTGCTGTACTCTATTGTTGTTTTGGTTAAGTCCATAATTTCTTGAATCAATACCAGGCTAAGGTGATTTGACAGGAAAGGATTATGTGTAAATTTTCCATGTAATTTAGCTATTTTTGTGGATCCAACTGTTCACACAAGCACTTGTTTATAAGTTTCAGAAGTATACCTTGTATGAAATGACAACGATCGTATCGTTATGCGTACGCTAAGTCCTTTAGGCAAGCCCTGGTAGAGCTTGTTTCATTACATCTTCAGACAACCTTTCGCCAGAATTCTTTTCCTTTGAGAGTTTGTTTTAATAAAACAAAATCACAAACGTTTTACAGGTAGCATTGTCACGTGATTGCCTTTTGCTGACCCAACCTCTTTTTTTCGAGGCCATTCTCTACTGATTAAATGCAGAAGTATCTAGCTCATTGCTCGTTTAGATGCAGATCCTAGGCTCAAATGTAATTGCATTGAACCTATAATGATTATTTTACTCCCTAGGATGCGCAAGAGTTTTCTAAACTTTTTATGTCATTGTTGGAAGACACCTTAGCCAACCAGGTGAACAATTTATGAACGTTCTGCTTCTTCTTGTTCTGGCATCCAAATGGTATGCTTAATAAGACTGAAATTCCTTCTCAAATGCAAAATGACAGTTTTTAAGTCATCACAGAAGTGATTTGGACGATGCACTCACTGTTTGCTGTGTTTGAGTTGTCGTTTTTTGGCTTCAATTTAATATCAAGATCAAAATTTCCTGTTTGCTGTCCTCATCAACCAAAGAGAGTAAACATGTTGATCATAAATATGCATCGTTTGTCTAATTATTATAATTATTTACAAAAATTTAAAGCATTGGATGAGGCCTTGTATGTAGAACCTGTTGAGGTAGAGGGAATATGGCTGGGGTAGGGCATACGACACCAACTTTCTCTTCCATGGAGCAGTCGTCATTTTTTGAGCTGTAGTTCAAAGTTTAAATTAGCATCCTGACTTGTTGGTTCTTGTAAAAATATCGGTACATTTTATCTGCTGCACCCTCCCGCCATCAAAATCCAGCACATCACTGGCTGCAAGAAGGATATACCATGTGCAAAAAGTATCTTTTAAGTAGCTACGATTTGAAGTCTTCTGTTGTTTCGTCTACAGCAGAGTAACATTCGATGGCTCGTGCAGGACCAGTATGGTGGAAAATATGCCTATGAGACAAGGTAGGAACGTTTGCGTAATATAGCTAAAAACTGTACATCTAGTAACCGGACCTTCTGTGCGTCCCACAACCATTCACAGGAACCGCTGAAGTGGGGGAGGGGAGGTGGGCTAAGGAGGCTTTAGCCCCCCGATAATTTCCAAAATGTACTTAAAACAATATATAAAGTCGCCTTGCTCTTGGTTTATCCCCCCAAAACGTTTTTTGCCTCTCAGTGTGTAATATTCTCTGCGGTCCTTGACCATTTATTAACATCAGTTACCATCAAAATCCCTGCATTTTGGCAGTTGAATGATTTGTTTTCTTGTATGTGTGGATACTCTGTTATCTAGTATCAGTTTTGAATAATTAAGATTTCTTATTTGTTGATTGACAGATTTAAATGTCATTTGCAAATTGCCACTTTTACCTTGTCGAAAATTCTATCTCAGTCGAATTTGTGCTGTTGTGCTTTGTGCTGTACTGTTCTCTGTTTCAAGGAAGTTGTTTTTCTGTCACTTTTATGCCTCGTTTGCAATTGCCAAAAGCTCGATAAGTGAGGCGATTATCGAACGACAACGTGAATCTTAGGAAAGTTTAACATTTTTCTGTGCAGGTGTACACATTGCGGAAAAGTATCAAAAACAGGGTCGAATTTCTACGAGCTTGACTTAAACATCCAAGGACATTCAATGTTGAAAGAATGTATCAAGGAATTTTTAAAGGTATTGGAATCATAACTACTGCATTCCTGGATTATTCTTTGTTTCCAAAGGTGAAAGTCAAGAATTGGCCTCTGTTGTCACGTGTGAACTTCTAAGAATATGATTAATCTATAACACTGTGTGTCATTTGATTGAATGTACTTTTTGTAATTTTGATGGTAATTGCTCATTTTCATAGTTAGGTCTTTCAATATTTTTTGCATTTTCAATAAGCAAGTGACACTGATAACGTCCAGAGAAAATGAAATAATGTTTGTTCTTTAACAATACAAAGTGTGATTCTACAAGAGTAGTTCTTTTTTAGATGTTATCTAACTTGCATTATGCATAAACCCAACCCCATTTCAAATCGCAAATGTAAAAGGTGCTTTTTAAAAGCCCATGCAGAATAATGTTACAATATGTAAACTGTTTTCGGCTTAAGATATAATCCAATATGTAAATGTTTTATCCGATGTTGAAGAGTGCTTCTTTTGCGCTTTTTCAGGAGGAAAGGCTGGATGGTGACAACATGTACTACTGTACCAATTGTCAAGTGAAGCGAGATGCTGAGAGGAAAATTGTCCTCCAGGAACTACCCCCGGTTCTGAATTTACAGCTTCTAAGGTTTATTTTTGACAGGTAGGGTAGCCTATAAAGAGTATTGGTTGACCTGCTTAAGCGATTGCTAAAACTGTAGAACACATAATATCTGATTTGAATTTAAGCATCTTGAATCCACAATCCTCCTTGCCCATCTTCCAATCCAATGCCAGACTGCGATTGATGGCATTCATGCTGCCAGAAATGATTTTGGGCACTGGGCTATCGTACCTGGACGCAGGAGTACAGTTTTTAAAACCCACATGGTGACGGGGGGGGGGGGGGGCGTAAAGCGTTGATTCATGGCAAACCCGAGGATTTCTGAGCATGCGTGCTTCTTGTGCGAACTGTTACCGGCCCACTATGTTGATAATCCGGCCCATTATGTTGATTAACTCGGCCGTTCTCTGCCATCTGGACTCAATGTAAAAGAGAAAAGATTGCATTTCAGATGATGGCGATTCCCAACAAGTCCGGTTACGTATCATTTAATTTCTACTTACTTACACCACTTCTTCTTCTTCAGGAACACCGGCTCGAAGTTGAAATGCAACTCTAGCATAAAATTTCCGGACCAACTTGATATGAACGAGTTTATCAAGTTTCCTGATGAGTCCAAAGGAATTTACGAATTGACAGCTGTTCTCCTGCACTGCGGCCTCAGTGCCTCATCAGGCCATTATGTGGCTCACATCCTGGACAAAAAAGTGAGTCTGCTTTTACAATTCGATTACAATTGGTAAAATGTATTACATTTTATTATTATATCAATGTATTATGTATTGTTATGATATCAACGTTTTGCAATATGAATATAGTATAATAAAATACAATATAGTATTATCTAATATAATGTAACATTATGATATGATATCATTTAACACGATGATGTTATATAATATAACATCATGATTGATATGATATGATATGATATGACATGACATGACATGACATGACATGACATGACATGACATGACATGACATGACATGACATGACATGACATGACATGACATGACATGACATGACATGACATGACTGATGATGATATGATATGATAGATACTGATATGAATATGATATGATATGATATGATATGATTGATATGATATGATTATGATATGATATGATATGATTGATTAGTGAGATGATATTGATATGATATTGGATATGATTATGATAAATAAATAAGATTATGATATGATATGATATGATATGATATATGATATAGATATGATATGATATGATATGATATTGATATGATATGATATGATATTTGCATATTGAATGCATATAATATGGATATTGATATATATGATATGATATGATATGATATGATTATGATATGATATAGGTCTAATAATGATATTGATATGAATATGATATTATGTGGATTTCCGATAATGATTACTGACTAGCCATATGAATATGATTATGATAATCATGAAATTATTGTATTATGGATATGTATGATGATTGATGATAATGATATAGATATGTATATGAATTGATATTAATTGATAATTGACTGGATAATGATATGAATATGAATATGATATGATTAATGATATGATCTGATATGATATGATGATACTTGCATCTGAATATGATGTGATATATGATTATGATATTGATATGATTATGATATAGCTTTCCATAACCATTCGCAGTGGATGATGCTGAAGCTACAGATTTTTTACATTACGGAACAGTGGATGCAAGAACATAATTGAACGGTGCGAAAGACTACAGCTTGTGTGAGAAGAAGAACCCAGAAGGTATGCTTACCTACATCTATTTATAAAAACATGTGATAAAGTGGAAGGAATTAACAATTTTTATACCTTTGCAGGTACAAATTTCACAAAAGATAATATTTATAAACTGATCATACTGAAATGCTGTTGGTGCATTGCGCAATGTGAATTTAGAATGCTGATTCTAGCCTCCCCGATTTTGGAATTTAAGTGTAGTGACAACGTCCTTGGTATTTGTGTCCAATGCCAAACATATAATCAAAAAACCTAATATACCCAGATAATACATGATAAGTCAAGATGTACATTTTGGTGACGTCACGTATCTACAATGAAGCGGAGGGAAATAGTCAGAATAGAACCGCAAGCTCTGCGTGTTGGCATTGCGAAGCACCCCAACGCCTGCATCCATAACCTAGTATAAGGGTTAGGATTAAGTAATGTAGGGCTAGGTTAGGGTTAGTGGTGTTTCAGGCGTTTAGTGTCAGGTGTTAGGGGGTTCAGGGTATAGGTTAGGGCGCTTAGGTTAGGGCATGCAGATCTCAGGGTTAGGGTAGGATTAGGGTTTAGGTTAGGATTGAGTAATGAAATCCTCAAATACTAAATTACCCACAATCAAGATATACACCATCCTAAACAACGTAATAGGGTTCAACAAGAAACATTCTTGCAGAAACAAAACTCTCGCCAGCTGAAAAAGGCTTTAAGGGTCAAGATCAGGACCTAAGGACGTATTATGTCGTCTACAGAGCCTCATTTGAATGATTTGATTGACATTGCTTGCAAACTAATGACATACAAGATGGGAAACTGATATTTTACCATATCATGAGGTTCGGAGTTCAGGGTTATTGTCAGCGATAAGCTTAGGATATAGGGTGCCAGACAAACTCGCTGATACGAAAGGGCTCCAGTTATCTACCTGCCTTAATAAACCTCTTTAGCAAGCGCGGAGTTTTTAGAGTTTTTAAAATGTAAACCGTTGGCTAACTTGGTGTGCACAAAGAAATAATTAAATGTATTGAGTGTATGCTATGAGCAGAAATTTAACCTAGTCT